GGGATCCTGGCCTGCCTGGCCTCCAAGCACACCACTCACGCAGGCAGGAGGTCACAGCCGACGACAAATGACCCGGCGGCAGAGCCCGTTAGTCGGGAGGAGCTTCCAGGGCACCCTAGTCGGACATCCAGCTCCTGGGACCTGGTGGGCCTAGAAACCAACACATCTGGCCGCCGAGCAGATCTGGCTTTTGACACATTTTGCGGGACACCCCAGTCTCATCTCTGTGTCACCATCCATCATGCTTCCACCAACGATCGATCAGCACGCGTTGCGCAGAAAAGTCTCCGCCCAAAGTCTACGGACAGGCAAGCTTGATAGAACTCACCGCCCTGCATGAGTTCATCGTGTTTGCCATACCAGATCTGGGTCGGTGCTCCGGCACACGTCACGTCTTGTCTTCTTGCACTGCACAGCACTGACCGAGCAGTCGAAACCTGCCTGTCCTGTACAAGGAGGCGTGGGGGGGGGGGTTCTCTGCCATATGTGCCAAGACCCCGTAGCGGCTACTCCTGACAGGAAAAAGCAATCATGGCTGTCCACGAAGCCATGCGAGCTAATGTCGCCCCTGGCCTTCACGGTCAAGATCGTAAGTTGTCAATGCCCAACTGATTGGGTGTCGTCGACAACTGCGCGGTCGCTAATCTTGCGTTTGCCCGACCGTCCTCCACCATCGTGACCTGCATGCGCCGGCAAGTTTACGATGTCAACGGCTTGCTGCATGTTGGACACCTTTAGGACACGGGAGAAGGCATTCGGCTGTCTCGCGCGCTGTCAAGAGCCTACGGAGGAGGATGGCGATGCTTGCACGATTTGATTTGATGTCCTGCTTCCTCCCACAGGCACCAGGGATCCCTCGACAATATTCCAACTTGCGTGTATGTTTCGAGGTGGAATCGAAAGCTCATACTTGACGATATGACCATTCAAATTGGGTCCGACTCGTTCCGAAACGCGATGCTCTTCTTCCACCTGCCCCTTGGACAAGAATCCGCAGGTAATATACTGGTAATCCAGAGATGGCTGGGAGAGAATGCGGTTTCAGGGAACAAGCATGCACAGGTCTTCCTTATACGACTCTGTCAAACTGCTACACAAGGAAAAGCGGTGACGATGCAGGTTCGTCAACTTCTCCTTCGAGGAATTGCCATTCATCCTCGGGCGGAGACATGGACTCTGGCTTTCTCGGTCTGGCTCGCAGCTCTCGGATCAGAAGGGCTCCGAGACGAGCCTACTGCAGATGTGATGTCGAGACAGGACTCGTTCCACACCGGTCATGCCCAAGGTAACGTTCGGAGAAGAGTGCAAAGGATCCATGCATGTCATTGATTGTCTTGCTTGGAGCAGAGGTGGGTGATTCACTCACATGTCAACTCTTCAGCTAAGGGGCAATAGGGCCAAGATGGCAAAGGTACCATGCAGGCAATGTGAATTGCATACGACAAAGGTCCAAAAGCATGACTCGTCAGTCCAGTTCTCGCTTGAGGCGCCATCAGCCTGTGTGCTGTAGGTGCTGTATGTGCCTTGGCTGGTCAAAGCATAAAACGACTTTCCAATCGAAGCAGGTGGAGTTGGTTCCGTCGGTTCAGGCGACGTGGGCGGGTTCGACTAGGGACGCCCACAACAGCCACTCTCCCCTACAATTAAAACATCCGGCACGGTAAAGTGTCATTCCAAGCAGGGATGTCCCCTGCTCGACAGACCCTCTGCAGCTGGCCAGATGGATCAACTGCCATTTTAGATCCCCTGCATTGGACTCTTCATCGGTGTTCGACCCAACACGGCTGTCGACAGGACGAGGGACGCGGCTATTGCGTTTCTTTTTTTTTTTTTCTTTTTTTCAAGGCCCTGGCTCCAGCCCCAGACCCAGACCCAGACCCAGACATGACCCAGACAGCCAGACTCAGTCAAGTCGTCAACAAGTCTCGGGACAGGGTTGACGTTGGCGGCGGCACCACCACACAAACAAATCCTCGTCGAGACATTGTCGCTAGAGCGGGACCGACACCCTCTTGATCGAACGACACTTGCTCTAAAGTAGCACTCAGATTCTGCTCGACACTCACTATTCTATTCTTGCTCGGCCTTGAGGCGCAGCGTGGCATAAACTTGTACCTGTCTCGGGTAACAGTTATCCTCCCGGTTCCGGGTAATAGTTATCCTCCTGCCTCTTTGCTCACCTACACGACGGTGTCAGGACACACAACAGGCCTGATCCATTGCCTCAACTATTCTCCTAGTTCATGCTCAAGCTGGGCCCAAGCATGCCACGCTCTAGTGCCTTCTCCCGCATGGCATCCCGCGTGGAGGATGGGGGCAAGGTGTATTAGCAGCCACGGAATAAGAGTGATGATTTGTTGGAGACTCGACGCGGGATGTCGAGCTCTAAACTCGTCGTCTGATGTTGATGCACATTGGCGGAGCAGCTCGTCTTTGGGAGCTTCCTACAGGATACAGTGTTGGCTGCGCTTGCAAGGACATATCTTCTTGAGATGTTACCAGAGCTTCTGAGAGGCTGAGCCTTTACCTCTAGACTACCAACTAGTCAGCCCTAGAGCTGAGTGGCCGGTCATCAGCGAGCGAGGGAAGAGACAAGAGTCTCGTGGAGCATGCAGTATGAGAGGAGAGAACAGGGCCTCTTTTACTGGTTGCGTATCGTCGAGTGGGATTGGCTCGCATTCCTTCCTTCTTGCCTTCTTCTTTTCTTTTTCTTTTCCCCATCGTCGGTTTCATGTTGTTTTGTCATGTTATCTGCATCTTATCGACTGATGTTGTTAACATTGTTTGTTGCCGACATTTGTGAAAGATGACAACCATGGGTGTCATGGTCGGCACCCGGTTCAGCTTGCAAGGCTTCACCACCCTTTTGGAGCGTGAAAGGGCGTGATGAAGGCCTTTCTGGGTTAGGACGATCGGATAATGCAGCGATTCTGAAACTCGCGGCTCCGGCAGGCAATGAAGCCACGACCAGGTGGTTGGCCGTAACCCTTGTTGACGGCTTCCAACCGATGAGCCTATTTTGGGTCAGGAAACCATCCCGAGTCTGGAGGACCATCTATGTATGGAAATGGGAGGAGGAACTGGCTTGCCCACGCTGGCCTGTGGCACAATATTGATTATTGACGGGCAGAAGCAATGACTGCCAGGGCTAGGATAATGGTTCAACCCAATGGGGCGCTAATGCCGACAACAGGAGGTCTTCATCAGCAATCGAATCGGTGTCGATGGAGCAAACCTACCTGTACGGTCCAGTCCAGTCCTGGCCTGTCCGTCCAGCCCAGCTCGGGTACCTTATTCTTCAGGTCAAGGCTGTGCCTCTGACCTGGACTGTCATGGACCGTGGCACCCTGGATCTTTCACTTCAGGCCCAAGCGTCCTGTCAAACACCAAACCCATCAAGCCGTGGCCAGGCTTTCCATGGCCCCAGACCACGGCCTCCTTCCCCGGTTCGGCCTCTTGGTCGGCCGTTTTCATGTTCGCCTACGCCCGTGCCCGCGCCTGTGCCTGTCCATCCCAGCCCTGCCCTGCCCTGCCGGGGAGAGGAAGAGGAGCTGAGAGTCGTCGCTGAACTCTGGATGCTGGATGCTTGATGCTGGACAATAATGCTGGCTGGATGACGGGAATCTCTGACCCTTCCAATGCCGGCACCTGGCCCGTCGATTATGATAATCAGATCACCCGCCCTGTGGGCCGGCCGCCCCGAGTTCCCCGGCTGAAGTCTGCTTGTCCGATGTAAGCATTGATAGCACCATCCATATTCCGCTGAGCTATAGGATAGGTTAGGGAGGTGGCCGTTCATTCACCTAGGTACGCTGACCGAGGCAATCCACGTACCGCACCCGCAGACAGACAACAGGCAACGCTACTCTGACGGGCAACGGATGACGGGCCCCTTCCCACCAGAAGCAAAGACGACGACAACAACGACGGACTCGACTCTGCGTTGCATCGTGTCTGGTTGTTACGTGACATTTCTCAGTCCAGTCCAGTCCAATTCAACCCAGCCCAAGCAAAGTTGCATGATTTCTTCCCTTCCTCCTCTTGCTCTCCCCCCTGGCCCCTTTTACCCTTCCCTACCCCCCTTCTCCCCCATTGGAGCCCCAATCACGGACGCACTAACCCACGACAGCTTCACAATACAAACGTCCGTGGGGTTTCGCACTCCTGTCTGGCTGTCTCCTGTTGGCCCTGTATCTTCCCGCTTGGCCGTATATCCCCAGCACGTCCGTAGGTCTCCTTTTGCCATGCCGCGCTTGTCGCACCTTGTATTACTGGCTGCTTGCGTCTGCTGCGCCTACGGCTCCCTCCCTCCACCTCTTCTTTTTGTCTGTTTCTCTGCTAGAAGTGTCTTCCCATGTCTCTTCCTCTGCCTGTTGCACGCCGTCCTGTACCTCGTCACACCGAGAGGCCCGGGTTCTGGAAAGTCGCGACAAGCCCCTTGTTGGGTAGTCGGCCGCCGCATCAGACTCTGTCCTTTCCGCCGCCTTGTTTCACCTATGCAACGACTGACTTGGTCCACCGGTTGACCGCGTGCGAAAACGAGGTTTTTGCCGCCTTACACGACGCCATCAGCTGCGGTATCTGGCATGCAGTGTTGCCACAGCGAACCCGTGAACTACAAGGCCGGGGGAAGAGGTCCAGCAGACCGCCATAGAGCAGAGTACTCGTCATCATGGCAATTTGTACACGAGATTCTGGCTCTGCATGAGTAAAGTGAATGTGCAACATGCAAGATGTAGGGTAGGACATAAGTGAGAAAAAGTGGCATTACTCTTGGCCACACGGGTAAGTTGATGCTATCAAGAAGTAGAAGACTTTGCAAGACAATGCTTTCTTTCGTCGCTCCCCAACCTGTTCCCTTTCCAAGAACCAGAATCCCATGCCGAACCCCGTGCTCTAATGCTCCCGAGTACCGAACCAACCTCTTTTTGATATCAACGCCGCAGATGACATGACAACTACACGCATCTCATAATCATAATCCGTAGTGCCCATCAAAGTTATGCCCGTCGAAACATCTTGTTCAAGATCCCTCCTCCACGTCCTCTCCTGGGAATGTCATCTGGCGATGGCGCTGCCCTGATCTCCTTGCCCTTTCCTGTCATCTGGGGGCTACCCTCGCCCCCAGTTTGTTCATCACTTCGACCAACCTCGACATACTCGTCCGACTCTCGGTCCAGGTATGCTCGGTCAAAGTAGCCATCAGTCGCCAACTTGGAGTGCCCAGGCTCGTAAGTTGTCGCTGGTGGTCCTGGTGTCTGAGCGTCTCGAATCTTTGTCAAGCCACGGTCCAGGTATTCTACCATCTGCGCCTTGGTGACAAAGTTGTCATCCTCAGGCCTTCCAGCAACCGGGCCATGGACGTCCTGTGCCTTCTTGTATAATGCCGGGAAGCGATCTTGGAATTCATTTTCCAACTCCTTCTCGTGCTCCTCCAATGCCGTGGTGCGTTCTTCATTTTGCCCAGGCGATGTGCCTAGATGACGCAACTGGTCCTCCCTCTCTAGCCGAGACAGAAGGTTGGCAAACTCTTGTTGGTTAACTGGTGTGTCAGCCTGGCTAGTGATTGCCGTGGACTGGGCCTCTCCTACACCTTCGAGGCCCTGTGTGTCCTGGCTGCGGTGGATGTGCTTCGCGAACGAGTCGCTGAATTCACGGTAATGGCCCTTTAGAATGAAGCAGTGCCCATTCCAGCCACAGGCCCAGAGCTTCTCCAGCAGGATTTCGGCTGACGGACATTCCCATGGAGTTTCAAGACCACGCGAATAAAAGACAATGGTCCTTGCCCGCTGCCAGTGAGAGAATGTCCTCCTGCTCTGTGCATCGGCAAAGGCCCGCTCAATCATATCCAGAGATGCAGGCCGTAAGAAGGATTGCGGAGCCCGCAGGTGGATCGCCCCCTTGATGTGTGATCTCTGGTATTCTGATAATGATCGGAGATCAAGGAGCAGTGTCTGCCCTGGCAACGACATGTCTAGAAGCTCACTGAGATTGGCGGGGAATATCATGCGTGGTCCTTCGTGAGTTTGAACTTTCGAATCCTCGATTCTGAGTGACGCGAACCGTTGGGCAAACGCATCCCTCTCTCTTCGGTGATGGAACCAGACCTCAACATGCCAGGGCTCGACGCCGAGATTCGAGGCGAAGAACGCCTTTTGCCCATCGTTTGGCAGTGGCTCCGTTTGATAGTATTCTTCAAGACGCCTTTCGACGTGAGGTGAGAACTTCTTTGGCTCAGGAACGTCAGCTCCAAATGTAGTGCGTCGAAGAGCCTGTTGTTGATTCATGATCATCTGCCTTGTCAAACTTCCTCCAAATCCCAGAGAAGAGGATGATTGCTGCCTCTGCAATGTAGAAAGCGAGGTTGTTGAATGCATAGACCTCATTGGCTGTGACGGGGCGCTCTGTGAGGGCGATCCAGGCTGTGATGGCGGATAGAGAGGAGAGAGCTGTTGGATCGGCGAAAGAGCTGTCCTAACAACTGGGCCAGCTGTTTGTCTGCCATAGGCCGGATCCCTAAAGGCACCCATTTGCCCTGCCAGTCCAGTAGTCTCTGTCGGTGCGAAAGTGGTGCCAGAGACGCCAGAGACAAATGAAGCGCCATCGTTCTCGGTTGGGTATGGATTTGTAGGAACAAAGACTGGGACAGATTGGTTGCGGGGTTTTTGAGTCATGAGGTTGTTGGAACGGATGAAGGCAACAAAAGACGTAGCATGGTCCTCGGGGAGAAGGTCCCAAATGGAAACTGGCATCGACACAAGAAGCATCGTCGAGTGGCTCTTGAAGACGCCCTGGACCTTGACGTATTTGGCCATGGCAGGAAAGGCACTCAACCACTGCTCCCACGCATTAATGTCTAGTCTCTGATCATCCTCCAGAGCCAAAGAGATCATGACGTGAGGGGTATCTTCATTGGGTTCAGTAAACATATAATCGTTTCTGTTGACGGGAGCGGAATCCGGGGCCCGGCCTGTCTCATGGCCCATGGCTGGCATTGGCAACAAGTCGGGAGAGGGCAAGTTATCGCCTGGTGACATCCGTGACATTTCGATACTGGGTGCCTTGTGGTTGGATGTCATCATGAAATGCACCGGTGTTGACCGAGCCTCGAAATATTTGCCATTGATGGTAATGGGGCGGGGGTGTTTGAGTCTGGCGAGCACTTCGGCATGAAGCATGGCAGCTGAGAAGGCTCTAAGTCGCCATTCTTGAAGAACTTCGATGAGGGCGTTGGTAAACGAGTAACGTCCAGGGTCTGGGGCAATGGCATCCCAACTCGATGCCGATATTGTCTCAGTAATGCTGGAGCCATTGGGAAATGTCGCGCTGGCAGCACCAGCACAGCAATCTAGGAGAATGAGAACGTCCGATAATGACCGTTCAAGAAGGGTCTGGATTGCGGACCACCTGTAACACGTCAGAACCCTAATTGGGTTTACTGAGAGGCAAGCAAGACTTACTGTAGCCACGGTGAATTGGGCTCTCGAGTTCTAATACATATTAGGATCCCTGTTGAGGCTATTACGGGTTCACTCTTTACTCACGCGCACCAGGTACTTTGCCTGGATTCGTCGATCCTAGCATGGCCGCCGTAGTAGACCACAAATAATGTATCCTGAGATTCATGTTCCTTGATGAGTTGACCGATGCGCATCATCAACTCGAGGTGAGAATTCTCTGAGGGGATACCGAAAATGTCCGTGTTGAAACCATAGTCCTCGCTCAGGCACTTTTCCAGATCCTCCAATTCAGGAATGACAAAAAGATCATCAGAGTTCCAATGCAGCAAGAGTACTTGGACATTGCTGTATCTTGCAGATGATCTCCCACGGTTTGGAAAAGCCCGGGCAGCAGACTGTGGAGTGGTTAGATAATGGTGGCCAAGACTTGGTGGGGGAGGGGCAGACTAACATCTTCGAGTCTCTGGGCGAACTGGCCGATATGTTTTACATGAAAACTTGTGCGGCTTGTGTCGTGAGTTGCGGATCTGGCATGGAAATCCCCTCCACTGGGTCCGGCCTATGAAGATGGTGTAAGTATAACCGACTTGCACACTGAGACCAGCAGCAATAAGACGCACCATGGAAGGTCCGGTGCTCCTGGAACCGGGACCCTCAGCAGGCCTCCGCGAACGAATGGTTACATATGGTTGATGATCGGTCATGGCGTCTTAAGGTGTGCGCAGTTTCGTGCTGGAATAGATTTGACGGGCCAGCCTCAGCGGCACTTCGCCGTCAACCGTTGCACCTCAATATCAATGTCGTGATTGCAGCTTGTAATCGCAGCGCAGACGGGTGGCTCGGGGAAATCGTCGTTTCAAAAGTGGCTCCGGGTATCGGTATCGGTTTCGAACTCTGGATCACAACGGGATGCGGGAATCGATGGGCATGATCTCGTCGGGGCCGTGTGTCACTGTTATGGCTTCTTTCGCGGGTGGTGTCGCAGAGGTGAAGATGTGGATGCAGGAGGAAGAAAAACGAGGCTCTGCCGTGGTATCATCTCGACGGGCGAAGAAATGGAAATGGGATGGTCGCGACTTCCTTCATTCAATCACGGAAACAGGCGACCGAGGCGGCGCTGGCGCGGCGGCAGGCGCAAGTTGAATCGCCCGTCGGTCCCCAAAGAGGCTTAGCGTGAATCATCTCGCGGTGACCAAAAAGGAAGGGGACGAGGGGCACGAGCTGGGGTATTGGTGTACGTCGGCCAGTGCCTGCGTCGCACCGAAACCACGTGTATTCGATACTTGTCTCTTCTCTCAGCGGCCTTACGGGCCTTTTTGCTGGGGAGCTCTGACCAACCAAGCTCCAGTAACGTCACTGCTGAGCCTGGATCCAGGGAGATCTGTTCACCAACTCGCTACCGAGCTCGACACCGAAGCAACGAAACCGGGCACCTGGGCTTGGATTTGCTGCTGATTTTCCCTCTTTCTTTGGACGCTGGTCCCAGGAACGAGTTGTTTATTGGAGCACGGCTATTCCTATTCGAGATACCGCCCGATAGCTCGGTTGTGGCACGCGACAGCACATCCAGCAGTGAAGTGCAGCACAGTACAGCTTACAGCACATACCGAGCACGAGGGTATACAACACAGTCCAGTTCAAAGCTCAAGTCACCGCCATGCGTGAGCGCGTTACTTTTGTGCACAAGGACCATGACCTTGACCCGGCGGCGTTGGACATTCAAGAAGCCGGGTTATCAGGTCCCCAGATCGAGACTGTCCGCCAGGACAAACTCACCATCCCCTTCGATGAGCTGCCTCGGGAGCTCACCGACCTGTTCAAAGACTATGACTCTGTCCACGTCAGATGGGCTAGCCCCTTGAAGCTTGAAACACTGGATCCATTTGCCTCTCGAATATCCCCAGGTCTTCACGTATACTACACTCCTACGTCGTCAGCCTCACATGATCAGTGAGTTGTCCGTCAAAAGACCTGCCTAGTTATCGATGCTAACGATATTCTGAACCCAGCTCGAAATTATGCAACTGGCTTCAAAGATTCGGTCCGCTGGACTGCTCAAAGCCCGAGGTACCTATTTTTTCAAGCTCTTGAGTGTATTGGAAACGCTGACCGAGCTCACTAGGCGTTCACCGAGTTCAAGCAAGACAGCTCCTCGACTTCCCCTGATTTCTCCTTTTACCAAGGAGTAGAAGATCTGAATTCTTTCGTTGCCACCAGCCTGCAGGAACTTTGTTCTGATGCTGACACTACCTGCAATGCTCGACTGCGTAGCCTCTACACGGCTGCCAGCTTGGATTTGTCCTATGAGGCCACCACAAAGTCCCTTGTTGCCTATGCCACATGGCCTCTCCGTTCCCAAACGGTTACTGTCCCTGCGTCTCCGGGGAGAAGAGTAGAGGTTGGCATTTTCATCAACGACAACTCTCAGCCAAACATGGAGAAGCATGAACTTGGGGTTGCTGGCGTTCTGAGTGTCCTCGGTGAGCAAAAGAAGCCTTCGCCAGCCATGTTTACTTTCCCGTCCCGACACCGACAGAGCGACTCTGTTTTTGGCTCCAAGTTTCTCAGCCCGACTGGCTTGCATCCTACGCTTCAGTTGAGCTTCAGCTCCAACCAGGCCCCGGGCAGTGAGGGAGAGTGTGCGCCATACGCGTTCTTGACATTGCCCAAAACTATTTTTGCCGACCGATATCAGTTAGATGATGATTTGTTTTTGGCCTCCAAGAACCTCACTTCATTGCGATACACGACTCTGCCCGTTGATCTGGAAGCACCTGCATACACCACCGAGACCTGGGGGTCCAGTATTCTTCTTGAACTGGCCCCTCCTGGAGCCGAGAAAGATGAGCCTTGGAGAGCTGAGGTTCCGCTTCACCTGCGGTATCTTGAGCCTTCTGCAAGCGGTAAAGTCGATATTGAGGTCCCGTATCCAGCTGTCTTTTGGGCATGCTCCTCCGGGGCCGAAACCCTGCAGAATCCGTTTGATCGACTTCATGTGGGATATGACAGGCTTTTCCCTCGCGATACCGTCTTTTGGCACGTCGCTCCCCAGCCGGAGAGTGACACCAGGCTCATGAACTCGGTCACGGTGCCGGTACTAAAAGAGGAGGGAGCAGACTGGATCACCTCGGGTACGACTGCAGCTGTTGCCCTCGGCTTTATCTGGGTTCTGTGGAAGTTGGTCAGCGTCATGATGAATTCTGGAGGGAAAACAAACAGACCTCGTGGCCAGGCTGCCCAGAAGAAGGTCCAATAATGGATCGCACTGTTGAAGCGGCTAGCATGGGTGGAACCGGGATAGCTGTGTCCCTATACAAACTCCGGTCTGCAAAAGAAAGCGCAACTTTAACAGCGGGATTTCAATTGGCCGATGTAGAATATGCAGGACTAGCTCGATTTAGATAATATCCAATCCAATTTGATTTCTTTCTTTCAGGTCTGATTACCAGCGCCCAGGTACTGTAGACAGCTCGTATAGTCGGACTTCCTTGAGTTGCCTAGTTCCTCGCACACGTGACGTCAAGCAATCTACCCGTCCATAGATCCATACCTAGCAAAGGCGTCAGCTGCTAACTCGACGCAACCAACCAGCCAACCTCCAATTTACACCCTCGACCGCGGCACTAACAAAAACCAACCAATTGACCACCCAAAGAAACGGGTACTGCCTCAGCTCCTGCAGACCCAAAACCCAGGCTGTGAAATGTCCACGCCAGCAGAGGTTCAAGACGACATAAGCGACTCGGTTACAGGGGGTTGTTGTGATGCACCCCAATGGCCCCGACACCTTCATCGGAGGAGTCGCCCGCGTCGACATCTGGCCCGGCACAGCCGCAGCAGAAGCAGCCCGACTCGCCTCAGGATAGGATAAGGAGGAACGTAGCCTGCATCAGCTGTCGCGACTCCAAAGTGAGTCCTACGTGCCAGAACGTGAGTCAATGGAGCTGACAATGGTCTCTAGGTGCGGTGTAGAGCGAGTCCTGTCGCCGGACAGCCCTGCCAGCGATGTGCCAAACTAGGTCTCTCATGCGTCTATGATAGATCACACAAGAGAGTCACAAAGAGAAGGTACAGGACTAATTGACAGCCTCAATAACCGTGGCAGAGATAGCTACTCACTGAGTGATCTGATGATACCCTAGACTCATGCTGACAACTACCCTCACAGTAAACTCGAGCTTTTGGAGCAAGAATTAAAGAGCATCAAAGAAGCTGTTCATCCGAGGAACAATGGAGAGACAACATGGAGTCCCTCAAATTCCCACGCGAGTAATCCCATGTTTCCAGACTCGGCAAACCGACTTGCTTCAATCACCAACACATCCATCCTCTCAGCGCCAGCTCCTCTACAGGACTCATCATCAAACCAGCCCACAAATACAACTACAGCTTATGAAAAGACCGGACCGACAAAGCCTCGTGTCCTCGGCGATAGACTTTTGCCCGGCGAAGACATTGACTGGTACTTTGAAAAGTGAGATGTCTTGTCTGTTTTGAGTCTGAGCAAGGTTAACTAATTTCAAGGTATCTGCAATGCTTTCATCCATATCTCCCCATATTGAGAAAAAGGGATCCGGATGAATGTTACGCGGCATGTCCAACTCTTTTCTGGGCTGTGATATATGTTGCCAGCCGTCGATACGCTAGGGATGAGAATATCTTTACCACCCTCGTCGACCGCCTCAACCGCGATGTCTACACTCTCCTCGCTGCCGTCGCCTTGGATCTCGAGGCTATCCACGCCATTCTCATCATCTGCGCCTGGCCTTTCCCGACTATCAGATTCGTGACAGATCCGTCACCGCTGCTCATTAGCGTCGCTTTCAGCTCGTGTATGCTCCTCGGTCTACACACCGGTCGCGGATCTCACTCTAGGTTCTTGATCGGTGGTCGGCAGAACCTAACCTCGACAGATCATGAGGCGTCAGTGACTTGGATATTCTGCTGCATCCTGTCACAGAAGTACGTTGAACATACAGGCTACTGCGACTCATTCTAACACATGATACAGGATTGCTACAGGGAGTGGAACGCCGCCTCCCTTTATACAACACGATGACACTCAATGCAAGAACATCGTCAAAGATACCCTTGCACCAGAACTACTTACTCTATTCGAGCTACAAAAGTTCTCTAACCGTCTACATACAGCCATGGCTGCCCAAATCTCTGCACACAGCGGGGTCTCTGAAGCAGTCGTCAAAAACTGGGAGGACGAGTTTGAGCTGGTCAAGCCAATTGTCACAAGAGTCGAGACAGGTAAGACACAGGAAACAACATCTCTTGCTCCAAGATCAGTTGATATTGACTGTATTAAGATTGCTCCCGCTTCATGATCCTCTCGACCCAGCTTGAAGTCCAATCCTATTACTTCCTCTCACCTCCAACGCTTCGTCCCAACTTTGCGCTCAACGCGCTCCGCGCCTACAGCACCTCCCATGACCTCATCAACACAGCCATAGCGCTCGAGACTGCCTCGCAGTTCCTCACACACGGCACTCACTGGATATACCGCTCTGCCGTCGACGCCGGTTGCATCCTCCTCTCGACACTGCATTCGACCGCTGCCCCGCGCCACCTCACCCCAGCCGACGCCGACGCCCTCGCTATGCGTGTTCGCTCCGTTCTTCAAGGCTGCTCCGTCCGTGAATGCGACCTCCCTGCGCGGGGCTCCGTCATCCTCGAGACCTTTTGGTCCGTGAGGAATCTACTGCCCAAGTCGGAGGAGCCCGTGGGCGCGTTCCCAGAACGTATTGGTGCTGCTGTCACGTATTGGTGTCTCAACCGTTTCAAGGATGCGTTGCATGAGGCAAAGAGAAGCACAGAGGGCGTGAGCAGAGGCTTAGAGGCATTTCGTAAGTTGATGATTCTGTTGCTTTTAAGCAAAGACTACATGTTGACTGTTACACAGATACCAATCCGCCAGTCACTAATACGGATGAAAATAACAATCAAGATAATACCCTCAACAGCCCTCATGATCCGTTTCAAGGTATCGACTGGTCCATGGTGATAGACGACTTTGGATGGGCTGGAGACACACCCGTATTTTTAGGACCCCCATAGTAAACATAATAACAATAAAGATAAATTGACATTCACTTCAACATCACTCGTGTCTCACATCATGACTTCACTTGGCTCAAGACGGATGGGATATTATCATTCCAACTTTTGTGTCTCAATTATCAATGAGTAATTAAGTACATGAACCCTACAAAACAAAAACCCTTGGCAATGAATCCTTGCCATTCAAACGCCGTCATGCAATCGTCAAACTCGTTCAGACAATGATTCCTCCATGCTGATATCTCAATCTTTACTCCTCCTTTGTGGAACAAAAACACACTTAATCATAGATGTCCTGATCCATGTCGTCAAGCATCTCGTCGACAGCGTCCTCCTCATCCATCATGTCCTCATCTTCGCCAATCTCACTGTCCTCGTGGTTGGATAGAACGACAATCTTGCCGTCGATGAGCTCGACGCGAGCATACTCGCCGTCGCGGATGTTGTTGCGCAGGATGAGGATGGCCAGTTTGTTGAGCACCTCCTTTTCGATGAGACGAGACAAAGGACGAGCTCCGTAGGCAGGGGAGTAACCACTCTTGCCCAGGTAATCCTTTGCTTCGCTTGACACGTCGATGTGCACCTTTCGCCCATTGTCTTCGAGTCGTTTCTGGATTTCGCCGAGGCGAATATCGACGATCTTGCGAATCTCCCTGCGTGTTAGGCGGTTGAAGATGACGACCGAGTTGATACGGTTGAGGAACTCGGGCAGGAAGTAGTTGCGGAGGGCGTTCATCACCATCTCTCGAGTGCCAGAGTCGACGCGACCCTCCTTGACACCGGGTCGGACAAGGTACTCAGCACCCAAGTTGGAAGTCATGACGACGATACAGTTCTTGGCATCGACGACTCTGCCTTGGCCATCAGTGATGCGGCCGTCATCCATGAGCTGGAGCAGAACGGTGAGAATTTCCTTGGCTGCCTTCTCAACCTCATCGAAGAGCAGAATTGAGAAGGGCTTCCGGCGGAGAGCCTCGGTCAGCTGACCACCGGCATCGTGGCCGACATATCCAGGGGGCGCACCGATCATGCGGCTCAGTGCGTGACGCTCTTGGTATTCCGACATGTCGAACCGGATCATGGCCTTGGCATCGTCAAACAGGAACTCTGCCAGAGCCTTGGTCAGAAGGGTCTTTCCGGTACCCGAGGGACCGCAGAACAAGAAGCTTGGTGGTTGGTTGGGGTTGCTGAGACCAGATCGCTGAAGACGGATGGCGTTGGCAACCGACTGGACCGCCTCCTTCTGGCCCACCACGATCTTGCCGAGAACCTTTTCCATCTGGATAAGCTTCTCCTTCTCAGAAGTGCGAAGTCGGGTGACAGGGATGCCGGTCCATCGAGCAACAATCTCGTTGATGTTGTCGGCGGTGACAATATCGGTGACCATGGCAACGCCGGCGTCGGCACCAGTTGCGTTCAGAGCTGCGTCAGCGGCAGCCTTGCGTGCCTCAAGATCCTTGATGGTGGACTGTTGCTCGGGGATGGCACCGTACTTGAGATCGGCGGCCTTGGCGTGCTCACCGTTGTTGGTCGCGTCCTCAAGACGCTTCTCAAGTTCATCGAGCTTCACCTTGGCCTGGTGAATCTCCTCACTTCGCTTGATCTCGCTCTGGTACTTTTCGCGAAGTGGCTGCAACTCTTCCTCGACGTTCTTGGCATCCTTCTTCGCCTGCACCAGACGAGTCTGAGATGCCTCATCGTGTTCCTTCTCGAGAGCCGCGATTTCAATCATCAGCTGTCTAAGCTTACGCTCAAGAGAGTCAATGATCTCAGGCTGGGATTCTCGGGCGACACGCACGGCTGCGGCCGCTTCATCGACAAGGTCAATGGCCGAGTCGGGCATTCGTCTGGTGGTGAGGTAACGGGCAGCCAAGTTGGCGGCGGCGACCAAGGCGCTGTCGAGGATGGTGACACGGTGGTGTCGGTCGTATCGCTCCTTGAGACCACGAAGGATGGAGATGGTCTCAGGGATGCTAGGCTCTTTGACAAGAACCTGCTGGAATCGACGTTCAAAGGCTGCATCCTTCTCGACGTACTTGCGGTACTCGGCGAGGGTGGTGGCACCAATACAGTGAAGCTGTCCACGGGCGAGCATGGGCTTGAGAAGGTTGGCGGCGTCCATGCCTCCCTCACCGGATGAACCGGCACCCATGAGAAGATGGATCTCATCGACAAAGAGGATAATGACGTCCTTGGACTCGTGGATCTCCTTCAACACACCCTTCATTCGCTCCTCAAACTCTCCTCGGTACTTGCTGCCAGCAACAAGGGCTCCAACGTCGAGCGACAGAAGCTTGCAATTCTTCAGATTGTCGGGAACATCTCGGTTGACGATTCGCTGAGCCAATCCTTCAACGACAGTGGTTTTACCTACACCGGGTTCACCGATGAGGACGGGGTTGTTCTTGGTTCGTCGAGACAGGATTCGTACAACTCGGCGGATCTCTTCTTCTCGACCAATGACGGGGTCGATCTTCTTGTCGCGGGCCATCTCGGTCATGTCGATGGTAAACTTGGCCAAGTTCTCATTCTCCTCCTCGGTATCGGCCGTCTTGCTGTCGACTCGCTTGGTTCCACGGATAGCTTGTACAGCTTCTTGGACAAGCTTGGGCTTGGGAATGTTGGCTTCCTTGAGGGCCGACTGGATGCTCGGCTCATCGGAAAGCGCGGTAATGAGATGGTCGACACCGACGTAGGTATCCTTCTGCACCTTCTGCAGCTCCAATGCCTTTCTCAGGACGTTGTGGAACTGAGGTGCCAAGGAGACATGCTCTGGTGGAGGGTCTTGGCTGGGGAGACGCACGAGGGTCTTTTTGAGTGCTCGATCGAAGAGCTGAGGGTCGCCATGGGCTCGCTCAATGACCTGCCGGAACAAGGTGCTGACGACTGCGGGAGCGTTTTGCTGATCCTTGGAGGGGTCCGGAGGAGGGTCAAGCAAGGAAACTGCAAGGTGGACTGGGACAAGCTGGGAGTGGGCGTACTGCTCAGCCAAGGCCATGGCATCCTCCACAGCCTTCTGGGCCCGGTCCGTGAAGTCCATGCGGGAGTTCATGATGGCGGTGGTGTAGTAGCGAAAACGATGGACTTTGAAAACAAGGAATCAAGATGTAAGTCGGTGGTGGTAATCGTGAGTTGTGTATGCGTATGCGTATGCGTGTGTAGTCGCAGAATATTGTATCACCTGGCGATTGTGGCCCGAAGGATGAAAGGAAAGGGCTGCTTCCGTCAGGTTTCCTGACCTCGGAAGGTTGGGTATCGTTTGATGTGGTTGTGGTGGGGTATTTTGTTTCTGTCTGTATGAGAAAGAGAGAAGAGTTCAGCTCCGAGAGCGCAGGACGAGGGTAATTTATTCACGATGTGAGTGGATCTCGCATAGGAATCAGGATACTCCTTGGAAGCCTCTGGTGGAGCGAATCGTCCGACGTGAAGCATCGAGATCTCTCAGGCAGACTCAAGCAGGCTCCGGCAGCTGAGTAGAAGCATGTCGGCCCTGCCAGAAGCTCCGGGAATCTTCGACGTCACTCTCAGCCCAGGGTTGGGGAGACAAATAAGGTGGGACATAGTGGGGCAGAAGAGGGGCCAATGGAAATAAGTCGAACATATGGTAATGCAGAATTGCATCAATATTACACTAGTAATTATGTCAGGAAGAAAGTTGTCGCGTTATTTTGCATGTCACTACCAAGATCCCGTCAGCTTGACGAGTGGGCTTATCTTATCGCCACAACCGGCGCTTCCCGATCGACAACAGTCACATGACTTTCACCTTGCCGTGATTGAGCCGGGCAATTGGCATGCGCCGTTGCGGGAAGTTTTTCCAGAGTGAGTCTCATGAGAGAGCCCGCCTCAACCTCACAGCCGCCACCATGAAACCGGCACAGGGAGTCAGCCTAGGTCAATTGCCTAGCTACGTACGGATATGCGTGCGACAGGCGCACTCTAGTCGGCCTCGGCGCGCCACGACGGGCTTTCTAGGTCCTGAGGGCCATGGGGAGCACATCTGGGTCTTTGGACACCGGAGGACGGACCAGATCATCTACAGCTTTGACGAGAAGCTCGATGTAAGTTCAATTGCTAATTCTACCGGCGTTGAGTCGATTTGGTGTGTGGTCATGAATTGACTGACAATATCTACAGGGCTTCCACGACCTCAAGCAACTCCCCTTCAACGGCAAAAAGACAAAACCCGCCAAGCTCCGCAAGGATTACTGGTCGCCCTTCGCCCGCATCTCCTTCCCCGCCGGACAGGGCAACGCTGGCCGCTCAGTCTTCCAGAAGCTGCGCGAGCTCAAGCACTTGCACGAAGTGGCATGGGACAACGAGTTCCGATACAAGCGCCCCGAGGAGTTCACAGCTGCCGACCGCAAGCGGATCGCCGAGGAAGAGAAGAAGGGAAACCCTGGATACCGCCCCATTCGCAACAAGCAGGAGCGCGGTATTGCCCTGAACGCTCAGAAGCCAAACTCTATCGCCGACATGGCTGCCGTCCTGGGCGGTCTCGGACGGGGCAACAAGATTGTGACCAACGAGGCCGCTGAGGGCGAGGAGCAGAAGCTCTTGGATGTGACGGTGAGCTGGGCCAACGACCAGGATAGAGAGTACGCCGAGAAGTGGTCCGGCAATGTTACGCACGAACTGTTCGAGAACCCTACATACTTTACGGAAAAGACGGTGGAAGCGACAGCGGAAGTGGAGGAACCTCCCAAGGAAGAGAAGCAAGAGGCAGCGCCAGCTGGGGATGCTCCAGTTCAAGATGCGGACGTGGTGGCACCCAAGGCACAATAGGCTACCAAAATCTAGGATATATGCATGGAATGGCGTAGAGCCAAGTGGTTATTTGTATCATAAATGTACCATCAAACTAAATCCAAAGACGGTCATAAGTCATGTGCGAGCTCTGAGCCCTCCCGGGGCTTATTATACCCCGGTATACAATGCAATCTGAGAGAGCAAAAGCGTGAAAAAAACAGACCCCCAAGTCGAAGAAGCAAAAAACAACGCAAAGAAACCCTCCAGCGTATATCTCGTGCAACCGTCTTTTACCGACAGAGCTTTAAACAGGCAGAGCATACTGCTTCAGGTACTCGTAGTACGCGACGTTGTCTTCAACCGTCTTGCGGATCACCTTTTGCGCCTCGGCCCCATACTTGGCGGTCCACTCCTTATTTTCCGATTCGGTGGTGGATGTCTTCTTTAGTTAGCTACATCAGCATGAAAATCCAACCACGAGGAGAGCGAGCGAACAACAGGTGTTTGACGCAGACAGACAGGTGGAGGAAGGGGGTAATTGGGGGGCGATCCAATAAAATCGTCAACTTACCTGGGCATGGGTGCGCGGCCTGAGAGCCGAACTCTTGATGGCATCGTTGTGGAAGCCATTCCACTTCTCAAAGGCGTTGCTGGCAAACTGGCTGTCCTGGTCATTCCACTCGAGCATCTCGGGCTTAAAGTCAATGCCCGTCTTCTCGCAGTAGAGACGGATAGTCTTTTCAGGGTTGTCCAGCAGGTCATCGGCATCGACGACGACAAGGTTGTCCTTGTCGACGATGCCCTCCTTGAGCAGATAGTCAAAGAGACGCACCAGCTCCTCGTAGCCAGCCTCATTTGGCATGAAGTTGTAGAAGCCAGTGACCTCGTCCAGAGGCGGCACAGTGCAGCGGTAGTACGAGGGGATGGACCTGCGGGGGTGGCGGATGAGGAATGTGAACTGGAATTGCTTCAGGATCTCTAGCGGCACCACTGTTGGGTTGCCGGGCTCCTCCTCGCCCAGGGATGGCGCAACCTTGGTAGGCTTGCCATCCGGGGTCATGAGGTAGTAGGCCATATCCTTGATGAAGATTCTCTTTCCCTGTGTAGTTGTAAGTATCATGCATTCTTGGGTAGATAGTTATCAAGTGTCATGATGGACAATGTTGTGATACATCATACACCCTCTCTCATGGTGGCGACAGCAATGCGCCGATGCGACGATGCGGCATGGACACAACGCCAAGAGAACTCAATTGACCAAGTCTTAGAATGGAAAACAGGGCGGCTGATTGACATCACAGACGACCCATTTCCCCTCAGTCAAGAAAGCGGGGGACGGACGGGGAGTTCGGGGAGTTCGGAAATCGCATCAAAGTAGGAGTGAACAAGAGGGGGAAACAAAGACGAACCTCTTTTCCGGCATCCATGACTTGGTCAAAGATGTTCTTGTACGTCTTGTCAGCGAAGCCACTGCGCTCGCGCTGGTCGGCGTCGTCTCTGAAGCGGTCGCTCAGAAACTCGGGGCCGTAGTAGAAGGCATCCCCAAATGGTTCGTGAACACTCTCCATGATGTCGCGCCGAGTCATGAAGACCTAGCAGCCATTGTTAGCATCACTGAGGGACTTTTCACTTAAGGCAAGATTTCTCTTCACGATAGAAACAGAAAATAACGCCAGGGGAAGACGTTGGGAGCTCAATCATACCCTTTCGAAGGCCGTAGAGCATGCACGTGGGTGCGTCGCGGCGAAGATGGGGCGGGGCGCCATTTTGGATGGAAGAACCAGGAAGAAAAGGGAGAAATAGCAGACAAGTGTTGTCGTCTCAACATCAAGCTGGAAGGTTGCAGCAAGAGGGATGAGAAGAAGGGGAAAAGCTGCCAAAGCTCTGAAGTGGCAGCTCAAGAAATATATGGCAGATGGGACTCAACCAGGAGATGCTACAGAGTTTGCTCCTCCAGCTTCCGGACCATCGCCCGACTTTTAACGTTCGAGCGATGGTCCGTAGCCCGCTCCACCAGGGGGCCCAGATCTTCCCACGCTGACCCAGGGCGTGTGCCGGTGATTGATCCTCATTGAGTGCCGCGCATGCGGCGTCGACGTCATGGTGGACGATAGTCGTATCCGCCGTGGCAGCTAGGGAATTGTACGCCTCTTGTGTGCTGAATTTGCTGGCCTCTCATTGACTCCCGTTGCGTCCTTCCCACAAGACTCTCACGGGCCCTCGGCCTCTCATCCTGGTACTCGACTGCTCTGCCTGTCTGCTTCTCCAATCCCGATGGCGAGGGGCCAATGGCTCCGGAAGACCCCACGCTCTAGCCCGGTCGGATGCAAGCCAATCCCAACCGAGTTGAATTCGCCAGCTCCTGTCCCATCACCATATGTGATGGGCTCAACACCTGAAGGGGATCTTATCGCGTAAGCCTGCAGCTGTTTATAGGTTCGCGGTGGCCGGATGGTGGGTGCCGCTGTGGGATAGAGTCTCAACGCCGCGTGGGTAGCCCTTGGCAGGGTGGCGATGATCCCGTGAAGAACATGGGTAAAGGTGGGTGTGTGAGCTGGAGACGTTGATAATAAGTACCTGTCGATATTCCGTATTTTCCTCTGTCAGCTCGACACATCAGCAACAACGGTCCGACGGCGACCCAATGCGTCCCCCAATGCCTGCCAGAAGCCCTGCCGGAGTGCCTCTCAGGGCAACATGAACGAGCACGCAATAACCGGCCCCACCATCTTACGGGGAATTGTTCAATGCTTCTAGGGCACCTTGCGAGAGCTACTGGTTAGATCGAGGGCATCCCGCTGCCCTCTCACGATATGCCCTTGCATCGCGGATATGCAGTAGAGGGTGACAGTTGACAGAAGTGGAGATGTGGCCGTGGGAGAATGGTCTGTTGTTGTTGGTTTGTTGGTCAACCTGAAGTTATCTGTATCTCTCCCAGCTCCCAAGCCACCTCCAGCTCTCGGCCACGCGACTAATCTTTTCCAGCGCACCATTGACCCGCCCATCCGGATCGTCGTGCTTGTGACCCTCGAACTCGATAAAGAAGATGTACTGGAACGGCTGCACTAGGCTGGGCCGGCTGTTGATGCTGGTCAGGTTGAGGTTGAAGGCGCGGAAGCAGCTCAGTACATCCGCCAGAGCCCCTGGCGACGTGTGAGGCACTGTGAAGGAGACGAGTGACTTGCTTCCCTTCTGGGCGATGGCGTGCTTGGTCGATTCCACGTCCCTGGGCCCGGCAGCGTTGGTGCCAATGACCAAGAATCGAGTAGTGTTGTCCTCGCGATCCTCAATTGACTTGCCCAAAAAGTCGAGCCCGTGAAGTTCAGCAGCCAGCTGGCTTGAGATGGCCGCCCAGGTCCCCGTCGTGTCCTTGCTCACAATCTCGGCCGCCTTGCTGGTCGAGCTAACCTCGAAAATTTCTACCCCCTTGAGGTAGGTGGAGATGAAGGCCGTACATTGACCAAAGGCCTGCGGGTGTGAGTACAGCCGCTGGATGTGCCTCAGGTTGCTCAGAGGCCTGGACCGCGGCTTCGAGGGTGATGGATCCGTGGCCGTAGGCGTGCAAGTGCCTGATCCCTCGGCAGTGTCCTCAAGAGCCGGAGCAGGATTTTTGTGCCCCACGAGGCAGTGGTGAACGTCGACATATGTCTCGCCGTCGACGGTGATGTCCGGGTAGCAGTTGGCCCTATCGGCCAGATTATCCAGAGTGAAGACTACGGATCCATTGGTAGAGTTCTCAAAGGGCACAACGCCGGCCTGTACCTTGCCACCCTGAACCTGATCAAAGACGTCTACGCCGGGGAGAATCAGCGACGGGGAGTCCGAAGCGAAGCGGCATATCACAAATTACCTACCGTCAATAGTGACTGCTGGCTGGAGTTCCCAGGTGGACTCGGAGAAAGCCTGGCGAACAGCCTGCAAAACCAGGTCGGCACAGGTTAGTGCCATGCAACCTGCCATGGAGGGGGCGACCGTGGGATGACCTTACCTGATGAGAGTAGGAGGCGACTGGGCCAAGGAAGCTGACGATGTGCTTGCGTTGGCTGGTCATGATGCCCTGATGGTGAGTCGGTGTAGCCGGGTCGGGTGAGACTGCTGGATCAAGAGGAAGTCGACAAGAGAGACGACAATGTTTGGGGGTCTGTGGACACTCCTGGACACCGAGAGTCGATGGCTATTCGCACAAGTGGTACAGATGACCACAGCCTGATGTCTGTGGGTTGCAGAACAGGCGGACGAGAAGGGGGAATAGAGTTGGCGCGGGATGAGGGCAATTGGCGAGATCTTGGCCCTATTTCCTCACGCGATGCTGTCCGAGTTCGTCAAGGGGGGCGCCTGCGATGCTAAGACGTGCTCGGATTGGAGCTTGGAGAAGACGGTGGTGATGTCGCAATCGTGGGGGAGCAATGATTTTCTCAGAGTTGTGGGTTGGGAAGTTGCCGGTAAAGTACACACTAACGTACTTTTGCTGAGCCTCCGCAGGGCCCAGTTAGCAAGGTACAAGCCATTGGCGCATGCGGGGTTCCACACGGGAAAAGCGCGAGGACAGTTTGATCACTTGATCAAATCAGAGACATGAAGTTGTAAGCGACTCTGGTCAACAGGTGAGCACAGAGATGGAAGAAATGAAGAAGGGAGTGTGATGGGATGAAAGATAGTGAAAGATAACGAGAGAGAGCCGGGAAAGCTTGCAAATAGTTGATTGGTAGAACCTGAGGACTTGAAGATTCTCATGTGGGAACCATGGTCAAGGCCGAATCTCTCACCTAGATACTCCACAATGTTGAACCCAGCTGCCATGAGTGTGGATCAAAGTATAGCGGAATCTTGGGAATAGCTTCAACTTTCTGACAAGCCCGTCGGTGCTCTGGATCGCAAGTTTCGAAGCTCAACTCGAGAATCAACATTTTGGGCAAAAACAAAAGGGCTAAGTGAGCCATGACCAGGATCTGGACCGTAACCACGTGGCTAACCGTGGTGCTCTAGACCTGGAGGCTTCCGCTTGTCGTCAAAGCTTGGGGCCTCGTTTCTAGTTGCATTACTAAGATGCAAGGTGCACAAGGTAAATGATGCTCATGCTCAATGCTTGCAAGAGGATCCAGGATACGGAGGAGAATGGATGGATCAGCAGTTAGGATTCCGAGATGCGGAGCGTCAGGGCGGGAGAGACCCTGTTCCATGTGCTGGGCACGTCTATCAGGAACAGCCGTCTTCTGGCGCCCTGAAGCTCCATTCCTCCCGGAGGAATGAAACATGTTGAAAGACGGCGTCGTCTGCTAAAACAATGGAATGTTCTCTTTGTCCATTGAAGCCATCTAGCCGCGCGCGATTAGACTGAAAGTCTAGGTAATTCAGACCATGGCTAGACTGGCGTGAGGCTCTGCAGGTCTCTCGGGCTGGATAGTCTCGACCTCGGGAGGTTATTGAAACAAACCAAGCCTGGCAAAGTCTGTCGACGGTCGATTCGATGGATGGCGGTCAACGAGTGGAACTCTCCCGATGGATTGTTTCACGCCGTCATTGTCATTGCAGAAGCCTTGGTCCTGCCATGTAAGCGTGCCTTAGTGAGGGCTGTCTACACGACGCGATGTTGCGCGAGGGACGAAAAAGGGAAAGGGAAAAATCAACATGAAACGCGAAGAGGCGCTTCTGGGTTGGTAGCACCACATCTCAACAAAGCCCATGGACGGATGACGATGAACGGGATCCAGTGCATGAGAGAGACTCTCTCTCCCGCTGTTGCACGTACCAGTCTGTTGTGTTTCATCCATTCATTCCTGCTTCTCTTTTTAGCTTCCGGCCTTTGTGCGTCCAATATGTGCAAGCCCATTTCCTTGATTTCTTTCAATGCAAACAAAAACACAGACTCACCGACCGACAAGGGTGAAATCTCCAAAGGCACGGGAGCGGTGGATTCCAACTGACAACAACGTGCTGTCTCCCCACTCCCCCTCATGCATGAGCACCTCAGCCATGGATGAATGGATGGATGGAGCTCCATGCACGCAGGCCGATACAGAAGGAAAAAAAAACAGGCCTCATACAGTACAGCATGTCTCCAGCGCAATTGTATGGATGCCAACTGGTCCTGCTTTTGGGGTGGATTGTCTCTCTGAAACGCCTAGGCCACAGCGGAGTGAGTCCAACAACTGCCTCACAACTGCCTCGTCATCATGATCCCCATCATGTGCCGTCATCAGTTACGTCTTGATCATCCATTCATCCATCTTGTGGGAGTTGCCCCGGGTTTCTCTCCTCTTGGACGCGCTTTTTAACCCCGACGGCGTCATCCGAGTAGCCCTGGTCGAAACACGGTCGGTTTCATCCTGGGCCGGCGCGTGGCCTATCACTTGCAGCCGCCCGATCCAAGGGTCCAGGGTCTCACCGTTTCATGCTCCGACGCTCCACGAATCAGCGCGCCGCTGCCGTACATCTGCAGAGCTGCCATTCTCCGTGGCTGCCTCTGAGCCGCCGAGCTCTTGGGCCGACAGGGGGTAGCTGGAAACCGGGATTGCAACTGCAACGCAACTGCTGGCCAGGATTCTGGGCCACCGTCTGACCATGATGGGTTGCTTTCGTGGCATCCCTCACGGGGTTCACGGCACCTCTAGAGCTTGCTTCAGGACATGCGAGTCTTTCGCAAACCGGTGATTGTCCGTCTCGCCGTGTGCCTCGGTATGTTTCAAACGAAAACTCTCGATGACGGCCCGAGAATCTCTAGACACCACAAGTAACAGCAGAGGCCAGTTCTGGAAGGCAACGTGCTGATGCTTATGGCCCGGGGCCCAGCAGACGCGGTTTTTGAAACCCCGAACGCCAGCTCAGCCTCAGCTCATCTCTCGTGCATGACATTGGCATCAGCAAACAGGACGAACAAGAATGCGGAACGACGTCTCCACGACCAGAGATCAACAACTAGACGTGAGACTTGTGAATCTTAGCGGCGGCTCTGCCCTTGTCTCTTCGTCACGATCAGCACTGGCTTGTGGAACTCTCTGGAACACTGGAACGCCGCGATTTGGCACTGCGAGATCAACAGCAGCAAAGATCGATTGCGAGGGTCCATATTACGCACGATATACGCCCTTGACGGCGCAGTTTGTCGCCTTGCTGCTGCTTTCAGTATGGGGGATCCTCTCGTATTTCACCCCATGTGTAATCTTGGCTGTTTTTGGTCGCCAACCTTGAAATGCATTCTTAATGCTGTTCATGCTATCATGCAAAGGGGGATAACACAGTAGGTGCTGTAAGCGTTCATTGGCGACCTGTCATCCTCCATCCAGCGAGGCCTGAAGCAGCGGAAATTGTCTCCGACTCCTACTGCCACCTTGTAAACTCTTCTGGTCGCCGTCTTTGCCTTTCCTGGGCGTCTATGGATTTGTGAGCTTCCTCAGGTCCAGCGTGAATATTTACAGGGGGGCCTTCTCCTCTACCGCTGCCCAATCGACGCTGCAGCGCTGGCCAAGCCCGCCAACCTGAACCAGCCTAACGAAGGCCCCGGCGCCACCTCACCGTCAGGTACCTGCGCCGGGCTGGTACTTGTGCCAGCAGACTCCGAACTATAATCCGCCGCCATTTTCGGCGTCGCCCCAGGTCTAGAGCGCGCTGCAGATAGGTATCTGTCGCCGGGGCGGTACCTCTGTCGCGACCACCGCCTGTCCCCTGTGCCTCCCCATCCCCCTGTTCCCGGCCTGCCAAACCATCCCATCCCTCTAATACTCTCTCTTCCATTGTCTGTCCATCGTCACTTTTCCCTCTCCCACACGACTTTGCTCGCTATATACCCTTTCTTCACTTCCTGTGAGGCGCTTCGCGTTGATCGCAGCCTTTGTTTTCGACCCTCACTTGTTTGCCCTTGTCGTTACTAATAATACAGAGCAACCTTGCTCTGCCCTCTCCTACGCCGTCCGTACACGCTCGAACCACCACCTCGTGAGCGACCGACGACTCTCCTGGGTCTGGGTATCCCAGCTTGATTTGGTGTCTTGGGCACCACCGTTCGACGGCCGACGACGACTTACACGTCTCTCCCGAGACCGACACTCGCTTCGAATCTCACCTTGCTCTTTGGCAGTCGATCTCACGATCGGCCGCCCTCTCAGAATGGCTATGCTGGCTTCAAAGTCGTCATTTCCAGCCGGGCTCGGTGCCACTCCTCTTGCTCCGGCTCCCCCTCAAACCGTAATGGTTCCGCCTCCACGAAGAGCCCCGACGATGCCCACGGCAGGTGCTTACGGCAGCCCGACCGAGTCCGAATTCTCCGAGCACGATCCCTCCGAATCCGTCAAGAACTGGGACGAAGATAAGGTGTGCGAGTATCTCCGAAGTGTCAAGTGCGGCGATTATGAGAAGATCTTTCGAAAGAACCATATCAATGGCGAGAACCTCCTAGAAATGGACAAGGAAGTCCTAAAGGAAATGGGCGTCGAGAAAGTCGGCGACCGCGTCCGGCTCTTTCTCAGCATTAAGAAGCTGAGGACTAGAGCGTATGCCAACGAAAAGAAGCGGAATCGGGTAGGCTACAGCAGTAACTGTTGTTTGTGCGGGACCCGTGGACTGATCATATCTTTAGGACTCCTTTGGTGGCCTCGATATTCACATTACCGCTCCTGGTGGCTCGCCCCGGCCGCCAAACACCTCCCGAATGGTGCCCACGTCAGCCACCAACAAGAGATTCTCGAGACAGATTGACCCATATGGTGGCCTGGACAGTGGCAAGAGCAGCTCCCGACCCAACTCTCCTCTCCCTGGCACTGAAATTCGGACTATGCGGGTGCGAGGGAAGCCCTATGCTACCAGCCCGGTAAACATGCAAGGGCAGAGGGTAGCGGGTGATCCGGCAAACCGTCTGGTAACGACCCATACCAGGAATAATTCCAGTATGGACGGTTCGCTGATGGCTGCCTTACCACAGAATCAAGAAGTTATCCGCGTCATCTCAACTGGCGGCGTCACCAAGGTGGTCAAGATAGCCGACTGCAATACTTGCGAGGAGGTGATGCGAGTGACGCTCCGGAAGTTTGCTCTGCGCGAGGATCACGAAAGGAACTACTGCTTCTGGGTTCTGGCCGGCATCGACCCTGATCCGAGCCAGACTCGACGACTTGGCGACACGGAACTATGGCGCATCATCAAGGACCAGCGACGTCCGGAGCGGAATCGACTGATCCTGCGAAGGGTCCCGGCGGGTGAGCCAGGCGAGGCGGAGTTGCAGCGGGCTGCGGCCATTGCCATGGAGGAGGAGCAACAGAAACACGCCCGCGCTCTCGAGACGGTCGACAAGCGAAGTCAACTCAAGGTCCAGAAGATGCTTGGAGAGAAGTGGAACGACCAGCTTCAGTCCCCGCTCTCCCCTATTTCTTACCAAGACCGCGAGCGAAACCTACACAACGCAGCCAAGGATCTAGAGCGACCTCTTTCAGTTGCCGAACAACGGCCAGAACGGCGCATGCCCGGGGCACTCCGCCAATTCGGTGGACTTCGTCCCCCTAGCGAGCTGATTGCATCTGACCTGACGTCCTATTTCCCTGATCATACCAGAGAGGACATTGACCGCACGGCCCGACTTTCTATGAGACGGTCGACTCGGTTGAGCAAGGTCAATAGTCGGCTCAGTGTGGCTAGCAGCCTCAGCTTTGCCTCTAGTATTCAGGATGCACCCCCCATCCCAACTATCGCTGACTCGTGGCTCAACGCCAACTCACAACTGGCCAAGATCAAACCTCGCGATTCGCACATCCGACCCCCTCAGAATGCGTATAACCGCGACTCGGTGACCTCGTCTATGCTCGACACGCTTCAGGAGGAGTCGCCGATCGAGCCAAACCGCAAGTCGTATGTGTCATTCACCGAGAGCAGCTCTGACTCGGCTGCTCTGAGCGTGACCGACCCAGAAGGCAACACGACAACGACAAGCTACTACGACGGAGATAACTCGACGGGATCTGGCTCATTCCAAGAGCTACAACAAGCTTTGACCAATGACGGCGATGATGTCGATGAGGAGCTACAAAGCTTCTTGGCGGGCGAGTCATGGGGTGATGACAAGTGGATGAAGGGCGCGCTTATCGGTCAAGGATCGTTTGGCAGCGTGTACCTAGCCCTGCATGCTGTGACTGGTGAGCTTCTTGCCGTCAAGCAGGTCGAGACTCCCGCCCCTGGCGCCAACAGCCAGAGCGACAGCCGCAAGAAGAGCATGATTGAAGCGCTCAAGCGAGAGATTAGTCTGCTCCGCGACCTTCGACATCCGAATATCGTGCAGTATCTGGGCTGCAGCTCATCTGCTGACTATCTCAACATTTTCCTCGAGTACGTTCCTGGTGGTTCAGTGCAGACCATGCTCAACTCGTATGGAGCTCTGCCTGAGCCGCTGGTACGAAGCTTTGTTCGACAGATCCTGACGGGTCTCTCGTACTTGCACAACCGGGACATCATCCACCGCGACATCAAGGGAGCCAATATCCTCGTGGACAATAAGGGAACCATCAAGATTTCGGATTTTGGCATCTCGAAGAAGCTGGAGGCATCCAACATTCTGAGTGGGGCGAATAATAACAAGCATCGACCGTCACTTCAGGGGTCAGTTTTCTGGATGGCCCCCGAAGTTGTCAAGCAGACATCGTACACACGCAAGGCGGACATTTGGTCACTGGGCTGCCTCGTGGTGGAGATGATGACTGGCAGTCACCCTTTCCCCGACTGCAGTCAGCTTCAGGCCATCTTCAAGATCGGAGGTGGCAAAGCAGCCCCCACGATCCCCGAGCACGCTAGCGAGGAAGCTAAGGAGTTCCTCGGACAGACGTTTGAGATCGACCACAACCTGCGACCGAGCGCGGATCAGTTAATACTGAGCCCGTTCTTGGTCCCCATCACCTAATATGCAACTAAGACGCCGGGGCCGGCCCGCCTGAGGCTGGACCGGGGGTTTTTGGACGAATTACGAAGTGTCTGATGTGAATACTGTTGACAGAACATGAGCGGGGTGCGCGAAGAAGGATAGGAGGACGAAGAATGTTGAGGAATGGGAGACGGAGAAAAGTCTTGTCCTTGTCCCCGAGCCGGTGTAATAGCGGTCACTGGGAGGAGTCGACTATCTGGTGCAGATCAAGTTGACCAGAGAAGCAGGAAGGCCTGCCCTGCTGGGTTAGAAGTTGAGTGGTAATCTACCTGGAGGACGATGTGGTGGGAGGAGATACAGGAGGGAACCAGAGTGTGTGTAATAAGGAGATGATGGATGGCTGATGATATGACGTTGCGATACCACGCTCGCTTTGCTTAGAGGATTGCATGCATGGGTGGACGGATTGGGAGGGACGGCAGCATTTACTTAGATATCAGACATGGAGGCCGGGGATACAGGAGTTTGGTAACTAATGCGACTTGGAATGAATCCATGGGATGAGGGAGACATTGCTTGAGGATGAGTAACACGAGAGAGACAAGACTAGGCTCTTGCAAGCGAGTGAGTAATAAGAGACAGGGCATGATACAAAAGTACATTTTTGTGCTGGCGTGACTTTGTTTGTAGGACTTTGGTTTGTTGTTTGGGTGTTTGCTAGTGGTGGGTTTGAGGCGGAGTTGAACCAAGCCGCCTTTGCTGCCTTGTCTGCCTATCGACAACCCACTCGCCAACCACGCTCTGAGGCTGGGGCTATGAAGCCAAGGCCCAAGCAAGCGCCAGGCCGCCAGTGACGGAATTGAAGGGATTGTCCATTCACTCGTTCATTGCTCGGATAAAAAGCAAGACCAAGTTCACGCTGCTTACCAGAGCCTTCCTTATACCACCCACACCAGCATCAAGAGACAACGCTTGCGCTGCACTGTAGAGTCAGACCGAGCACGACTGCAACCTCTGGCCTTACTGACACCGTGTTAGTTGATACATATACCCGTCCATCAGCTCACTTGCAGCCATGAGCTCGCAGGGTGACAGCCAGCCGTCGCAGGACAGCACCATGACGCTCATGCAGGACAACCTCCACGAGGTGCTGTACTTTGCCTACGGCTCCAATCTATCGACGGAGCAGATGCGCGAGCGATGCCCGTACTCTACACCCGTCGGACTGGCCTACCTCGAAGGGTGGAGATGGATCATCAACGCCCGCGGATACGCCAACATTGTACAACTCCCTCTAGACGACAACGAGGATGAAACCGACAAGGGAAAAGGAAAGGCGGTCGACGACGAAGAGCACGGCGTGTACGGACTCCTGTACCTCCTGCCCCCGCAGGACGAGGAGCGGCTGGACCAGCACGAGGGCGTCCCCTGGGCGTACCAAAAGTTCCAGGTCAACGTCAAGTGGGCGCACTCCAAGGACAGCGACGAGACACTGCGGGCGCTCGTCTACGTCGACGGGCAGCGTGTCGAGGAGGATGTGCCGAGAGATGAGTACGTGGGGAGGATGGAGAGGGGGATTGAGGATGCGGTTGATAACTGGGGGTTGGATGAGGAGTGGGCGGATAGGATTATGAGGCGGTTCTGGGTCGAGGAGGAGTGATTTATGTGAGATGCTTTGATGGTGATAACCGCCATGGCTGTTTCTTTTTTTTTTTTTTTTTTGGTTCAGTATTCTGGAGACGGACTCTTGAGGATGACTTGGGACTTGTCATTTGACTTGCTTTTTATCTTGTTATTTCCTTGGGTTAAGTCTGCTTTCGAGTTGTCTATTTCCTTGTCTTTTCCTAGCGATTTTGACGAGCACTGAGTAGCGTTATGAGACACGGATACATCGAGGCACTGGATATGTCTCTTGGTATTATTTTTATCATCTGACAACTATGATTTGGGTTTTAGCAAACTATACAGACAGGCTAGACAGATATTAGTGATATTGATAGCGTCAATAATTCAAGTTTTGCTAGATACGTGAAATTCTATCTCAACCTTGTGTGGGAATCAACACCACTTACTACCGCGTGGATACCTAGGCACAATGTGGCAAAAGGTTGGAGCGGATTTGACTACCATGATTCATTGAGATGGCATGACAATAAGCAAAGCCTGGTCGGTAACAGCGAGTTAAACAGTGACAACTCATGTCGTTGATGAAGCCAATATTTTCTTTGCGGCTCGAGGTAAGTGGCTCATGTACATCTTGGAGTGCAAGCTTCGTTTGTTAGATGTTCATGCAGTAGTATTTCGGAGGGCCAACAGAACTATGTTAGCGTATGCTTTCCTAAGGGTAGCGATAAAGTGAAACAAAAAGAATAAAATAGATAAATACAATATCGATATCTTCTACATAAATTCAATCACAAGTTTAAAGAAAGAGTTGGATCTTCTTTGTCGTTCTGGTGCATCGTCAAGTATTGTTCTTGCAATATATGTTGGTGATTACCCTATATTAATGGGAGCTCGAAACTAAACCAGCGGCGATGCTTGATTCTTCTCAATTCGAGTGCTCCAAGATACTAAATTTATCCAAAACCAGCTGCAGATTATTTATTTTGTTCCTTGATCAGCCCATGCCTTGTTCGAAATCCCATCTCTCTAAAGCTCTCTGTTTACTCTACCATTCCGCCCGGAGCAGTATCAAAGGTAGGTTCCCAACACATGCAAAACACTTTACCAACTTTGTGTGTTGATATTGAAACTCTGCTTTAAAAGATCTAATTTGAAGGATATCGATCATCATCTATGAATTTACTCTTCCAGGGAGAGTGGTGGTGACTTCTTTGACCCTTCTGGCATGTCCTTTGCTAGGAGAGGTACGTACCAAACTCAGCGCCGGTGGACCGGAGACTTGAACGAAACATCAACTAGCCGGGACATGATCAATCAACTTGATCTGATCAACAGCATCACAAGTCTTTTTCTCTTGACTCCTAAAGTTCTACTCAAAATGCCGCCTCGGCTATTCATCTCATCTGCAAAGCGCGCGTCACGCCACTTCGGCTCAACCACCAAAATCACATCTCATGATCCCCGCCGCTCCATCATAACAACTACCCCATGCCTCTCGCGCAGCTTCCTCGCCTGGTTTGCCCGTGGCGGTACATCAAACGGCCTCGTAATTCATAGGAGAGACCTCCCACCCGAGGCGCAATGGTCTAGTGTTCTCCCTCCCGCTATGGGCTCACCAGACTCGTACGGCCGCCAGCTCGACGGCATGGGTTCCGGGTTGTCGTCGACGAGCAAGATTGTCATTCTCGGACCGCCCTCTCGCCCGGATGTGCACGTGGACTTTACTTTTGTGCAGGTTGGTATCAAGGATGGCATCCTGGACATGGCTGGCAACTGCGGCAATATGTCATCCCTAGTTGGGCCCGCGGCGTGGGATGCTGGGTTGGTGCCGACAGAGGCGGTTGAGCAGGAGAAGGATGGCTCGCAGTGGGTGACGGTACGGTTTCTGAATACCAATACCAACAAGGTCATGACTTCGCGGTTCCAAGTTGCCGGTGAGCCGTTGCGGTACACTCATGAGGGCGACTATGTCATGGATGGAGTGCCGGGCACGGGCTCCAAGGTCATCATGAGCTTTCTGGACCCTGCAGGCGCAAAAACTGGCAAGGCCCTTCCGACTGGGAATCCTGTTGATGTTCTGGAACTACCCGATGGGAGCAAGGTTGAAGCGTCTCTGGTCGACGTCGGCAACCCAGGTGTCTTTATCAGCACTGAGAGCCTGGGGTTAGCGAACCACATGGCCTTGACACCGGCGATTGTCGAGGCAGATGCAGATCTCAAGGTACGGTTAGAGCAGATACGCAGAGCTGGAACTTCCCTCATGGGTCTCAACCCAAACGTCGAAAGCGTCCCCAAGATCGTTCTCCTGTTTCCCACCAGCGGCTCACCCGAGGTCGACATCAGATGTCTCGCCTTGTCGATGGGTCAAGCACACAAAGCTGTGCCATTAACGCTGGCGCTCTGCCTCGGAGCCGCGTCTCAGATCAAGGGGACTATTGCCTCTGATCTGATTGGGGGCAAGTCTAAGGAGACGGTGACGATTGGGCATCCTACTGGAAAGGTCGACATTGGCACTGTTATCCGTGACGGCAAGATTGAGTCGGCGCAGTTGTTAAGGACAGCGAGGTTTATCATGAAGGGAAATGTGTATTATTAACAATGTCGTTGAAGGTTAGCATATATAGTGCAGAAGCGAGGAATACGTCCCGAAGTTGGAGATTACTCACCTACACGTTTCTTAGCCTACGTACAATCATGACTTTCCGAGTTGTTAAACTTGGATACTTAAGGCCTAAACGAGCAACTATCCATCAGTACATTATAGTCTTGATACTCGTTGACACCCCAGGAAGAAGTCTTGCTGCGTTCTAATATATGATCACGTGACTCACTCGTCTACTTTCGAGGTAATTCAGACATCCTTGCTGACGACCTTGCTCAAAACCCCTGACTTTAACACAACCAAACTAACAAATTTTGTCTTGATAAAGCTTTTCTCAAGCAACCGGCTGGATCAATTGCCTCTTCCCATCTTTCAATTCTCCTCTCGAGCAATGGCTGACATACCCGTCTCGGCTACGGGCCCGGCCCATCCATACTTCCCCCTCGGCGCCGTGATCCCAGGTTACATCCCCAACGACAAGGACATAACGGAGCTCATGCTCAAGTTTGGCGCCGTAACCGGAGCCGTAGTCGGGTCCGCACTGTGGCTGACGACACGGAGCAAACACCCGCTGCGCGCCATTGACCGATTCGCAGCCGCCTGGTTTGCCCTGTGTGAGTTGGACAACTACACTGGCTTCTTCGTAATTGGGACTAATTCCGTGTGGCTTGGACTTTGCAGGTGGCTTCTTGCATGTTGCGTTTGAAGGTGAGACGTAGAGGTTTCCTCAGACGTTGTCGTATACTAACATGGGTTTGCAGGTTACTATCTCGTATACCGCCATGAGCTCACGGGCATGTCTACACTCTTTGCCCAGCTATGGAAGGAATACGCCCTCTCAGACTCACGGTACTTGACCCACGACGTCTTTACAATCAGCGTTGAAACCATCACGGCGGTAAGTTGAAACATCTAATCCAATACCCCTGATGGAACCACAGCCTCAACTTTTGTTTTCTTCTTTTGCCTCCAGCTCGCCTGGGGTCCCCTCTCCCTCTTGACCGTCTTCGGCATCATCCACGGCTCCCGTAGCCGTCACGTAGCGCAGGTGATTGTGTGCACTGCGCACGCGTACGGGGTGGCACTATACTACCTGACCAATTTCAACGAGTCGCGCATGCACGGCGTGGCATACAGCCGCCCCGAGACGCTGTACTTTTGGATATACTACGTGGGATTCAACTTTCCCTGGGCGGTTGTGCCCCTCGGTGAGTTTGCGTGTGTGTGTGTGTGTGTGGGACGATATATAATGCTGACTTGAGTGTGTAGTGTTGCTGCGTGATAGTTGGCGACAGATCGGCAGTGCCTTTGCTGCTCTTGAGGAGAAGAGGAAGGGAGAGTGAGGCTTCGGTTGCCCGAGTTGACAGTAACTCCAAGTGGACAGGGCTCTGTGCATCCTAGCCATGACCATGCCGACATGGATATGCCACCCCGAGTCTGTTTACATCGTGCGCCCTGTCGGTCACCGGTCTCACGTTGGATAGGCCGATGTTCCCGGACACAGCCTCCCGTCAGACGAATCAACCGATGTTCTTGTACAGGTCTCGTCCGCCCTGTCGAGGAAAGCATCTAGATGGTGGATGTGACAAGTGATGTATCATGGACGGGGACATCCCGAGCGAGATCTAGCTGCCCACAAGGGAATATCAGAAAAAAAGCGAGGCCCATGCTGGCCCCCAAATGAGGCCTGTTTTTCTCGTCCGCCCTGTTCTACTACCAACGGTGCTTACCTTGACGCCCCTGTCTCTCTCCGTCTTCTCGCCTGATGTCTCTCTCTTCTCACGGACCACTCCTCGCCTCGTACTCTCTCTTTCCGCCCGTCCCGTCCCGTCATGCCGGGCTCCGAGGCTTTGGGTTGGTTTGACATGATGGTGGGCCTCTGTGATAGGTTTCTTTTTGCTCTCATGCGAGGCCCCCTTCCCCTCTTTCTTGGGGGGATGCTGAACATGACACGCTTTGTTGTTGATACACGCACACTCTCTCTTGGCTAGCCTGTCTCTAGATGCAGTCCCCCGCCGCTCATCGTGAGGCGAGCAAAACAACACGACGATGACTCGACGAGTTTGAAAAGACTTGAACTGATTAGGTGAGTGAGTATGTCTTGAGAGACCGTCACACCGCATTCCCACGCATGCAATCTTTCCTCTTTCTTCTCCATCTCATCGAGTCGGTGAGAGAGCATGAGTGAGTCAACGGGCATACATACATTACATTACATTGGTCCTGCAGTTACCCATCCCCCTCTTAGCTCCTTGTCCATTTGTCGGCTGGCCTTCTACATTGGAACTCTTCTGCAGCCGAGTTGTGTAGTGCCTCGTGTTAGTTAAAACCACGACTCCACGTTGAAAGTCTTGTGATACACGGGACGTAGCAGATTATCAGTCGTATCCATCTGAAAAAGAAACGATTTTATATTACATTTTCTCACCCTTTTCACAGCTGGTGTTGTGGACGACGCTATCCAACTGTAAGTAACCCCCCCTGTCGACACCCAACTTATACCCCGGTCAGCAACCCTAGCAGCGCATGCATGGTAAGGCGACCGCCTCATTATGTAGTCTTGGGCTCTGGTTCGCCTTTAGCTCGCCGAACCCCCAATGCCTTGGGTCTCGTGACATGACTATCAATTGCGTGTTCAAGTTAGTGGCAGAGAGCATAACTCGATAATCATTCAAGTGAGGCGAGAAGATCTGAGAGATCGAGTTCAACACGAGCAAACCAATTCTTTAAACTCTGTTGAAAAAACAAAAATTGTTGAATGCAACTGTCCAGATGGGTTGCAATCAAGGTGAAGGCGGTGAAAGTTACACCAAGAAAAAAGAGTGTGTGCTTCGCGTCAGGGGTAAAGCAACACTTTCGGTGTGCAGAGGGATGCAGAAAGTGCAAACTCAATTCAAAGGGACAGTGCATGAGAGACGGTGTGCATAGACAACATGCAGTCATGGTTCAGAAACAAAAAGAATAATGCCATTTGTTTTAGCCTAGATACCAACGGTCTGTTCTAAAAGATAGGTATCTCAAACTCTTCTTGTTGACCCCATGTTCCCAAAGAAAACCCCCCAATCTTGTATCCCTTTTTCGCCGTACGCTACCTTGTCACACTTTGACCGTGAAATATCCCATGTAGTTAATACTCTGTTTAAAACGTAGATCCTCCTCTTACAAAAAAGGGTGATCCTTTAACCCCCTACTTGGGGCATACAATTCAATCCATGACACTCACCCAATGTGCCCGTGATATTTCACATCATACAACCTTAGTCCACAATGTCGCCGCTAGATGCCGAAGAGGCCACAGACGCGGGACGAGGAGGCGGCGGCGGCATGACGGGGAAGAAGTTACCCGCCACGTTGATGTCGATCTCAAACTTGGGCATGGCAGAGCTGGCACCGCCGTTGCGGAACAGAGCCCCGAGGTCGTTGCCGAACGACGTCATGTCGTATGTCTCGTCGCCCAGCGTCACACGGCGGACCGTGGCTCGGTAGTTGGTGTTGCCTCGCATCGGGGGTGGGTAGGGGGTAGGGCTCGAGGCGTTGATGAAGCTCATGGGACGAAGAGTCGCCTCGCCCGTTGCCGTCTGCTGGAGGAACTGGGCGGTGGGAACCACCTGCGCAACCATGTTCTTCTTGCCGGTGCCGATCAAGTGAAGGACGAGGAGAGCAGCGTGCGTCTTTTGTCCCGGAAGAGGGATGGGCATGGTCCTGGGAGGAGGTGGGGGCATCACGGAGACCGGGGGAGGAGGAGGTCGGGCGGCCGGGGCCGGAGCGGGGACGGGAGCGGGGAGGTGAATCGGCGCGGGGACGGGATTGTTCCATCCAGGGGGAGGGTTCTGGACCACGGCAGGTCGCTGAGGCAGAGGAAGAGGCATAGTTCCCCAAGCTGGATGGGGGCCAGTGCGGACGTCGCTCACAACACTGGCGTCAATGCGAGAGCGACGAGTCTTGACCGCTTCAGCTCTGTGGCTTCTGCGATGCGCCATGCGAGGGGGTGGCTGCTCATCCTCCGACATCTCAGACTCGGAGCCAGAGCCCGAGTCCTCAGTGTCGGAGGAGCCGCAAAGTGCAATAACCTCTGGTCTCACCTCACCGCCTCTGAGTCCAGCCCGGGGCTTGGTGGTGGTGGTGGGAGCAAGGTCGTAGCCGTGGCAGCTGACGTGCTGGTCTACCAGACGAGCAGAGTTTTCGTGGAGAATCTCCATGGCTCGCGAGGGATGGGTCGCAGTGCCGGAGAGGATCTTGGTGCGTTTGCCCTTCTCCGTCTTGAGAACAAAGAGGTGCCATTGGTTGCTGGTGTCGAGGCGAGAAGCAAGCTCATAGTCGGCATCGGGACTACCGTGAAAGGAACGGCAGTTGGCTAAAAGAAACAAAAAACAGGTTAGTTGAAGCTATTCGGACTCGTTAGGATGTCAAGCGAGGGTCCACTCACCAAGCACGAGACTCTGGTAGTCGGGGTTGACAGACGGGAGAGGCATAGCTGCGATAGTTCGTGGCAGCAAGGTCATGAGGGAAGTAATGTCAAAGTGCTGTAAGAGATCCGATCAAGTGATCATAGAAAGGCGGTGCATAGCAGATTGCCTTGATCGAAAGTGCGCAAGGCCTCCTATATTAATACAACTTCACCACCATCAGCCACTTCGCTTGCAGTCTGTTGACCTGCCGGATTGAACATAGGGAGGTGAGGTACGAAAAGAAAAAAAAAAATAAGGCGGACTGCATACCTCCGGCAACTTGGGCTGGCTTGGGGGCGTGTGTGATGTGTGAGAGCCTCCCTCCCACACCTCCTGCAAGTACCCTTTCGAAAGCCATAACGACCCCTTCGCCTCTTCTCTCTGGCCTAGTTCTGCTGTGCATCGAGGACGGATAACAACTTCCATGACCAGTGTCGCAAACGGAACCAGTCTTGTGCATGTCATGTCCCGCCCCCATGAAGCCACGACAATCGGGCTCGAATGAGGCCAAACAATCAACAACAAGAATGCATCCTTGGCCCTGTTGCTTGTCTTGTCATCTTCGCCCAGTTTCTAAGGCTCTCAAGGGTTCAACCCCAGAAATAGCTCCTAGCAACCCGGTCTACACATGCAGCGACCCCTGAATGGCCATGCTATAACGTAGTAACAATCCTGCATCCGTTGTCGCATCCCGGCAGCCAGCGATAAGCAAATCAGCCGCATTATTGGGAGCCTCAATTCGCCCTGCTTGTCTCATCGTTCTGGGAGATGTGCCCTCCCTTGGCGCTGAGTGTCACCACGGTAATGGGATGGCTGACTTTATCACCCTCAGAATTCAGCCTTTGTTGATGATTCGGTCAGAATTGAGACTTGTTGAAAGCAGTGAAACAAGGCTGAGCAATAGTTTCGCCACTTTGTATAGCTTGAATGGGGGTAATGAAGTGTCCGGGGGAACAGGCTCTCGTTAACATCGCCTCAGGAAAAAATGATTGGATGAGGTTGCAGCCGTAGACAGCCCTATAGTTTGTCAGGCCAAAATGTAAAGGTTGGCTAGGGACTGAGAGATTAGCAACAAGGGTTGGTTGGTTGAACAAACTTGCTTTTTTCTTCTTGCCGGCCCTGCCTCCTCCCGGCCTGTTTTTTCTTTTTTCTTCCCGTTTATACTTACTTCCTTTTGTGTGCCGTGATAGCATCACGTCGCAATGCAAACTGCCGGGCAATCCATGCAGTGGAAACTCGCTGTGTGTGTGTCGATCACTGTTAGGAATCTTGTTTCATGCTTCGTGATGCTGCTGTCAAGCATGGATGACCATGACGTGAGATGAGACTGAGTCCGGCTTCATTTTTTGACAGAGAAAGGTGGCTGTCCAAGGGAATGTTTGTCGACTTGCCCAAGGAATGAAGGAGTGAAAAGAGATCCAGGTGAATCAAAATGGGCCAGATGTCTCTTATTATACCCCGCAAGCAGAATCGGTCAGTCGTAGATAGATAGATAGGTAGGTTGGTATTGTACACATTAGCTTCAAACATTGGTTTGCAGCCGTTCGAGTCGAGCAGCCACCGCCTCGACCAAGGCACTCTCCCTTGACAGCATGCCTTGGACCTGTTGCATCTTCGCCCGACGAACATCCTGTGGAATCCGCAACTCGGCCGAGGGTGTCGTGGGTCCGTCTCCGTCCGCAGCCACCTTGTTCAGTGCCTCCACCTCTGCTGCAAGATCCGCCTGCAGGTGCTTGATGTCTTCCAGACGTTTCCATAACTGTTTCGCCTGAGCTGTTGCCCCCTGCGCCTTGCCTGATGCCAGCTCTGCATACTCTGGCGCTGTCACGCTCGCCTCCATGCTTCTGACCTCCTCCACGAACGCGCGTTCCTTGGCGCTTAGGTCCCTAGTCGTTGCCTTTCCGACCACCTTTCGTAGGTTCTCCAACCGCTCGGCAAGCTGTCCCTGCCGGTCCTTGGCTGCCGAAACTCTCCGGTCATACATGTCATTGTCTGCCTCGCCGTCACGGTGCGCTCCATTGATCGTGTCAATTTTGCCTTTGACCTCATTGGCCTTCATCACTTGCTGCTTCAGCTCAGCCTGGAGAAGCTCGCACCGCCGGAATACCTCGGCAGCTGCCATCCCGAGACGATGGGTCTCATCCGCCAAGACCTTGTGTGCATCGGTAAAGATCTGGAGTGTAAGCGGGCTTAGCCTCACTTCCTGGTTAACTACCGTCTTGTGCCGAGACGTGCGGAGCCTCTCCAGCAAAGTAGGCAAAGCGGAGCCTTCGTCAAATGCATGCGACGGGTTGAAGACTGGACGAGGCTCATAGAAGTCCAGTGGGGCCATACTGGCTTCACGCTCGTTGTCAGGACTCTCCTGTCGAATGGGGGCAAGATCAACCTCAGGCATGTCAAAGGTCAAAGCGATCGGGTCGTAAGGCGTGGCTGACAGGAGGAAATAACCGACATCAGGGTCCCGGAGCACACTGCATGCAGCCAAGGGGACAGTTACGTCAGCGGTCGGCTGCGAGTATATGCGCTCCCTAGCCGACTGCGAGTTGACGAGGAGCCCGATTCTGAAGTCCGTACCAGCCTCAGAGTCGCCATTGAGTTCACCCTCGAGGCGGAAAACCCACGACGTGAGAGAAATAAAGGTGATAGCCGCGTGGTGTGTAACAAAGAAGTTGTAACGAGACGTGACGTCGGTGCTGAACACCGGCCAGGACTCTTCGTTGACCTCAACCGGGGTCATGGTATCAATTGCCTGGAAGGAGAGAAGCGAAGGGGGGTCAGATTCGGCGAGAAGTCGTCCAAGCTTAGACTTGTTCTTTGGCGGCAACCACTGAGCCTGTACGCCCTCCATGTCAAGGTAGACGCGAATTTGGCCGCTCGTGGATAGAAGACAGACCACGGCAAGGGACAGGCCCTCCTGATCCCCGTCATCCATGTCCAGGTCATCCTCCTCTCCCATCATGAGTTCCTCTGTCTCAGTCTTCTTTCCGATAATAAGCATGTCCGTGATCGAGGTGTCCAGCTCATCGCCAGTATCAGGGTCTGACTCGAGTTCGAACGGTCCCTGCAGGCGAGGGATGGCACCGGGTCGGGATGGTCGTGTGTAAATCTCCGTGATAGGTTCTCCAATCGGCCCCTCGACAATTTGTGGTTCCTGAGAATCCAATTCTCCCATCCATTCCAGCTGCTGTTGGGCAAGGAGCTTCTCTTGTTCTCCAATCTCGGGATCATCCTCGATACTGGCGACTGTGGTAACAATCGACACCGAAAGCGAAGGAATCAAGGTGGGAGGGGGTGCCCAGCGCTGAGGCAGCAACGGGCATAGAGCATAAACATCTCCCTCTCGCATGGCTACCCACAGGGTCATGGGGTTCCATCCACCAGCTCCCTTATTAGAGAAGCTAGCAGCTGCTACCTCCATGTCGAAAGAGTCGGGTGAAAAGGCCTTGTTGGTGGCCGAAGTAGACGCCGAAAAGTCCTGGTCCAGAGTGGTGCCGTCAACCAGCTTCTTCAAATCGATGGACGTTGTAGGAGAATCGAACGACCAACGATCAGATGTAGACAATTCCCACACTCGCACAATGGCGTCCGCCGTGACTGTGACAATGCAAGAACCGCTAACTCCAAGCGGGTGCCACAGGGCAGACACAATGGCAGGCCTGGAAGTGACATGAGTGGTAGGTCCCAGTGTGAAGATTTTGGGCTTGAGAGGGCCAACATCATCGCTGGTCAGGTGGGAGGGATCCGGGAGAACGCAGATATGTATGGTATGTGTCGTCAAGATGGCTAGGAAGTTCGAGTTGGGGGAAATGATGAGCTGTCGAATGTCGTCGGCAACTGGCGTCTTGATGACCTGGACAACGGTTAGCACTTCTCCTTGAACTTGAGATGATAGCATCCGACTTACCCTCAATGCAGCGGTAGACTCCAGGTTCTTGTCGTCCTCGAAAGGAGGAGTAGATTCCTCGCGCTTGATGCGAATTCCCGATCCTGACCTCCCCTTCGCATGGCGATTCGCCGCCCACTCGTCCTTCAAATAGGCAAGGTCTCCCCAGCGGATCTCGCGCCCGACAGCTACAAAGATCTCGGTGCCTCGTCGTGCGATGGTCCTGCGCGGGCCGGGAATGGGCTTCTTTCTGGACGAGTAGCCAACCTCCAAGGCGCGCGACCGCGACGCCTCTGATGGCTCAAACAGTCGATGACCGGGGGTGTTGCTCGACAGCCAAGCTGCCGAGAAGCTCTTGACCTTGGGCATGGCGAGAAACAGGAACCGGAAATCGCCAGCCTCAGTTGGTGTGTAGCTTCCGAAAGCTCAAAAGTTGGAAGAAGGAGCTTTGGGATGGTAAAAGATTGTGACGGTTTGTTGATTGCTGGAGTAACAATACAAGCGAGGCTGAAGATCTGGGGGGCTGGCCGTAGTAAAAAAAAGTTACTAGGCGCCGTCACCCCAGTGAGCGTCAAGAGACGCTAGCACCGCCACACGGGTCAACAAGACACTGGAAGAAGAGGATGAGCTTAAAGATATCGTATACATATATGATGAATAAACTTGAAGAAAATATGATGAACTACTTTAATAACTTATAGCACTGTAACATATTCTTATTGTACTCTCTAATCATCTTTAGGGGAGAATAAGCTCATAAGTTTGCTTATCCCAGTGTCGAGCTTTATCCAGGAACCGCCACAGTTCCAGCCGCATGACCCACTCTGAATTTCGAGTAGCCTTGCGAAGCATCATCACACCAAGCAAGCAACCATCCATCCATCTAACCCCAGCAATTACTCAACAACCTTGTCGCGTTTACCTCTTTCAACCCCCGACATCTTGTGCGACTTCAACACCGACAAACCTCTTTATTTTATCCGTCTAAACCTGCGACAATGCGTCCGGGCGTCAGAAGTACTGTAGAGCGCCTGGATAGGCCCAGCGCCTACTACCAGAGCCGCGTATGGCTTTCAACTCTCCATATTCGCCATACATCACTGACAATGTCCCAGAACAAGCGGAGACGCGATCGCGACGACGGAGAGCACGAAGAGAATGCAGAACCCGCAGTCGACCCCTTGGCAAACGCGACTACCCTTTACGTGGGAAACTTGTCCGTGTTCTCCTAAACTTTCACATTACAGGCGACTGACCACCGCGTTTCCAGGTCTTTCTACACAACCGAAGAGCAAGTCTACGAGCTTTTTTCCAAGTGCGGCGAGATCAAACGGCTCGTCATGGGCCTCGACCGTTTCAGCAAGACGCCCTGCGGATTCTGTTTTGTCGAATACTACACACACCAGGACGCCCTCGACTGTCTCAAGTACATTGGCGGCACTAAGCTGGACGAGCGCATCATCCGCACCGACCTGGACCCAGGCTTTGAAGAGGGCCGTCAGTACGGCCGCGGCAAGTCTGGCGGCCAGGTACGAGACGAGTATCGCGAGGACTTTGATGAGGGCAGAGGAGGTATCGGCAGGGCGATACAGAGCGAGCGTGACTACGACGATGATAGCCGATATAGCAAGTAGATTGGGAGCAGCGGCGCTCCCCGGGTTAGGCTTTTGATACTTGATACCCCTGAAAAAGAAAAAAAGCATTCGCTGTTTGGGAAGATGAACTGGATTCCCTTTGTATTTGATTTGGCGAATATGCCTCCATCCCACTCCCACTGCGCGCCCTTGGTCTAGTCCTACACTCGCACCAGACACCTGTCGACGTTTGTACACCATAATAACCAGGCAAGTTTTTGTGTCGTGAGATTCTCTTTTTCGCAATTCGTAGTTGAAACATTGGTGTTGTACATGGGGACCCAAACAAAAGATCCGCCTGCAATTCCCATTGTGGGATGGATACGCCCGCCCCGGGCTCGATTCTTGGCCCCATTGGGCTTCCGTCTTCCTCCTCTGCGTGATCGACTCTAATAACCGGGGGGGTTGATTCTCTGGGAAACCCTCGTCCACTTGGGAAGCTCTGTTGAGCTGTTAGTGCCTCTGTTTCCACTCAATTGCAAAAAGACGTACTGTGAATGCCCTTGCGGTATCTCTTGGCCTTTCGGTCAAACATGGTGTACTTGTCCTTGGGCAGCATCTCAGCCTCTGTAGGCATCTCAGCCTTCCATCGCTCGAGAGCCTCGAGGGTCTGTCCCTTCTTGGCGAGGGCAGCATCGACGGTCGCAACGACGTTGTCGACGGCTCGGAGACGCAGGCGGTGTCGTCGCTTCTGGAACTTGGACAGTCGCCAAGGGATCTTCCACAGAAGACCTCCCGAGAGGGGATTCGTAATGCGGAAGGGGCCGAACATCGTGGCGGGGGAGGAGGGGTATCGCTGAATCGGACGGCGGAGGGACGACGGAGGAGGAGTTGGACGTTTATCGGAGGGCCGACGTGAACTTTTTCCCGGGGGCGGCTGGCGGAGCCGCGGGCGCTTGGTACGGATGCATTTGGTTGGCTGCATTAGCGGAGGCAAAAGGTGGGCGGAATATTGTGAGACCCGGCGCTGGGGGGAGCTCCCCACATTGAGGACGTCGCAGTTGCAGCGTGGATAGACGACATTGACGACTCTATCGACAAAAACGACGACAACACCTGTTAAACGCCCAGCGCAGCCGGACGAGGATCTCGAAGTACAGCCGATGCGGCCCGCGACACGATGAGTTACTATTTCGCCATCGTCGGCACACAGGACAACCCCCTGTTCGAGCATGAGTTCGGCACCTCGAAGCAGGGCGGCGACGGACAGTCGCGCTTCAGCGACCAGGTCCGACACCTGAACCAGTTCATCCTGCACTCGAGTTTGGATATTGCCGAGGAGGTGCAGTGGTCGCATGGACAGATGTGAGTTGAGCAGCACCTCTGTGAGGATGTGTCGAGCCCTGGTTTTGCGATCAAGGGGTACAAGACGGATTGGACATGGATGGATCTTCAAAGAAGCGGAAGCTTACTCCTCTTGTCGCGTAACAGGTACCTCAAGTGCATCGACAAGTTCTTCAACAACTACATCTCATGTTTCGTCACCGCCGGCAACGTCAAATTCCTCCTCCTCCACCAGCCCATCGTCCCGACTTCAGGCTCCTCGTCGCGGTCGTCAACCGCCATCGGCGCCAATCCCACCAGCCCTGCCACCGAGGAAGCAATCAAGATGTTCTTTACTGAAGTGTACGAGAACTGGGTCAAGGCCATCATGAGCCCCTTCTACCGCGCCAACATGGAAGTGCGTAGCCCCATCTTCAGGACAAGAGTGGCGGCGGCGGGCAGGAAGTACCTGTGATTACGGGAGAGGTTACGTGTTCTTATGATACCATGGATGCTTGCGTTTTAGATGGGAAGATAGACAGTGCCTTGGATTTAAAATAATACATGACATGAGTGAATCGATATTACAGCAGTCAAGGCCAGGCAAGGGACAAGGTAACAGTTCTTTGCACACTAAAGCATCAAGAGAACCACAAGTGATCAATGATTTGTGTGTGGTATTCATTTCAAAAGGTCGTCTACCATGACGCCTTGCAATATCATAGCCTGGTCCCCAACGCCTTTGTCAAATACATCCATCCCAGTGTCAGCCATTGTGAATCGCTGTATAGCCTCCCAGAAACACAACCACCCGGTAGGTGATGTAGCTGCTTAACCACCGAAACCGTAGAGGGTGCGGCCCTGTCGCTTGAGGGCGTAGACGACGTCGAGAGAGGTGACGGTCTTGCGCTTGGCGTGCTCGGTGTAGGTGACGGCGTCTCGGATGACACCCTCGAGGAAGGTCTTGAGGACACCACGGGTCTCTTCGTAGATCACTGAAGGGACTGTTAGTATCTTGATGGTTTCTCATGCTGTGGATCAAGGTCAACTTACTGGCAGAAATACGCTTGACACCGCCACGACGAGCGAGACGTCGGATAGCGGGCTTGGTGATACCCTGGATGTTGTCTCGCAAAATCTTTCGGTGACGCTTGGCACCACCCTTGCCGAGGCCCTTGCCGCCCTTTCCGCCTGAAGTAAAGGGTTAGCAACCATCGTGAAGCTCAAGTTGAATGCATCTCCTTGATGCGTCGGTGGTGCAGTCGGTCAGATGCGACAACGACGATGCACCACACAACGACGACTAGGTGATGAAGTAAATAAAAGAATACTTACGTCCAGTCATGTTGATGAGAGTGTGTAAAGATTTGATAAAGAGGCGCGTTGTTGAGATACTGAAGATGACGTGCGTGGGTTGCAGATAGACGCGTCCTGGAGAAGAGAGAGAAATGGGAAAAAGGCACGATGCGGGGGGGGCGAGGGGGGTGGAATAAATACGTGCAGGCAATCAGTAAAAAACTGGAACGAAAAAGAACAAGGCAGGCGCCAGAAAATCAGTGCTCACTGCTAAAATTCAGGCGCAATCAGTAGGAAAATGGCCCTGGCGTTGGTGCCGCTTTTCCCGTTTCGGACGCGTTTTTGGAGGGGGAACAGAGCTCACGCGCCATGTAAATTGGCTGATTGTCTATTTGGCCGGTCCGATTTTTTGATTGGTTGATTTATTTTCCAGCCGCCGCCGAAAATGCAGCAGCGGTGGCTGTAGGTACGTACTCGTGACGCCAGGAACATCACCTCGACGACCCAGCCTCTTGGATTTGGCGGGGACTGCAACGACGATTATGGTCATGCGCGTGAGGTCAAACAAGATATTGCATAGGATATCTTTTGAAGCCATCATGAGTTTTTGGTCTTATTTTCTTTCGTGATGCATCATATAGCACGGCACCAACGTTCAATCCTGCCTGATAACTTGACATCATCATCATATGTGTCTCCAACTTCTACCACTAGCGGGCACTCGCATGAACTGCTTAATTACAACGTGATACCAGATCAAGACCATCTCACATGATTAATGTGCCTTCTTTCATGCTGTGACTCATCCTGCAATATTTAATTCACTGTGCCTGCTGTCTTATCTCGTCACAATCCAACTTGACGCATTATTGCTTTTCACAACGACATGTTCACTCATGCACTCACATTCACAACAAACACAACATCCAGCTCAAGCAAAAGACCTTACGGCCTCTTCCTTTTCGACTATCTATCGGAGTATCCTTCCGCAAAGCCCGTTGCTCTAAAGCTTACCTCTGGGTACCCCTAATGTACAGTTCCTACCGCATGTTACCGATACTATACACAACAAGTCAAGCCGCTCTTCCATTTGCTTCCAAAGCCCGGGCTGTTGAAGCAGCCCAGGTAGCAATACCAAGTAACGCCAATGCCATGCCTGCCATGCTGTCATTCCTCAGTCAAGACTTGCGCCAACCCCAGCTCCTCGCATATTCCACCCACCCTTGAACCTCACTTGAACCAGCCTTTGTCAGCCAAACATGTGAGACTGACATCAAGCCTCAGCTGTCGGTGTCGTTCTTCATCCCCGGCACATTCCAAAAACCTCATTATCTTGATGTTCCAATCCCAAAACCAAGGCTCCCTAACTCGCCCAAAGCGCAGACCCGTTAAAATCGCAATGCTCGTGACATCATGCCATCATGGAGTCGTCCATGTCCACATCATCTTCAAAACTCTCAATCGCTTCTTTAATTTGTTGGCTTGCCTAGAGAAACGGTCAGCTTGGTTACATTCAGACATCAGTCAAGTCGCTTACCTTGGGGTCCAAAGCAAGAGCAATGGTAAAGTGCCGCACTGAGAGTTGCTTCTCGCCCATGCTCCTATACAGTTTGCCGAGAAGAAAGTGAACAGTCGCCTCATCCGGTGCCAAGTCTTTCAGCACCATCAACTCCTTCTGTGCAGCGTCCAGTTGTCCTACAGCGAGCAATGCTCGAGCCTTCTTGTACCGGGTCTGCGCAGCTCGCGGCGCGAGTTCTACCGCCTTGCTATATGCTTGCAGCGCAGGCATTATCTGTTTCTGCTTCTCCAACACCGTTCCGATACAACAGATCAGGACTGCATTGTTGGGGTTTATCATCTGAGCTGCGTGGAAGTGCGCGTACGCCTTATCGAGCGCACCCAGGCGCTCTTGAACCTTTCCAATGCCGTAGTAAGCGTTGTAGTGGCGTCTATCTGCCGATATCGCCTGTCGGTATGCCGTGAGGGCCTTGTCATACTCTTCGTTGGCCACATGTTCGTGTCCTTGTAATGTGAAAGCATAGGCGAACTTGGGATCCAGCTGAGTTGCCCTCTTGAAACACTTCAATGCTTGCTCATAGTCGCGAGCGAGCGACCACGCATTGCCAAGTGCACACCAGGCTTGCGGTGAGAGCCAGGCAGAGTCTACCAGCTCATGAGCAAGGAATGAGAGATCCGTCTCTCGCTTCAGATGCCAGAGAATCGTAGAATACACCTCCATATCCTCAAGCCGTGACGGGGCTTGGACACGCATTTTCCTAAAGAACTTTTCGGCGTCGGCGTATGAAGCCTGCTCGTAGTGTGCTCGGCCCATCTGCGCAAGTACCCATGGTGTGTTTTGATGCGCCAGAGGTAGCGACATCAGGGCTTGCACGCTCTCGGCACACTGGAACTGTGACAAAGAGTAGTAGCCGTTGGCGAGCTTCTTTGTAAGATCGAGTATCCACTTAAGTCCTTCCTCGATCCTTTGCGTGTCCAGTTCCGCCGGCTTGGGAGCAGGCGGCTGGGGGGGTACCTCCTTGACCTTTGGCAGTTCCCCGTGATCGACATCTGCGTGTGCGTCTTCCAGAGGTTTGCGGTTCCCGCTGACGACTCGTCCGACACTGGAACCGCTAGATCCTGGTCGTACTATTCGAGAGATCGGGGGCCTAGCTTTCTTTAATTCTCGACCGGCCGACGCTCCTATCGTGGCCGCGCCCGAGTTTGCTTTGGATGATGGTCTGAACATGTTCAGTCTTGCGCTGCGTCGAGTCGTCGTGGGCTCCTCAGGACCCCGTGCTGGGTGTCCTGATACAGTGCGCTTCCTCTCCGCTGCTGGTATGGACGACCGCAGAGGTGCTGAGGGGGCGCCATTAGATGCATCCGCCATGACAACTTCAGCAGCCTGTTCCTGTTGTCCTTTGTCTTGCGCTCTCGTTCGCCTTGATCCTAACCGATAGTTCATCCGTGGTGGTGCGTCATGACCTTGATCCATGGCGTGCATGTTCCGCGTCCTCCGTGAAGGCGCTTGGGGCGCATCATGTGGTTGAACAGCGCGAGAGGATGTTACCTCTGATAATCCTTGGCTCGGGGGAGTCTCCATCCCGTCAAAGCCAGAATTGTTGGTTGTAGTTGCATAGCGCATGCGACCTTCGTGAATCTTTAACATAAAGTCGCTCCTTTCACTTTCCATAGCAGAGTCGCCATTAGTCAACTCGTGGATGGTAGGAGAGTTGCTGGGATTGAATGGGTCACTCCCTATATCCGTTGCGACGCCTCGTTGTGATTTCTTTGTCGGAACCTCTGGGGGATTTGATACTGATCCTTCTCTTGAGTCTACCGACGAGCTCGGCTCCACGTCGAAACTCTGCACAAGCGCATCGTTGATCTTGAAGATGTTTGGCACGCGAACCGTCACGCCCATTTCGCAGAGCGCTGTAAAGGCATCCCACATGAAGGGGTTGAGCTTGAGCGACTCCTCGAAGCAGCCGATAGCCTTCTTCTTGTCGTCATAGCCGCGATTGAGTTTGCCCATCAAACACAACACTGCGGATGCGTCGGGAAGAGCTGTTCGAGTGGTTGCGCTATGCTTCCCAAGGCAACTTTTCGACGACCAGAGACTCCGCGACTTCTCAAGGGCTGTGATGCCATCCTTGTACCGCTCGAGGGCTAAGCAGGCTTGCGCAAACACCCACGCGCAGCCAAAGTGAACACCACGGTAGCCCATGGGTTTACTGACGTCGTATGCCGACCGGTAGTCGCCGAGGCGCAGATGACATAGCGCATAGAGGTATGTGGGTTCGCTGGACCTGGGGTCCTGGGCGGTCAACCGTTCGGCGAAGAAGAGGGCGTTTTCATATGAGGCATTGTCGAGATGATAGTGTATCACCTGTCGTATCAGGCCACTGATGGCTGTCGGAGTGGGCGCCATGCTGGATGTTGCTGTCCAGCGTCAAAGGATGAGGAGGTTGGGGGGGGCGACTTGGGGGGATGGCGCTGTGGAAGTTGCCTAACGACGTGCCCAGGCCATGGGACAGTCGAAGGGTAGAGCAGATCGAAAGACTCAATGGCAGTCAAAGCAACAATAGGCGGTAGAGGATGGTTTGTCGTCGCCAGACAAAGGTGTTTGTTGTGCCGTTCGCGTGAGTGGCGGGGACTGCCAGTCGAAAGAAAACAAAACCACCGTGGGTCGGGGGGGTCGCTGGTCGGTCGCAGTCGACGTCAACGTCGCCGAGATGATTAGAAATTAAATAAAGAGCAAAGAATTTCAAGAGCCAGACGAGAAGCTCAGTCCAAAGACGGCGCTCGGGTCTTGCTGCCTGGGACGGGACAGCAGGCGTTGAGAGCGTGAAGGGGAAGCCGTCAAGTCAAATGTTGGCGGGTCGCAACGTTTCGTGAACGGGAACGGTGGGTCCTGACGAGCGAGCGAGCGTGTGTGCGGAAGGCGAAGATGGGTAGGTTGAGTTAAAAGGCCCAAAGATGAAATAAGTTATAAAAAAAGAAATTTCCCTACTACCAACTCGGTCGGCTTCGATACAAGTGGCACATGATATGCAGACACGACACGGCCGAAGCTCAGGAAGATGCGGTAAGTTTGGACGTCGTTTGGGTTTGGAAACGTGAATCTGTCGGGTCCGTGAGGTGAGCGAGCGAATGTTTGAAAATGGGTGGTCCTTCACGACCAGCTTGGCGCGCGGTATTGTTGTCAGCGTCTCTGGGCAACCAGCCACTAAGTACAGGTACTTGCAGGTCCAGCCTGCGTTCCAATAGGTGGAGGTACCTGGGACTGCTAGCGCCTCCAGAGCCAGCTGCAAGGTCTTGCAACATGAGCCACTAAGCGCTCTTGTTCCTGAGGCTTGCAGAAACAAGGAACCAATTAATGATCAAGACGCATCATGAAAAATGAAACGAATTTAGGAGTGTGGCAAGACGTCTATATGCAGTGAACGAGAGGTTTAGGGGTAATTGGAAAGATTAGGGGTTGCAGTAATAACCACGTTGCAAGTGGGCTTGACAACTGCGTCCTTACTTACTTACTTGTAGGTACCTACCAGCCTATCGTATGTATCCATCATGAGTCTATACATCCATTCCATCTATACTTGGGTTTATCCAATATTATCACAACTTACAAAAATAGACAACTACACGCAAACTTGGGACAATTTTACGAAACGGGCCAAATGGTCATACGTTTGGATGGTAGAACACGAGGTTCTCAGTGATTCATTAATCGTAACCGAGTATCCTATATCTACCCTCCTTGCTGTGAGCAAGACAATGGCGTCTCCATCATTCCCTTCCTTCACAATGCCATCATGGAACGCAGAATCCGGGCTCCAGACAGGCAGAGCTTCAACACTTAAGCGGCAATGGTAACCTCAACCTCAACACCAGCCTCGACTGCAAAACGGTTAGGAACTGTGCAACTCTCCAAACACATCGGGGACCCTTACTGTTGACGATGACGGACTTGACAACCTCGGTGGGGGCGTGGAGGTCGATGAGGCGCTTGTGGACGCGGAGCTCAAAGAGATCCCAGGTCTTGGAACCCTCACCGCAAGGGGTCTTGCGGGTGGTGATCTTGAGGTTCTTGGTGGGCAGGCGGACGGGGCCCTTGACGGTGAGGCCCTTGCTGCGGGCGCGCTCAATGAGCTCGGCGCTGACCTTCTCGAGAGACTGAACCTTTCGGCTAGTCAGGGTGATTCGGATGCGGTGGCTCTTCTATCAGAGGTGTTAGCCGTCGTCCTCCTCCTTGTTCCCATCATTTTTCCATTTCTGTAAAACGTACGGGCTGCTCGCCAAGGTCCTTCTCGATCTTCTGGTGAGACATTGTGAATGGCTGTCAAGACTCGGCAAAGATGACTGCAACGGTAACGTGATGACGGCCTGGTCGGGTTGAGGGACTGATCCTTTTGGTGTTGAGGAAGTTCAATGTTGGTTTCGCACCAAAATTTAGAAATATCCAGTTGTGCGCTTATCGCTTATCGGCCACACCCCACCTCCATCAGGGTACTCACGTGACCTTTGACAGCTCAACTGGAGGAGAGGCATGACGTCGGTTTCAGCCGGAGCTCATAAACATCGCTGTAAATTGAATTGAGGCTATGTAGTCCATACTCTGATTATAGAAATTGCAAAGCTCAAGTCTTTTACTCTCTTGCAACTACATCGCGATTCAACAAGCGAGCGAGGGGCAAGTGGAGGTGCCTATCAGCTTGTCGCAATTACACCTCACTCCGACACGCTGTTCACTCGACCCCTGTCCACCGGCGCCTAGTTTGCGACCAAGCAACTCCCGTCGTCATTCCACTCTACTCCAGGTCAACAGACAGCCTCCTTTCAGAATCTACAGCTCCTCACCTCTATCGCAATGGCCCAGAAAGCTAAGAAGGACCGCGCCAAGTCCAACGCGGCGGCGCTCAACAACCTCCACATCGGTTCTCTCGTCGTCAACGTCCTCTTCCTCCTCAGCCACTTCCTCTTCCGCTCGCGCTCGCTCTGGCTCTATGGCCTCCTCTCCGCGCCCGCCCTCATCTGCGAGTACGTCCTCGAGATTTCTGGCCGCCCCAAGTACGACCCCTCCACACGCGCGCTGCGAAGCTCCGGCGAGGACCTCTCATCTGCTGGTCTGACCGAGTACATGTTCGACGTCATCTGGGTCACTTGGGCATCGGCGATTTTTGTCATCCTCTTCGGCAACAAGGGATGGCTTCTTTGGGTCGTTGTCCCGGCGTATGGCCTGTATCTGGGAAGCGGGCTGCTTGGCATGGGCAGGCAGAAGATGGCTGAACTACAAGGCGCCGGTGCTGGTGTTGGTGATGCGGCTCCTCAGGGAAATCGCCGGGCGCGCCGGGCTGCTTAATTGATGACAATGTTTCTATGGGGTGCTCTATCTACCATGATTCTAGGAATTGGCTCGATCTCTAAGTGCTCTGTCACGGCCGCTCACCCGTCCATCGCTCTATGGTATCATCGTCAACATTTCGCACCAGGACGTGGATATGCTCCAGAGCGCGCACGCTTTGAAGAGCCACCCAATTCTTGAACCACAACACTCGATTCTCTCCGTCTGGGCCCAAGGTGTCGGCAAAATACTCCTTGACAAAAGCCTTGACCAACGCCCTGCTCTCCGGCGTCATGTCCCCTGTCTCCGGGTCTGTGGGGATGGTGGTGCGCAGCCACACGACAATGTGGCGGATCTCCGGATCCAGACCATACGGCCAGTCGTTGATCAAGACGTGGTAATCCGAGGGGTCCTTGAATGGGACATCGGACACTGGTGTGAATGGTGGCTGGCCCCAGGCCTTGGGCAACCGGTTGGCCAGGAGGTAGTTTGTCATGGAGCCATATTCAGCCTTTGTCTCTGATGTCCATTTCATGTAGCGGCGCAGATCAGATGGCTTGCGCTTCAAGACAGAGAGGTTGTTTGCTTCTACCTTGGATGTTAGTCGACTTGAGCCTCAGAACTGCATAGCTAAGTATCAATTCTACTCACCAATGATACCCTTGAGATCTTCCCAGTCATGTTTCTTGAACTCTTCGTCCGTCTGTGATAGAATCCACTTGTCCACCTCGGTGAGGGGGAAAGGAGACTCCTCCGGTGGATTCTCACCCATGGTGTTGTTGAACCGAGCTGCGAACAATGTGGGGGATGCGGCAAAGGGAGCTCTCCGAGGAACCAAAAGCTTGTGATTCCTTGGCCCGGCTATGCATCAGTTGCCTGATCAGTAAACAGAGGAGCAGTTGCCGTCACCAAATATCGCGTGCTTCCTGAACTCACGAGTTCTCAGAGACATATGGAATGCTCTGATGCTCCTCATGCGGTGAGGCCTGGAAGGTCGTCCCAACCAGCTTATGTCAGCCACGACATGTTGCCGAGCCATTCTTTTCTCAATTTAGCAATCAACGGTGTCTTTTTTTCCTTTTATCCACATCCATTTCATGCTGAAGAAGCGGTGATCATTTTTGGGGTTTATCAGATGCTGTCACATGTAAAAGAAAAGGGACAGTTTTGACATTGACAACTTTGACCGTTAGCGGTGGCCACCCACCTAGAGCCGTTGAGCTGCGCCCAACAACAGCCCCTCCATCATCGATCCAACAACCAAACTTGAACGCGTCAAGGACTTGTCGCCCAATTACGGCACGAGCCGCTGTCGTTCATGATCAATTATATCCTTCCTGTTGCGGCTTTGTTAGGGCACTCGTTTGGAGATTGCTTCACTTGAAAAGAGTCACGTTCTCTACCGATTCACGACTTCAAAAGACATTGTATTTCATGAGCCACGTATTCCCATCATGATCCTCGGCCCCATCACCCTCGTCGACTGTGCCGTCTTTCTCGCCTTCCTCGCACCACAGCTCTTGTGGCACGCCGGCTTTTTCACGACCCTCATTACTGGTATTCGGGCTCTGCCCTTTCTCCGTTAGTTGTCCCTCACTCATTGCAGGTCTGGAATCTTACAAACACTCACACGACATGTTTAGTATTGGAGCTCCCTTTTGAATTTGTCCATGAACGCTTCTTTACTCACCCAAGCCGCCAACTCCCATTCACCCAAAATGCCACCTTGTTTGAAGATCTTGTTATCCGCTGTGTGAGATACGCATTTGCCAATATTCCCTCCAAGGTCGGGAGAGTCTTCTTTTCCAAATATGTCGCCCTCCCCTTTATCCGGTGGCGCATGCTTCGCCATGGCTACTTGCGATCTCCAGTCTACTATCGTGAGTACACAATAGGAACGGTACAGTCCCCCTGGAAACCATCCAGAAAGGCACCATTAACAGCAACCAGGGGAACATCCAGACCCGGGGCACCTGGATCATGCATCGGCCCGAGCATCCACCGGACTTTGTTCTCTATTACATTCACGGTAGGGCAGACACATCTATTTACATACCCTTTGACCTCGTCACTAACACGTTCAAGGCGGCGGATTTGTCATGGGCTCGAGTTACTTTTATCTCGAGTTCCTCATGGTTTGGCATCACCTACTCGTGGAAGCTGGGTTCAAGAACCCAGCAATATTTGCACTTGAATACACCTTGGCGCCTGATGAGGTATACCCAAGGCAAGTTTTGGAGGCGTTAGAAGGCTACAGGCACGTTCTCCAAGTTGTCAAGGATGCCTCAAAGGTCTGCGTCTCGGGCGATTCAGCCGGTGGCGCATTGATCCTTAGCTTACTGCTTGAGTTGGGCGCCCAAGCAGATAATCAAGAGAGCAAGGGGGTCAATGCCAGTGTCCGTGGTGGTCTCACCGATCCCCAACCACCTCATCTTGCTATACCACGGATGGCCACGCTCATTTCGCCGTGGGTGACTCTCATGTCGAATTTGCATTATACTTCCAAGAGTGACTTTTTGGATAAACGCACCTTGTGGAGATACGCACATGAATATGCAGGTGAGAACATGGTTCAACAGCAGCCAGCATCTCCAGGCAACTGTGTCGACGATGGTTTGTGGAGGGCAGCCAGTCCAGAACGAGGCTACTTTATCATCTTTGGAGAGGAGGAAGTGTTTGCGCCTGATATTGAAGACTTCCTCAAGCGCCAAGCCAAAATCGGCGTCGAGGTTGAAGGTCAGAAGTTTGACGGGGGAATACACGCATGGCCCGTGGCGTCAATCTTTTTATCGAGCACAGAAGAGAAGAGGTTACAAGGGCTGAGAACTGCTGTGAAGGAGATTAGAAGACGAATGCCTGAATGGGGCACGTTGAACGGAGACAAGGTGTAGCATCAGATTAGATCAAGTAAACAATCATAGACAAGGCCTGAAGATGGTGGATCGGGAACCAGAGGGTAGAACTCGGCTTCGTCTTCACCAGGCCTGCTCCGAGATAAAAGCTCAACTTGTATCATCATATGGCTCGTGAGAGCAAAAGACAAACAGGTAACGTGTGTAGGGAATTTGGAATCATACCGGACAAGAAGATGACACGTCAACCATGAACATTGTCGCGGTCGAGAGCCGAACTGTCAGTGACATCCGAGACCCGGCGAGTTGCTCAGTAGATAGATCGGTTTCAGCCTTGAGACAAACACCGACGCATCCCACCTTGGCTCCCAAATGCTACTGCTAGAATCACAGAGCATAAGGGTCCAGCAATTAGCTGATTCGAGGTTGCTACACAATGGCTGCATTGTGTCCTCCATCAGGCTGACAGTGGGAGCCTAAGAGGGGAGCCTAGGGCTGCAAAAAGGCAACCAAACCATTCATGCAAGGCAGTTGCTCGCGGTTCCTTGCTTGGGTGACTGATTCAGCACTGCATGCTTCGCCATCCATTCGTTGGCGAACGAGGAATGGGAGATGCCACTTGCTCCACCAGTACCCAAGGCCTCGCCTTGCATTGTGCGGCTGGCCAGGTATGGCTTGAAAAGTCGGCGGTACGGAGTGAAGCCAGGGCGCAATAGAAGTCGTACAGGCTGACCGAGTCTGAATCAGTCACAAAGACCCTCAGAGCAAGCGCCGCATCGTGTTACAGAGTCCATACAGGTTGTTCGCCTGAAAGTGTGGATGAAAAAAACAAGAGGGAGAGTGAGAGGTGAGAGTGAATCGCGAACGCACGCCGCGCAGGCAGGGTATGGAGACGAGATGCACACGCGCCTTCCCGAAAAGGATGATGCAGGTAGCCACTTTAAATGCCGGAAAGTGTGAAATGGATCCCAATTATGGGGCGCGCAAGCCTGGTCAGCAGTGAGCACGTCCCAGCAAGAGTTCCTTCCCTTCCCCTTGGACGGTTCCTGCCTACTGCTCCGGGGATCAGCTTGAGACGGTCTCGTCTCGCCCACGGAACGATGGTGGATGGGGGATGGATGTTTGGGTCTGGTGTTACCTACAGCGGTACCTGTACGTAGCGTGTGTCGGAAGAACAGCCCCGCGTCGTGCATATAAACGGCCGGCATTCCCTCGCCTCTCCCCGCCACTTGCCGCCGCTTTGATGAATGCCGACTGGTCCGCCCTCCGCCCTCCCCTCTGAAGGAAGCAAGAACGATCCAGCGACGCCCCCCTGACTCCGATCTCATGGGACCAACAAGAGCTTAGGTACGGTACCTATTCATCACCGCAGCCTCACCGAAGCTACCGTCTCCACACCGGACCTAGGTGCTTCTCACTTATACGCACACTTCCCGGATTGTTTCCAGGCTTCCCCTTGGCTCATTGTTCTCTTCAACTTCATTGTTTCTCATTGACAAAGGACCAAGACGTTACCCTCTTGGTCAAGTCCCATTATCCATCACCCTTTGCAGCCCCCTTGCAGTTCTGTCCTTCCAGGCAAAGAGTCTGGGCCAGCCAACGACAGGCTCGCACCAGGCAAGGAGTTACAGCGATTACCAGATCGGGTCTCTTACCTTGCTCGGCTTGACGCTCTCTTGTCTGCCTTCTTGTCTTACACTGGGTGCCTTGTGGCCTCGGGAGCCTCATCCGTGTCGAACCGCCACCACCAGGACAAACTCGCATCGCCTCCATCCCACTTACAGACGGGGCTTTCTTGCACAGCCTCCCGACAGCGGACATCCTCCTTCACCATTCCTGTCGGTCCGTGAGTTGTTCTACGGGTTCTTCTGTCCTCTCGTTTGTCTGAGTTGCACAGGAACCACATCACAACCACAACCACAACCTCAGCTTCACTCTATGCATGGCCCCGGGCCGGCCCAATCTTGCATTGTGCCCCACCCGACGTCACGTCAATCAAACCACATCGTCATCCCCAGCCACGGCACAGGAGCCCGCTGATTCGTGAACTCTAGCTGGGCCCCTTGATCCCCCTGTCGCCTGCGCACTGCTGCTGTGAGCTTATTAGCAGCAGATCAGCTCCCGCTGAGCCTGCAGTTGGATCGGTCCTGGAGTCAGAATTCAAGCAGCCTCATACAGCCAGCCCAACGCTCGTCTGAATCTTTGCTGTCTCGTCTGGTTTCTCGAATCAGTTTGGTCTTTTGAGGCGTCCTCCTTGGATGATCGCATGACCTTGGCTGATACTCGTATGCAAGGAAACCTTTATTCGACTACAAAGCCACCGTCTCGGCACAACCCCAGACGACAATCACCAACATCCGATTTCGATTGTGCACGGATTTGGTCAACCCCATCACGTTCCAAGTAAGCTCGAGACTTTGCTCCCTCTTGGTGTTGGTTGTCACTTGCACAAAGAGACACCGGCAAATAACTCAAGACACGTATATACGGCGCGTTCAAGTCTTGACGCGACACACTGTACATCCATACAAAGGCTACCAGCCCATCCTATCCCATCCCATCCCATCACCCCGGCCTCGCTACGCTGGCTGCTGCGATCGCGCGCCGCCAAGCGACCTAGGTCAAAAAGCATCAGCCGTCTATCGAGCACCGCCAAGGGCGACTGGAGCCAAACCCCGTCAGAGGGGAAGCACCCAGGGGGATCCATTCACGCAGTCTCATTCGCTGCCGGGCTTCAACAAATCCCCTCCCGGCCGCTTCGGCGCCAAGGCCCCACCTTAATCTTTTCACGGTCAGGACAAAAAAAATTATTTATTATGTCGGCCGACGACAGCTCCTACGCTCCCAAGTCTCCGGACCTCTCTTCTTTTTACTCAGGTGGCCCCACTCAACCCGCGCCGCAAAAGCTCCAACATCCACAAACCGGCAGCCACCTCCCGTGCCCAGGATACGAATATAAAGCAGAGTCTCCAGCCTACAACAGGTCTGCCTCTTTTTCTTCCTACGTTCCCCCTTCTCTCCCCCTCAGCAACAACATCACCATTGGTATCGACAACGATCAACCCAACAACATCGACCACCAGCGGCAGCTATCATCCCAGCCTAGATTCGTCGGGTCGGAATATCAACCCTACTCGGCGCAGCCGACCTTCCTTCAGGATCAGTACGTTCATTCGTCCTCGTCTCACCGCGGAAGCTACGAGGGAGACTCTTTGTCTGCGCATCAACAACATCCACCACAGCCCTCGTCCTACAGCTTCGCATTCACAGAGCAAGCTCCGCGACCTGGTGTAGCTTCCTACACCCAAGCCTACCCACCTCCAATAGGAGCTGGTTCATCTGGTCCCTCTTCGTTCGCGGACCCGTCCTTTTCCACAACCATGCCTCCTCGCAGGGCCGCGCCACCTCCGGCGCCCGCTATCGAGCCGTCACCTGTCAAGACAAAGTTTCCCACTGCGAGAATCAAGCGCATCATGCAGGCGGACGAGGAAGTCGGCAAGGTTGCCCAGCAGACGCCAATCGCCGTCGGCAAAGCTCTCGAGCTCTTTATGATACAGCTGGTCACAAAAAGTGCCGACATAGCCAAGGAGAAGGGCGGAAAGAGGGTCACGGCGCCAATGCTCAAACAGGTGGTTGAGATGGACGAGCAGTGGGACTTTTTACGCGACATTGTCAGTCGTGTCGAGAATGAGAAGGAGGGTAGCAAGGCCAAGGCCAAGCAGGAGAGCTCGAGCGACGAGGAGATGCCAGAACCCAAAAAGAGGCGCGGTGGTAGGAGAAAGAAGACATGATTTATCTTCTTATTTGGGGGGGGCAGTAGTCTCGTGGAAGTTTTGGGGCACATCATGAAGGATACGATCGAGTATGAAACGGCGTTCAAGGGGATTCGCATTCAGCCGGCGTTTGGCGCCAGGAGAGACAGATGTCTCGTGGTTCTTTTTGGGCGGGTTTATCGCCTCCGCGTGGAGCGACAGTTGTGTTAGAGTGCTCAATGTTATGTGGGAGTGCCACTGCTATACTGGGCATATACATGGGCGGATGAGAAGTATTTGGGGGCAACGACTTGAATACAGCAGCCTCCACGCGTCAACTAAGTGCGGTGCCATTTGTGACCTTGTCTTGTGTCTTGTGAATGGCCCATGTCGGCAACTCGTGAGTAGTCCTGCTAGGCGGTCTGTCAATTTAGTCTAACCACTTGTCGAAGTTGACCTCGCTCGGAGCTATAAGGTCCGCATTGAATCCCTGGCGTGGCCTGACGCTGGTGATTGGGTCTTTGACTGGGCTTATGACCTTGAAGAAGTAAGCCGTACGTGAGATTGATCGTCGATTGAGACTCATACTGGGTAGCATTATTATCTTATTAACCGGATGTTTGCTCAAATCCTGCCTACCTACCCTGAAGGCGTCCGGATGGAAGTCGGCATTGGCATTTCCTAACCCTGGACACCGTTGATGGTTTGAAACATGCAGTCGACACTGGGGTAAGTCATTTGTGACCAAATTGAATGGTTGCACCAGTGCTACATGCACGAGTAAGACTGAGAAGTCTTTTCGTTCTAGCCTTGACAACCCTTCGAGTTTGCTCCCCATGTGAATGCATCCATCTCAGTGCTTGCAGTGCAGGCTGACGTAGGTGGTGTCTGACGTCAGTAAATACTCCGACAAGCCGAACAACTGAACGAGTCGCGTCTACAAGTGCATATACACATTCATTATTCAGCTCCAAGAGGTCGATGGCATTGTCTGCAAAGCTCATGCCACAAATAATTAGAGATCATCACCCGTCCATGCGCCGAGGACAAGTCAATCTCCCCCTCGCGGGCCTTTAGCGATGGGAAATATGGACCCGACCCATATCCGAACCGCTTCCGCTGGGCGCGACAAAAGGGTCCCCGCCACGGGCCCGCGTGGTGCACACCTCCGGGCCCCTGACGCAGCCTCTGAGATCGAAGTGTTAGTGGCCACTTCAGGAGGGATTGGCAGCTCCTCATTGGGGCACCGCCAGTTGCGGGAGGACGGCCGTGTTTTTTCCCCCTTCCCTCCCCTTAGCAAAATCCAAGGGGCCAGCTGTTACACTACGTTAGTTAGGTACTCCCAGGTAGTAAGCCAGGCAAGCTGCCCGCTGGAACTCCACTAATAAGGTGCCTCTAGTCCGCTACCGTCGGACGCCCTCCTGTAAACCGACCTACACCACCGACCTAAGCTTCGTCGTCGTCGACCATCCCGTCAACTTTAAACATTACTCTTCCATGCGAATGCCTTCTCGATTCATCCCTCGCACACGTTCACTTCCGCTTATTTAAAGCCTGCTCTTTGTATTATTTCTATTCGAACCTAGATGACGAAACGCCAGCCGTCCCTCATCGACGCTCGCTCCCCTGCGTAACCCAATGTCGTGGGACTTGCTTCAGAGATTCCTCGAGTCCGACGTCTTCAACTCCAACCCCTTTCTCCCCGTCTCATACCTCTCGTGAGTCTTTACTACGGCCCCATCAACAGTCATAGATACCGGCCGGCTTGCGTCCCCGCGTCTGCTTCAAATTAGCCCACCGCCCCTCATCCTGATCCCATCCCGCCGTCTCCGACCTGTACCATCGCTAATGCCACCTGTCGCGACAGCCGCTACGCAAACCACGTGGGGATTCACTATGTTCTCTGCCAGAAGCTGCGCCAGTTCCCCTACGAGGATATCGAGTTCTTCCTGCCGCAGCTATGTCACCTTATAATCAGCGTCGACAATGAGTCAATGGCATTGGAGGAGTTTTTGTTGGACTTGTGCGAGGAATCCGTCACAGCAGCGCTGTTGGTACGTGTGATGTTTGGTTTGGAACTGGAATGGAGCACCGCGTCATAGGAACCATTTCGTCCCGCTTCCGTATTGGGTGCTAACCAGCGTTCTGCAGACGTTCTGGCTCTTTCAGACATATCTGCACGATCTGTCGTCGAATCCGCAGTCCGACTCGTTTCAGACATGTCGCCGAGTCTACAACAAGGTCCAACACATTGTGTTTGGACTCGCCGATACCGCTCGCCATGAAAAGATCAGGGAGAACGTCCTGCCCGTCACCGTGCTCTCCAGCTTCGTCCTCGCCAGCGTTGCGCTGCCCATGATACCACGCTGGGCTGGTCCCTTGGCCGTCGCACAGGCGCGCAAGCCGCAGCCAATTACTGAACCCACCACCGAGAGCAAGGAGAACGTCAAGCCAGCGAGAGCCCGTACAGTCACAGCTACGAATACGCGGTCGCGCCGCGCCAAGGATGCTGGGCGTACTTTCAGTGCGCCAGACCCCAAGGGATCGAGGGAATCTTCGCCAAAGCCTACCCGCACCGCCACTCTGCCACCTCCGGTCATTATTCCTCCCGGAAGGTCCAAGACGCCAGTTGGTACGGGGAGGCCATCTGCTCTCGAGATGAAGTCGTTGGAGGCCAAACTGAGCACATCGTCTCTGCCCCTGCCCTCTCCTCGTCCGCCAACGAGGCCAACAACCCCGATCTCGGCAGGGAATGTCCCAAGACCAGGTGACGTCGCTCGGAGGCATTCACATCACTCAAAGGCTGTTCTCGCCATGAATGAGCTATCGCCAGTACAGAAAACGAGGCTGTTGAGACAAAACTATTTCAGATCGCAGACCCAGTTCCTGACTGCTCTCGAGGGCATTTCAAATCGATTAGTGCTGGTTCCTAAACCTGCCCGGATGAGTGCTCTTCGAGCGGAGCTTGCGCTAATATCTCAGGATCTTCCAGCCGAGGTTGATATTCCCGTCATCTGCCCTCCCACACTTGTGAATGGATCTCCTGGCAAGAGCCGTCATCACCGCATTGTGCGAGTGAACCCGGCGGAGGCGACGGTGCTCAATAGTGCGGAAAAGGTGCCATACTTGATCATGGTCGAAGTTCTCAGGGATGACTTTTCCTTTGACCCCGATGCCCCTGAGAACCAGCGTCTCCTGAACAGTTTAATAGGCGGTAGCGCCAGGACGAACCGTATTTTCGACTTGTCTGACTCTCCCCGCCTTTCGCCCACGGTGAAAAGCCCCGAGCCTGTTGTGGATAGTGTCTTTGAGCCCGCCTCTGGTGACTTGGGAAGCTCGCCATTGCTCAGGGGAATGGATGAGTCCCCAGTCAGATTCCCTGTGAGACCAGCGCCGCACCACGCTGCTCAGCGTCTTCCCAGTGGAGCGACAACCTCGTCTTCGACCCTGGACGTGACGACTCCCCGAACCTCTGGCACGGGGACATCGAGGTCGAATAGCCCTGGGCCTGGCGCGCGAAGGATGACTCTGCCTATCCAACGGAATGCGCCAGCTGATCAGCCAGACTTTTCAGCACTGGCAACTCATATGCGAACAGCCTCCCAGATGCTTGCTCAACTTGAAGCTACTAGTGGAAAGCGTCCAAAACAAGAGGTAGCGGCGATCCGAGCCAAGATCATTGCCAGCATGCAGAGCCTGGAGGAACAGAGCTTCGACGTGGATGAACATGGCCCAACCTTTGACACCATCATTGCCAGGACCAGCACAATGCCTATGTCTTCAAGCAATCCGGATCTTGAGGATGACGTGCAGATCGACCCAAATCTCAACGCCAGTGCAGGCCGAGAACGCATGGAGAATGACATAAAGACGGGCGGTGTTCAGCGTCGAGGCGATCGCGATGACCCTAGTGCGGCTGTCTTTGGCGAGGCTTGGGAGGCCAAGAAGGAGCGGATTCGCAAGTCGTCTCCGTACGGCTGGATGAAGAACTGGGACCTGGTCAGTGTGATTGTCAAGACTGGAGCAGATCTCCGACAGGAGGCGTTTGCGTGTCAGCTCATCGATGTGTGCCACAAGACATGGGTTGATGCTGGCATCGATGTCTGGGTCAAGCGGATGAGAATCTTGGTGACAGGAGAGTCTTCGGGACTGGTCGAGACCATCACCAGCGGTGTGTCTCTTCACTCGCTGAAGCGAAGTCTCACGCTCGCTTCAATCGAGGCTGGTCAGAACCCCCGGCATCGTATTGCTACACTGAGGGATCACTTCCTCAAGGCGTTTGGCAAGCCTGATAGCAAGCCGTTTAAGGCCGGAGTTGATGCCTTCAAGAAGTCCCTGGCGGCATACAGCATCATTTCGTACGTCCTGCAGCTCAAGGATCGGCACAACGGCAACGTCTTGGTGGATTCCGAGGGCCACGTGGTTCACATCGACTTTGGCTTCATGTTGTCCAACTCGCCTGGCTCAGTCGGATTTGAGGCGGCTCCTTTTAAGCTCACTCACGAGTATGTTGACGTATTGGGTGGACTGGGTTCACCCGATTATGAGGATTACAAGAAACTCTGCAAGCAAGCTTTCCAAGGCAAGTTGACTCTGTCATTCCCATGAAAGCGTTCTCGTAGCTAATGTTGTATAGCTCTGCGTCGTTCGGCAGACAACATCATCGACTTGGTTGCAATGATGGGTCACGACTCCAAGATGCCTTGCTTCGCAGTCGGCGTGGCCCAGGTCACCAACACGCTTCGACAGAGGTTCCAGCTTCATCTCAGCGCAGACGAGGCAGAGCAATTTGTTGAGACGGATCTGATTGCCAAGTCGTTTGGTAGCTACTACACGCGACTGTAAGTTGTCTGACCCCTATCTCTGATGTGACACAAGTGCTTACTCTCTTCAGCTATGACACTTTCCAATATCGTACCCAGGGTATATACTAAGCGAGCTGCACTGCACTCACCATGCTCCAGGAGACGCAACAGAGACAGACAGACAGACAGGGACTAATAGGGTTCAAACGCACGCACACACGACAAGCGCCCACTGAGGGTGGCATTGGGATATCTGGTTTGCATTTGGGCGGCTTACGAACGAGAAGGCGTTGTGGACGATAGACATGGCTCCAATTGCTGGCTCAAGCAGGGACGCGAGTTTGTATGAGAAACTGACGATTCACGCAAGTCAACGGGGAGACAAGATGATGCTTGAAAGAAGGAGGAGGAATGGAATATTGGTGGCCTGGATGTTGGCGATGACGGATGCCTCTGGTCATGCATGATATAATGGCTTCAACACCAGGACTAGCTTGACAATGTCAGGGTGACAGGACATGCCCCTCGTTGTCTAGAATATTGGATGAGGGATATATAATCAATGTCTATATGTGTATGCGTAGTTGACGATGGATTAACGTGGACATATCACGATACATACATAACACCATCATGGATGACTCGACGTCATTGAAATGGTCTTTGAAAAGAGGTTCTCCTTACTAGTACACAGCATGCATTCCCTGCCAACGTTTGAAATATGTCGTTGGTAGCCCCTGAGACTTTTTTGCGCATGCAAGAAAAATGGCCATCTTCCTCCCTCATTTCAGGGGGGGGGGAATAGAAAGCCCAATGATTTTTCAGATGTTTTCTTCTCTTGACCTTTTTTTTGTTGTTTGCTCACACACCTTATGCTCCCCCCTTAAATGCCATACTCACTCCCCACCAACACCGATTGAGCCATGATGATTTGAATGCGTTGTGTATATCCCTTTCCCTTTCCGCGCCCCCTGCCCCCCTTTTTTTGCCTGACCAACCTGAGAAGATGAAGACGAAGAAGAAAAGAAGGTAAGAACAGAAAAAGCAAGAGTTCCATTTTTTTCACTGTCTCTTTGTCCTCCCGATGATGTGCTTGCTCAGTGTCTTCCGAGGCCACTAACCCCATCGATCACCCTCCCTCTCAGCTTCGAGTCTGCGCATCCTCTCTTCTTCATCGCCGCCGCTGACGGCTTCACTTCGACGTGAAGCTGCGGCAGACGTTGTTGACGACGTGGTACGCCGACCCTTACGTGAGCCCGAGTCGTCGCCGCCATCGTCAGCCCCTCGGTTGCGCTTCCAGCCCGCCATGCCCATGCCTGCCATACGTTGGGCTTCCTTGAGCAGACGCTCACGGTCGCGGGCTTCACGTTCGAGGGTGTGAGGGTCCTTGGCGGCGGCGCTATCGGCTCGGGAACCTCGAGGACCAGAGGGGACCTTGGTGTCGCGCTCGTTGGGAGTATCACCTGCGTCTGTCGAGTGGCGTCTGCTGCTGTACCTAGAGTCGGCGTCTCGATCGCGTTCTCGGTCTCTGTCCTTGTCCCTGTCTCTGTCACGATCGCGTCGATCTCTATCCCTCTCGCGGTGCCGATCCTTTCGGTCCTTGCGGTCCTTGTCGCTGCGCTCTCTGTCCTTGTCACGGCGTCGTTCGCGATCGTAGTCTCTATCACGGTGAGAGGAGCGATGACTGGACTTTTTGCGATCGTAGTCGTCTCTGTCCTTGTCCTTGTCACGATCTCTTCTCTTGTCAGAGTCTCTATCGCGGCGGCTTCGGTGACTCGACCGTTTGGATTCTGCTGGTGAGGTTGAGCGGGCTCGGTCGGCATATCTGCCATCCTTGTCCCTGGATCGTGGGGGCTCTTCGTCATCGTAGTAGTGACGACGGCTGCTCTTGTGTTTCTTACGGCGAGAGTCATCGTCAGGGCCGTCGTCCTCGACCGACTCTGAGCGGTGGCGTCTACGTCGGCGGGAGCTTCTATGTCCCCGGCTGCGGCTTCGGCTCCTGCTGGCGGTTCGGGATCCCGATCCCGTGTGATCTTGGTCGCGGTCATCATTGTCCCTATTGTCGCGTCTGTCATAGTCCCGAGATCGCTCCTTGCTTTGATCACGGCGGGAGTCGCGGTCCTTGTCTCTGTCACGCACACCCTCACGGCCTGGCCCGGGAGAACTACTCCTTGACCGGCCCCGCTCGGCTGGGCTGTCCCGGACAGGAGGTGCCGGCTTGGATGGGGCATCACCCCCAACCTGGTATCCTCTTGCTCGTAGATTGTGAAGGCTCGTGTTGGGCAGTCCTTGTCTCATAGCCTTGGGGCCCGTGGGTGCGTTAATGGGAACATCTGGAGCGGGAGCGGGAACAACTGGGCGGGTGGCGGGGGGACCGTTGTGCTGGACCACGTCCAGCGCTGAAGAGGCATCGGTAACTTCAGTGCCTATGGCCTCACGGGATGCGTCCTGGGGTCCAGAGTTGGAGGCCTCGACCCCATCAGAAGCTCCCTCTCCCTGATGGTCATCAGGTTGTTGTTGTTGTTGTTGTCCATCTGTCGACTCGTTCTGGCCGTTCTGCTGCTGATCCTGCCCCTGAGCATTGGATCCGTACTGGGAAAACTGTCCTTGGTCCTGGTAGTTGTTGTTGGCGTTGCCTCCAAATTGGTAACCTCCACGACCGTAACCCCCGTAGTATCCTCGTCCGCGGCCTCGACCACGTCCGAAGTTGTTGCGGCGATAGTCATTGAAGTGACCGTAATTACCTTGATTGTATCCTGTCTGGAATCCTGAGTTAAAGCTCCCAAAATCACCAGTTCCCATGCCAGGACCACTTTGATTGTAATTATTCTGGTCGAAATTCCACGACTGTGAACCGTTCCAGTTATTATTGGAGCCTTGGCCAAATCCACCTCCAAAGCCACCCATGCCGTTTATGCCCATGCCTTGAAAGCCACCGTTCATGTACATGTTCTGCATCGTCATCGGGTCCATGCCCATGCCTGGCATGCCTGTGAGAGTTAGCATATGAACTACCAGTCGTCGTAGGAGTATAACATACCCATCATGGGGAACCCGCCAAACGAGTTTGGAGCCATGCCGTTCTGCATGGCCATCATCATCTGCATCTGGTTGAAGTCGCCAGACCCAGAAAAGCTGCCGTTGGTCGTTCCGTTCATCGTCTCGCCGTCGGCGTTTTCTTGATCGTCGCCATTCTCATCACCGCCTTGGTCGCCCTCACCATCGTCATCTTTCTGTACAATGGCCTGCTCGTTAGAGTTATCAGGGGCTGCGTCATTGCTGCTGTCACCCGCAACTGGCGCGTCTTCGGCATCGCCCGCTCCATTTTGAGGAGGATGCTGAGCGGCAGAACCATCGTCGTGAGCCACCTCCTAATTCATAATTAGCTGATGATCCTAACGAACAAGTCGCGACGCTGATTTACCTCGTCTGCGGGCTGAGCAGAAACAGCGACATTGAATTCGCTGGGCGCAGAAAGTGCTTCACCCGTCGGCGCGTCGCCTCCCAAGACCTGCTCAGTCGGCGCCTCGATCGCAGGGGCTTCTGGGACTGGGAGCGACTGTTTCGGCGGCTCAACAGGAGTCACGGGCTCCGACTCTTTGCCTTCCTTGGCCCGGCTGGCCTCGCGCTTCTTCTCGGCGGTGCGCAGAAACACTCTAATGGTGGTTCGAAGCGACTTATTGGGGCTGCAGTCCTCGGCGGACAAGGGAGAATGTTCGCAGACGGGACATGAGGCCGGAAGATTCGATTGACCTTGCGCGCAAAGTTAGCGGTGATTTCCCTCCTCGATCGAGTTTTCTGCACGCACATGTTTCGCAGATGGCCTGCTCGCAGCATGGCAGTCGGTAGGCATTCACGGCGAGCTTGCTACAGATAGCGCATCGAAGCTTGATTGGAATGTCGTCGGGGGCGAGGGAGCTGCAGAGAACGTGTCAGTTCGAGGACCAGAAACACAGCGAGCGCCGTGTAACATACCGGATCAGCTCCGCCTGAGCCTCTGTGATTGTCGACGCCATACTGATCGCTTCTTGTTTTCCTTGGTGCGCTTTCCAACTCCTGAGCCACGGGCAAAGCCTAAGACAACAGAGGGGACGTCATGGAGAGGAGTCGGGTCGCTTCGATTAGGTAGGAGGGAGAGAAAGATGTTCAGGCAGAGATGCAGGAAGGCGGCCGATGTCTCTCTGGTGCGAGGGCGATCACGTCGGCGGTTGGGCGCGGCCGGGATAAACGGCAATTCAGGTGGAAAGAAATGATTGGTAAGAGCCCGAACAGAGCAGAACCTGTTTGCCTCTTGACGCAAACGCCAGCGGTCACCGGCTGGGCTAGATATTGTACAGTACTGTAGAGGAGGAGAAATCGTTCGCCGGCCTGGGCACAAAAAGAGTGGGACCCGGAGAGCAAACGCGACTGGAGTCACACGCAGCGCACCTGGTCACGTGACGGCCACGATTGGTCTGTGAAGCTTCTCATCCATCTATGGAATGAGTCGTTAATGAGTATCAACCATCTTCAGCTTCACGTGAAATAAGAATACCATTGATTCAAGCTTTGATTCATCCAATGTAGAAAGAGCTGATCAACTCCTCACCCCAACCAACATCCATCCTGATTAACCGCTAGTGATGTTGATTGATCTGATCTGAGCTGATCATGGGCAAGCAAGCGTCCATTAAAGCCACGACAAAAACCTTGCTGCTAGAGAGTAACAAGAAACACATTCAACTCCCAGATGCTCCTCTTGGCATCAGTCCCAGGCAACCGGCTCGCAGGAAAAGGGCAGAACAGAATACCGTACAATACCAAAACACTTTGTCTGCACCTTAGTCGTCCACCCCGCCGTCAAAAAGCCCTTCTAACAAGCGCAGCTGTCCTTGGCAGCGGCATCTTTGGGGCCTCCCAGGTTCACCCTTTGCTCTTCTCCTCCCCTGCTGGCCGCGCCGCTCGTTGCGCCAGCTCCCCTCGCACTCTTCAACGACGTCTCGGGTATCGCATTCGCGATGGCGGTGAACACCTCGGTGACGTTGTGGCCGCTCTTTGCGCTGGTCTCGAAAAACAACAAGCTCTCCTCCTCAGCATACGACTGAGCCTCTTCCGTCGAGACCTTGCGAGCGTCTCCAGACTCTTCTCCGTCATCGCCGTTCTGGCTGTCGGCGGCAGCGCCGGAGTCGCCCGTCAGATCCAACTTGTTGCCCACCAATGCGATAACGATGCCGGGCGAAGCTTGTCGTTGCAGCTCGGCGACCCAGTGCTTGGCCTTGATGAGAGACGTGGGCTTGGTGAGATCGTAGACGACGAGGGCGGCTTGGGCGTTTCGGTAGTACATGGGAGCCAGCGAGGCGAAGCGCTCCTGGCCGGCGGTATCCCAGATCTCAAACTTGATTGTCCGTGTCGGGAGGTTGCACTTTTGGGTCAAGAAGGCCGCTGAGAGGTTGCTAGGTCAGCGACAAAGTGAATCCAGAGGAGCGGGCTGATGCATACCACCAATAGTAGGCTCCTTGTTTTCTTGAAAATCATTATTGACGAATCGCAAAACCAGGGATGACTATCGCGGAGCTCAATTAGCACTTTGAACAGATGGTTTGTCAGAAGCAAGCTCGTGAGGCCGCACCTTTCCGACGGCTGCTTCACCCAGAAGCACCAGCTTTACGCTGCTGCTCGGCTTGGGAGCGTTGGCAGAATCGGCCATTATCGCGGGATCGCTCGGAGATGAAGCCGGATGGGCTGGATTGTTGATGTTTGAGCAGGAAAGCGATAGAGAATGATCGCCGAAAGCGGACACGTATGGGAAAAGCGATATCGAAGGCAAAAGTAATCGGTCCCTCTGGATTAAATGATAGTTGCCTGGGCGGAAGTGGTGGTCACGACGTCAGTGTATGTAGGTATGAACGAGAGAGGCTGTGGCAGCGGTAGCGGTAGCGGTAGCGGCAGAGGCAGCACAGGTACTTTCAGTGGCGGTGGTTGGTTGCGATGACGAGGCCGCTCCTTCCAGGGAAAGCTGCAGTACGTACTGGCTACCTCTGGGGGCACCTGCCACTTGAACCAGCCCGTCTCTGCAACCTGGTAAAAGAGCAGCCCGTTCATTGGCCAGGCGGCCTTGTTAGCGGTGATTTAGGGGTTGTTCTGGGCAGGCAGGTGAGCTACAAAAAAAAAAAAAACTGCTAACCTAAGAGAAGTCGACATAAATACTTGGCAGCTGTTAGTGCACTATCAGCAGTGACATACGCACTCTATTTAGTCCCAGGCAGTTCTCGTCTGGCTTTTTTACGCGAATGGCCTTCACGCGGGGCACTCGGCGCAAAATAGTTCTGCCGATGTCGACCGCCAAAATTTCAGGTGCTAGTCCAAGCAAGAAAAAAAAAAGTTGAGCACCCAGGTACGAGGGAGCTCTCATTGGGGCAGGTCCATGTGGAAATAGAGTCTTTGCGATTCAGACCATCTCTCTTTTTTTTCACTGCCACAACACGCAACACCAAACGAAACCTGAAAGACCAATCCTTCGCCATTGAAACGAATCAATCATGGGGAAAGCCACTGAGGACCCCCAGCATGCCAAGCGCAACCTCCTCGATGATAGCGACTCGGACTCTGATGATGGAGGGGCCGCTGTTGCTGCGCCTGGTTTCAAGGTGAATGAGGAATTCGCCCGCCGATTCGAGCACAACAAGAAGCGAGAGGAGAGGCAAAGGTTGGAGGAGAAGTTCAAGAAGACGGGCAAGAAGCCATCTGGCGACGACGATGGTGGCGACTCTTCCTCTTCGGACGAGACTGAAGATGAGGATGGCTTCCTGGCCACCGAAGACCTCGATGCGCAGATCTCAGCTACCCTCCAGGCCATTCGAAACAAGGACCCCAAAGTCTACGACAAGGAAATCTCATTCTACAAGCCCGATGACCCTGCCGAGACCGGCGACAAGGACGACAAGAAGGAGAAGCCTGTCTACCTGCGAGACTACCACCGAGAAAAACTCTTGCGAGGCGATACCGGCGCCGACGAGGAGGATGAGGATGTCCCTATGACCTACAACCAAGAGCAGGATGCTTTGAAAAAGTCAATTGTGGCTGAGATGCATGCTGCCGCCGCTGACAGCGACGTGTCCGACGAAGACGAAGACGATGGCTTCTTGAAGCGAAAAGAGCCAGCCAAGGTGGACTCGAACGGAATGCACCCCTCCCGAAAAGCAGCCACCCAGATCACCGATACCGATGTCGCCAATGCTGACAAGAACCCCGAGACGTTCCTGTCGAATTTCATGAGTGCCCGCGCCTGGGTCCCACCTGATGGTTCTAACTGGAAGGCCTTTGAGTCTGATGACGGAGAGGACGATGATCGTGCCGACGAGTTTGAGCAGGCATACAATCTGCGGTTTGAGGACCCCGAGAAGAGCAACGAGTTTCTTCGATCGTATGCTCGAGATGTCGCTGCCGCCAAGTCGGTGAGACGCGAGGAGAAGAGTGGTCGAAAGCGTCAGCGTGAGCTTGAGCGCGAGCGCAAGGAAGCCGAGAAGCAGGAGCGACGTGATGAGAAGGCTCGTCTACGGAAGTTGAAGCTTGAGGAGGCTCAAGAGAAGCTGCGCAAGATCAAGCACGCAGCAGGCAACGCAGGCAAGGACCTTACTGAAGAGGAGTGGATGAGGTTCCTTGATGATGCATGGGAGAACGACAAGTGGGAAGAGGAGATGCAGAAGCGGTTCGGCGAGGAATACTATGCCCAGAACGATGATGCTCCTGTATCTGACGACGAAGAGGAGGAAGAGGGTGAGGATGGTGAAAAGAAGAAGAAGAAGAAGCATCCCAAGAAGCCCAAGTGGGATGACGATATCGACATCAAGGATCTCGTTCCCGACTTTGAGGATGACGAAGAGAAGCCCAAGATCAGTCTGAGCGACATCGAAGATGACGCCGCTGAGGGAGACGAGGGAGACGAGGAGGAGGAAGAGGACGGCCGACCGTCCAAGAAGCGCAAGACAGATCACAAGAAGGCCCGCAAGGAGGCTCAGAAGCAAGCCCGCCAAGAGCGCGCCAAGCTTGAGGCTCTCGTCGACTCCAAGCTCGAGCTGTCCAACCACGACCTCCTCAGCAAGCCAACCCACGCCCCCTTCCGCTACCGCGAGACCTCGCCACAGTCCTTTGGCATGACGGCCCGCGATATCCTCCTCGCCCCCTCGGACGCGGCTCTCAACGACTATGCCGGCCTCAAGAAGCTCGCCACCTTCCGCGACGAGGAGAAGAAGCGCAAGGACCGGAAACGCTTCGGCAAGAAGGCCCGTCTTCGACAGTGGCGCCGTGAGATCTTTGGCAAGCAGTTTGAGCGTTCTGGTCCTACTTATGGCTTCGAGCGCCTGGTGTCTGCTGAGGATGGAGAAGCTGCCGGCACCGTCATCGAGCCCAAGGCTGAAAAGGACAGCAACGTCGTCGGCGATGTGGGCGAGAGGAAGAAGAAGCGAAAGAGGTCCAAGGGCAAGAAGGGTGCTGCTGCCGAGGCAGAGGCATGAAAAAGGGGGACTTAGGGGACTTTTTGAGCGAGATACCACTACGCTATCATTGTCACGGTCGGGCGTTCCATGTTGTGCTGTATATTCCGTATAGAGGGTTTAGTTTAGTTATATCCGACGGAGAAAAGTATCTTGTTTTGTCTTGATCATCCAAGGCTTTTCCCTTCATGTGAAGTTATAGTATCGATATTATAGTGTCCCTCCAGCTCGGACCTTCATTCCACATTACACATCTACTGATGCAAAATTGAATATTACAAAAACAGTAACATAGGTTAATAAGAGCATGTGGTGGTATCTCAAATGCTGTAAAGACCTTTTCCTCCCCAGTCATGACATAGATGCCCAACATGTTCGCCTTGCAAGTTTCAAACAAGCCTGCCTATCCCAAGATATGCCTTGATAGTTGACCCCCCGCCGTGATATCCCAAGTTATAGCAACACGTCTCATCTCCAACATCGCCATCTTCAAAGAGATCTCCGTGCCGTCACCGACTAGCACCTCCGGCTGGTAAACTTGTGCAGCCGCGAAGACCTCCGGGAATACCCCGATACCCGGGCCAAACACTCTGGTAGCCCCTCCTAGGGGCCCTGTTGCTGTAGCCCACTCAAGGGATTCGGCGTCGCCAAGCCGCTTCCTCCACTAAACATTCCTGCAAACGGATCACCGCCGCCCATGTTGAAACCAGAGTCTCGCCCCATCTCAGGCGGCTCCATGTTGAATGGCATAAACCACGCCGACGATGCTTCCGCTCCGCCCATGACACCTGCTCCATCAACGAGGCCCGGTGCTTGCCCATTCACGCCAGGCTTGACATTCGATCGTCGACTCTGTACCCCTCCGTCAGGCTGAGCACCACCTGCAGCGAGGGTATCCCAGTCGATGCCCATCATGTCCTGTCCGCTCGTCAAGCCGGCTGAAGTATCCATCGAATACCCTCCAAAGACAAGCTGTCGGTCCAGTGGGTTGATGGCGCCATTGCCCTGCCCAAAGTTCATAGTAAGCAGTTCGGGAGGGAAGAACGTCGGCATGTGCGAGTGGTGCGCAAAGGATGCCATGTTGGCTGGGCTCATCGGTGACATGGCATTGCTAAAGGCTGGGTTTTGCGAATTCGGCACAGTAAGAGGGCTGAAACTGGCTGGGCCGCTCGTTTGCATGGCCATAACATCCGAGAATCTGCGCTGCTGTTGAGCTCCAACCCCTGAAGTAGCCTCAGCGTCTGCACTTTGCATCGAATCAAGCTGCTGGCCCGCCTGACCAGGGGCACCCGTTTGCTTCTTTGAACTAGGCTTTCGCTTGGCAGGTGCAGCGCGGGGATTGTCTTTGTTTTCGTTGCTCTGCGGCGTTGGAAGAGTAGAGAAATACTCTTCCACAGACTGCAACTCGGGCTTGGCCTCAAGTACCCCATCAGCCCCGTTGTCTTTCCTCTTGTGAGTAGCAGGATCCATAAACTCGGCATCGGAAAGACCGTGCGGGTAGCGGTTGAACCAGTCTCCGTACTGTAGGAAGGATGACTGTGCAGCGCGTTCCTGGGCTGTTGTGCCAGCTCTCGTCGCATCTAGGGCGTTTCGGTACTGGGTACGGACGTCCTCGACCATCCAGTGGAACATGCCCCAGTACTTCTTCATCCTGTGAAGATATTTGACATTCGTGGTCAAATTTGCTTCAGCTGTTGGCTGCATCGAAGGGTTACGAGAGATAATGCCGAGAATATGGACTGTGGTTGAAGAGAAAGCACAGTATCCAGCGAACGGGGCCGAGACAAAACATCGCGACTGTTCTGCTTCCCGGAAAATATCGGATATCCGGTTGGCAGCACTGAATGTTCTCTTGCTGGCCTCGGAGAAGAAGTCGTCGTGGGCGCCTTGCTGCATCCTCGACGGCATAGCTGCTCGGCTCATGAACAGAATGTTGTGCTGCAAACAAACATGCATGAACAGGAACTGACTTGCCGTATTCTCCGTCTTCTGGACTTCCAGGTTCTCAGGGGAGTATTTGAGCGACGCGGGCAAACCAGTCTCAAGACCTTGCACGTCGCCCAGGAGCTTTGCGTATTGTGACTCCTCATCCCACATGGGATGAGGGTCTGCCTCCTTACCCCCTTGGCTGAGGTAGGTGATGATTCGTCCCCACAGGGCAATGGCTCGGATCAGATAGGCGGGCACTCCCATGTTTTCCCGAGTATCGGCAAGCTGTCCGTCGTCTGGCGATACAGGCTCAAGTACCCGACCATCCAGCATCTCGGTAGGCGCTGGCATGTCGAACTGGAAGTACTTTTCTTTCACCGGCAACGGGATCTGAATCGTCTCTTCCCGAATGAACGTGGGCCGGTCTGTGCCTGAAGAATTGAAGCGGTCCATAAGGAAGCAGGCCCACATGATGCGTCGTCGAATCTCTCGATCGATGAAGCTAAGCTGCTGCTTTTGCCCATTGCGGCCTGCAGGGTCGTATTCCAAGTCCTTGTGAAGTTGGAGCGCGAAGGCCATACGAATAGCCTGTCCGCCGAGAGCCCAGCTACGGCCTCCTTGGCACGTTCCGAACTCGTGCAGACCTAGAATAAGCAGGCACGTCAATATGGTGAGATTTGGCCACTCATATCGTCTGGTACAAATGTCTCGCGCGTGTGATGCCCACTCCTCGCCACGTAGAAACTCGGGCCCTGACGAGCTGATCTGCGGGTTGGATGTGAAGCGAGCAGCGATGGCGCAGACCGAGAGAACTAGGACAGGAGGCAATGTGCCGTTTCTAAGAACTGTTAGATGGACCCAAGCTCAAGTCATATCTGTTAATACGCACTTGAGTTTTCGCATATAGCTCGGTTTGTGAAGGAGATGATAAGACTGTCCGTAGATGTTGTCGAAAAAGACCTCTGCTAGATGCTCCTGGATTTCCTTGGAGGGGAGTGCATCGGAACCTTCATGTTGCAGTTTGGTTTCTTCGTTCTCCTGAACTTGCAAAGTGCTAGGTCTGTCATCACCTGCAATCTTTGACTTTGAAGGTGCCTTGGCCCACGCCTCCAGATCGGGACCGAATGCTTCCTCGGCACCACGCTTTTTGGTGGATTTGGCTGAAGGAAGGGTCCCTGGAATTGCAGGCTTGACGACGGCACGAGTGACAGACGCAGTTGATTCTTGCTCTGATTTTGGGATAACCTTAATGATGCGCTCTTCCATGCGTTTTAGTCGCTTGTCTAGCATGGCCATGTAATCTGTTCGTGGCGCAGCCTTTCGAGTTGTGACCTTGTAGACACACGGGATGCGCGAACGCAGACAGTGCTTGCAGGCGGGTTTCTCCCCTGAGCAGCGAATCTTCTTGCGGCGGCATGCGATGCAGGCGAGCGGGAGGCGTTTACGCTCCTTGCCCGCCTTGGTCTTGAGTTCGCTCCATGCAGGCGCAGAATCAGCCTTATCCTCCTTGGGTTTGCCACCAAGATCTGTGCCGTCTGCGCGGTTCCGAGAAGCCAATCCAAACTCATCGGTAACTGAGTCGTCGAGAGCGTTGGATACAGGTGATGTCCTATCCGGGGCGTCGGATCCCTCCATGCTCTGGCTCCGGTGGGCCGCGGGGATGGCGCCGAATGGCAACCCATTTGGTGGAATGGTAGACATGGGCTGGTGCGGGAACGCAGTTGGCGACTGGGAGGTGTTTGCGTGGTCTGCCAGGGGAACGAGGGAGGGTTGGTCGGGAAGGCCTTGATAAGCAAATGCAAAGTCGTCGAAGCGCGAGGCGTCCATCAAGGCGGCGTGAGAGGGTGACGGAACGGGGTGTAAGTCAGAGGCGTCGCGATAGAGCTGTGAACCGGCATCGAAGGGCTGCTGAGCATGATGAGAGTCCGAAACGCCGCGGCCGGATGACATTTCTCTGCCGTCGGCGACGCGGGCCTCACGAGGCCGGATATCCGGTGCTAGTGTCCGGTTTTAATAGAGCAAGATCGGGAGTGGCGGAGGAGGAGGATGCAGCAACAGAACGGGGCGGGAGGTGGCGGGGAAGGGAGTCGAGGAGAGGGCGTTCTGGTTGCGCAACGTCTTCATAAGGAGGATGCAGGCACAGCTATCGTGCGGTTTGGACGACGGGTGCGGCGCAAGAGCGTTGACGTGACCTGAGGTCATCCGGGGAGCTTATGGGGAAGCGACGGGTATGTACTCAGCGGCTCCCCGCACTGGAGCTGGGGCGGCGACAGGCTGCGCCCCTGCTGGCGCAGAAGGACGAGCGAGCAGAAGAAAGTTTGGATCAGCAAGAGGTCGAAGCCGGGCAATGTGAATCGATTCGGGGTGCCAGGCGAGGATTCGTCGAGGAGAATTGGAGGGGATTGCGCGGGTAGCAGTAGCGAGGTCGTTGTCTGAAAGATGGAGGAGGGAAAACCGGAGGAGAGTTGTCGACCAGGCTCCTGGGGTGGAAGAGATTGAGTCCTGGAAGCTGGGGGTTTAAGGCCCGGATGGGTGGAGACATGGCCGAGAGAAATCAAAAGCAGCGATCACGATAGGTTGTCGCGCACGGCCCCGGCGTGCGACTGTGGGGTAGAGAAACGCCTGCAGTCGTTTTGGCGTCGTTGAGCGTCGACGTGAAGGCCTTTTTTCCTCTGCAGTCGGGGGGGGAGACAAGGAGGTGGTGGAGCCAACGACGACGGGCGCGGTGGAGGCGGGTGGCCCATGATGGGATGTGGATGGGTGTAAGAGTAGGCGTAGACCTCGGCCGGGTCGGGTCCCCTAGGGGTGACGTGCGCTGGTCTGGTCTGGTCGGGTCTGGTCTGGCTGGTCTGGAGTGTGTTTGAGTCGGTACTAGAGGAGGTACCTAGCTGTGCGGGTGCAGTGTAGTGTAAACGTGATTAGCACGAACTGGTGCCCAAAGGGTGGGATGTCCAGTTGATGCGTCCATCGTTGGGTGACAGAGTGACGATCTTGGGCATTGCATTGATTGCATTGTGGTGATGTATGATTCATGCATGGCATGGAGTTAAAAAAGATGAAGTTGAAATAAAGATATCTGGAATATAAACGAATATCAACGTTCAGCTCCTTCCTCGCCTTGGAAGCCGCAAACAACGGGCAAGAACTCCAACCGAGGAAGGCACCTCCGTGTCGGCCCCGACATCGCACATCACTGAGGCATCGCGCCGGGACTGGGGGACTGGGGGGCACGGCACTACGAATTGATCGACAACAGTGCCAATGGATGCATTGGGAACCTTGCAGGGCTCTGAACTCTCGAATGCATGATGCAGAGTATTTCAATTATTGTTTTAAAATGCAATTTATCACAATGTCATGTTCTTTCTCTCTACCTGAGACCTTTGATGGTACATTCAAGCTTCCCATGTCTCATCCGTCAACGCATTCTTCAACAACTACCACAGCTCTCCATCCAATCTCAACACTCCCTGGTTCTTCGCAGGTGTCAATCTTGCAAAAAAGTTTCCTCCACTGAGACACGGCGGCAAGATAACGCAGCCAAGGGTCCTTGCAACCACATATCCCTGGCAGGGGGAGGCACACACACACACACACACTTGAGGAAAAAGCAAGGCTCCATCACCCATGTACGTCGCCTCAGCTAGATCTCGCACTAGGCTCTGCGTCGGAGGGAAAAAGTATTAATAACAAAAAGAGGCCAAGGCTACTGTAATCAATCAATCTGTGCCGATTCTGCCAGGACGCGGCCACGATGTCACGTTTTGCTGTCTTCGCGCCCGTTGATGAAGTTTATTCTACCCCTTACCTCGGCAGCGTTTTGAGCCAACCTCATCTCATCTCATCTGCACTCCTGAGTTGAGCTAAATAACTGACAGGTAAGTCAAGTTATAAAACTCAAGTTATATATATAGAAAAAACAATCAGTCATCCGAGGCTATGTATGTAATATTCAACGGGACCGGCTGTCGTTGCCTGCATACGTGATCCGCTCACTCACATCTGCAGACCAAGACGGGACGGAACAAGGAGGGAGGGAGGCGCCTCTTGCACAATCAGGGGTATACTATGTACGGCTCTGAAACCCATGCATAGACGGCATGTCCCGAAGCCGTGAGTGCCTATGCCGGGATATACAAGTCTGATACTACACTGGCCCTGGCTGGGCTTCAGAAACGTCGACGACGAATCAAGAGCTGCCTCCCTCCAATCTGGCTCATACAGTCAAAGAGACGCCTTCTTTAGATGAACCACCCACCAGGAACAAGTCAGGCTGTCGGCGGAAAATGCATGGATGTTGACCTGGGCCTCGAAACATAAAAGCAAGGACGACAAAACTTCCGGTCATGGATCCCCGGTCGAGGCAAAAGTTCCCTCCCCCTTCCTCGTAACTAACCTGGATCACTCTTCCTACAGTATCCTTTAGCAGCCTCCTAGGGCTGGTGACGATGTGATGGGCGCGCCTTGAAGGGGGGACCCGCGATCGTCGAGCTGTTGGTTCAGGCAACTTGAAGAGAGAAAATCTGGCCGACGATCGAGTCTAGAACCTCGCGCGGGGAGGGGACGTCATTTACCCCTTGCGAGCGAAGCCAAACTACAGCGTTACAGCGCAGTTCGGATGCACCCAAGTCCTCCTGTTACTTGTCTTGTCTGTATTCTTGCTCGTTTGCTCACAAGGGTTCACGCTGCAACGCAACCCGGTCTGCGTGTTTGCGCAGCACACTCGATTTCAAAATAGAGGCGAAGAGAGACGACGCGTAGCAAAAGCAACCGCAGCAGAGGGGGGGAGAAGAAGAAACGCGTGTCGTAGGAGGCGTAGTGAGGATCCAGACGTCAAGCCCTACGGCACGGCACTCTCGGTATAATTAAAAAAAGAGCCCAGGCAGAATGTTACATGACTAGTTCAAACCTTCTTGACTGCGAGAGCGAGATAGGGCTGCTTCTCACGGGCTTACGCGAGGGCCTCGTTAATGCGGTGATGAAGCTCTGGCCATGGTCATGCGCTCTTGAAGTCTTGATGAGATTGCACCATCGTGTTCGTTCGCCCCGTGGTTCATGAGGTTACCCCCCGTCTACCCTATCCTCATTGAGCATGGCCTCGAGTTTCCCAGATCCAACTAGTAATTACGTAGTCCAGTTAATGGGAGAGAAAATACGCGATGTTTCATACCTACCCACACCCCCTGGCTAGACAGACATTGCAAACGAACCTCTACCGTCTCGTCTCGCTTCCCGTCCGTTCCCTGAGATAGAGACGACCTGCTCCCTTCTGGAAGGTATCACAGGCTAGTATTTCAAATCACAGCATTCCAGGTCCAATTTGTAATTACACAACCTTCAGCGCCCTCGGTCCGTTTTTTCGATCCTCGTCCGATCGCTCGTTACATTCATGAAACCCTGCCTTGAGGGGAGGAGCACGTTTCACAACGTGGACTGCGATTGACTTCTCACCAGCCGCCACTGGAACGTCTGTGTCCGGCAGACTCTGTTTTTGGCGTGGCCGTTGGAAAGGTAACAGCAGGAAAAAAAAAGGTAGACGCCTCAAACATGCATCTCCGATCACGGTCAGCCAATAGTCCAGCGTCTGTCGGGGCGGCTTCATTTTGACTATTGAGTTGCTATCTATGCCTGCTTACTGACACCTTGGACGTATCTTGAGTCTATGAATGTAATTGAGCATTGGCCAGTTGGCTCCCCCTCAGCCCCTATCCATAACCCTCCACCATGCAATGCAAGTCTTGATGCGGCGTCACTTTCACGTCTCAGCCCCGAGACAGACACAACCTGTCAGCAACTCTAAAAATTGAAACATGTTCATCGTGCCTTGCCTTAGTTGAGCCTCCAAGCTCCGAGACAAGGAACGACACTATGCAATCTCGGAACGTGCCGCCTGGTTCAAGCATACAACGTCAAAAGAAACATGTATTCAATCCAGGTCATGAGAGACCAAAACAGTGTCCCCTTTATCCAAACGCCTTGCTATGCCCCAAAATGCCATACAATGAATGCCCCAACCTCCATCATTTATACAATGCTGCACCTCGCTAAACCCCCAACCCATTGTATACAATTCACCCCCTATATTCACTCGGCCCCCTTGTGCTTGATGTACACCGGGATTCCGTACAGTACCACCGCTGCAGCGTTCAAGTACTTGAACTTGCACGCCCCTCTGGACCGCGCAACCGCCTCCGCCAGTGACACGTTCCGCGTCACCTGCTCGTCTCCCTCCGCGTCGTCGATGTCCTCCTCGCTCAACGCCTTGGCTTTGCCCTTGGATCGCTTAGACTCCTTGAACGTGCCTTTGGGGAACAGTCCCCACTCCTCGAATGATCGACCGGCAAACCGATCAATGTCTCTGTCTGTCACATCCCAGAGAGTGCCCACAACGGCAGGGCAGCCTGCCATCATGTAGTTCCACACTGGGCCATAGCACTCAAACTCGCCAGCTTCCGACAGTGAAGCTGAGCTGCAACCCATCAAGAATGTAGCTGGCTTGCACTTCTGCAAACGGCGGATAGTCCTAGCTCGGACATATTGGGCACCGCTCCCATGACCAAAGTAGAGTAGAATCTCCGAGTTTGACAGAGCCTGTTCGAACTCATCCTCCTGAGGGGCACGGTTGACGATACCCTTCCAAGTTGAGAATTTCTCGAGAGATGGCTTGAAAGTAGACTGCGTATTGACGAGATCGGTCGATGGGTTCAGGATGTAGGTGCCTCGCTCCGCCGAGACATAGTGACCCTCGGGCGTATCCTCATCCACCTCGTTTCCCCTGTTTGATGGCTGTGACTCTAGAATGAGCTGTCTCAAGCAGGCCAGCGAAGGGACGCGGGAGACTGCAAGACCTTCCATGCATGGCATTGACTCCCAGGGGAAAGCATGAAGAGCCTTGTCCAGTACCAGAACCGTGTGGGCATCGTCTGCCCTCTCTGAGCCCGTCTTAGCAGCGTTGTAGTATCCGCGAAGAGCATCATATGTCTCCACCACCATGGCATCAAAGTCGATTTCATCATATGCGTTGCGTTCTCCGTGGAATTGGAGAATGTCCACGACAAAGTAGAGCAAATCGTTAAGCGCCTCGTCAAAGTCGCTGTCAGGATCCGAGGGATCACCTAGACCAATGAACAAGTCAAGAATGCGAGGATCCAGAGAGACCTTGGATGTCTTGGTTGCCTTCTTTCCTCGCACTCGGTTTCGAGAGGGCAGACTGGCATCGAGGATCTGCTGAAAGCTCTTTTGGAAACGTGCAAGAAGGTCAGGTCGTCGCTCGTGCTGCGAAAAGATACCCTTGAAGCCGCCCAACCAGGTCGTTTCGATGGTGCTCAGGAGGTCCCTCAGTCGTTCGTCTAGAGCCTCTCGCTCAGCCCACCAAGCAGACTTGGCTCCCTTGGCGCTGAAGTCACGGCTAGCAGAGTGACTTGTCTCGTTGGCAAGTCGAATAATCTCTAACATCTCCTCTCTTCCATGTTCAAAGTTGAAAACCTCCGAGTCCGCATCTCGTGAATTGGCTCGCTCTAGAGGAAGCCGAAGGATGAAGGGGCTGTGGCCTGCCTGGAACTTGGTGATGCATAGGTCATGATGATTATCGCTGAGAGAAACCGAAATCACACTCCAGTTGTGAGGAACCAACTCGATGTAGTTCTTCTGGAACTTGGCCATTTCCGTTGTGAGGCCGAGGCTGGCTCGTCTGGAAGAGCCAAAATCAGTCGAACGAGCCTGAGCCTGGGCTACTTCTTTTGTTTGGAGAGTGCTTTGCTCGCGCTTCCAGGTGACATTGCGAGCCAAGTCAACTGAGAAAGTGGCAAACCCTGATCCGGCGGTGACCTTGGACTGCGTTGTGGAGGTAGCTGAGAGAAGAATGACCGTGTTTTGCAACAGGGCTGAGATTCGATGAACCATGGTGCTGTTAGCAGTTGACAACGTGGAAGCATGAGCTTCCAGAAGAAGCTCCTGAGCTTGCCTTAACGCATCCGCAAACGCGGGCACGCCACGGTCCTTGGACCCCTTTCGCTCTGTGGCTGCTGTCGTGGTACGGCCCTTACGAGGAGGTGTCTGGCTTAGAGATAGTCTCCCAGAGGCACTCTTGTCCGATGAAGCGATGGCTGGGAAGGAGATGGTCGAGTCCTGGATGACAGAGAAGACTGGATCATGGATCATCTGCTCCATACTGTGACCGATGAGAGAGATGGCCGTCACCACTTGTTCTTGGGAGAGGGTGCCAAAGAGCTTAGGAAGCTCCTTTGCAGATTCCAAGGTTGACAATGCCGATGTCCAGTCCTTCTGGTTGATGAAACCCAAGGCTCTTGACAGAATGACAGAAGCCATGAGAGACGCCTGGTATACATCGTTGGGAAGCTTCAACACCTCTGCTGTTGAAGTTGGCTGAGCCTTAACAGCGGGCTCCCGCTTTCGAGTTCGTGGAGCGGGAGTTGCAGCAGTCTTGGCTCTTGTCGTTCTCGTCGTAGCTCTTGTTGTCCGTGTTGCAGCGGCAGCTCGCGTTCGAGTTGTTGATGCTGCAGCCTTCTTGGTCTCGTTTTGAATCTTCAACACCTTTCCATGATCTCCTAGGCGCTGAGCGGTTTCCTCCGCCAGCTGAAGCAGTTCTCGCGCCTTGGCCTCATCACCCATATCTCGATATAGATCACTCAATTGACAAGCAACTTCAACTCGAGAGGCACAGATGTCCTGAGGTAGCTCCTCAAAAGCTTCGCTGCCAAAATCGACTGCCTTGGTGAGTTTCCCGGCACGATGATAGATGGAGCCTGTCCAAGCAAGCACCTGAGCTCGGTACATGGGCGAACCGGTGCTCTCGGCGATTTTTTGGGCCGATTCTGCGTAGTAGATGGTCTCCTGGAACATGCCTAGATGAGCATATACTGAAGAAATATGCAAGAGACCGCGTAGAAGGGGAAAGGCAAGAGCCCAGAACCGGGGACCGATGATCTGACCAAGCTTGGAGCCTGCCTTGACACTATCGATGCTGGCAATGGAAGCGTTGAGATCACTTGGGCTGGTGGCTCTGGATGAAGATGTCTCAATCTTGGACCAGTCATGCGAGAGAATCCGAACACTGGACTTGATGCAAGTGAGAGCTTCTTGAACTCTGCCTTGCTTCAACGCTAAGACGGAGTCGAGGAATGAGCTGAGAGCGAGGGACATGTTGACTTGAGACTTTGACAGAGCCCAAGATGAGACTGTTCCATCGTAGATGGCCTTGGCAGCCGCCAGGGAGGAGTTACTATAAACTGGTTAGACTTGATTAAAATACTTGTTGGCCTCACTTACGCTTCATCGATGCTACCGATACCAGAATAATACTCGGCCTGGGTGAGGTGAAACCCTGCAACGAGACCACGAGATGCCCCCTCTGCTTGATCAAGAAGCTGCTTGGTTGCTTCGAGCGTCTTCTTGGCCTCAGAGAAGTGGCCAATGTTGAGATGTTGAGATGCCAGAAGAGTGTGATTAAGGATTACGTTGTTATATGTCGGTTCTGCTAGAATCTTAGAGAGAGGCGTCGATAGTTCGAGGATGGCAAGCTGAAGACTGTTCTCGCCTCGGAGACTGGCAAACTGGCTGGCCGACTGGAGGTGAGCGACAAGACCGTCGGGGTTATCGATGCGCTCGTAAAGGTCAGCCCTTGAACTGCAGGTTTCGGTCATGGATTTCCAGCAAGAGATAGCCTCAGCCATAACAGAGACGGGAAATTTTTCGTCAGTCACGGCCAAAGCCAAGACAGACTTCTGATAGGCCTGAAGATGTGGGATATATCGGGTCAAGGCGGCGTCTTCACCGAGCGTCTTGCCATCCAGCAACTGCGCTGCTTCATCAACCATGTTTCTGATCTCCTCCATGTCGTTTTCCTCTCCGATGTTCTGGAAGAGCAGTTGAAGGAGCACTCGAAGTCTTCGAATGGGGAAACGGTCAAGTGTATAGATTCGCAAAAGGGCTTGAACGGAAGCATCATGGAGCTTGAGAGGCTGTCCATGAGCACCCGCTTCTCCAACGATTTGCATCAAGTGTTCCAACACAGCAGCACGTTCGCCCTCTGGCAGGAAGAAGGCCCAATCGTTCCACGAGTGATCAAGCTTGGCAATTGACCGCAGTGTCCGAGACAAAGTTTCGGCCTTTTCATCAGCGTTCCATGCGAGGCTCGGAGGTTGAGAGTCAAGTGCAGCTGTCACCTTGACCAAGGCACCCTCCTCAATCATGTTGGTGCAGATGGACCTCAGAGTGCGAATAGCATCACTGCTGCGGTTGGCCGACTTGCAGAGATCTGCAAAGAGCTCTAGCTTTGTCGATATCTGGGCCTTTTCTTGTTGAGCCATGGGTCGATCCTGAATCATCTCGATAGAACGGCTAAGAGACTGGAGAACCTCTTTATTGATTTGCTTGGACTTGCCGACATCTTTTCGTAGCTGGTTGTATCTGGCGAAGTAGAGGCTCGAGATCTTGATAAAGTAAGTGTTGAGCTGTTCGGTTCGTGCAACTGAGATAGTCGGGTCGAGGATAGATTCTACAAGCTTGTTGCAATCCCATAGCACTTCGTCCATGGATTTCCAAGTTGTCGAACCGGACTGAATATCACCGTTGAGCACCATCAGCGCACCGTCAAGGATCTGGTTGATGGTCTGCATCAGCACTTGTCGCCGTTGATCGAATTGCAGGAGAATCTTGGCGGTCGCCTCTTTTCCAGGGATAGAGCCTAGCCAGCGGCGACTGAATCGAGGAAATCGCATGATGAATGTCTTTAAAGGCCCCAAAATAGACTCCAATGCTGGGTTCTCCGTTTTGGGCTCGTTGACCCTGCTCACGAGAAGCCCAACAGCCGATCGCCTGGCAAGTGACAGGCTCTCTAACAAGTCGTTAAGTTCGGTGATATTGCCTGTCAAGCTACCATCCAGGCCTTCAACAACCTCATGAATGAGCTGCTCCGTCTGTGAATCGTAATTGGCCTGTTTCAACGATGCCGCGAGAAGACGAGCTGATATCGAAAATATGCGAGTTGCTGGTTCATGTTCAGGATCAAGCATGTCTTTGAGAAGCTGGAACCATTCGCAGGCTGAATCATAATGTCGGTCGGTTTGGGCTGCGATTCCGAGGAGCTGATACATCGACGCCAGAGGTGAGTTGGATGAGGTCGTGGCTTTTGAGTCTTGAGCCTCAACAAGCTCCAAGAGCTCGTTGAATGAGGTAGCAATTGTCTCATAAATTGGTCCGGTTGTGGATGTGTGTCGTCGTGTCAATGCTCGAACACAACGAACAAACGGTGAAAGAACCTCGTCATCAACATTTCCCTTATGACCAGCCATTTTCCACCACCGTAGTTGAGACTTGAAACAAAGCACTTGGAGCTTGAAAGCTGAGATGGGCGTGGGGCTGAGTCGTGGTTCTGTCGCGACCTGGTCCTCTTTGCTGGAAACGCTGGGTGCCAGCGATAGAAGAGTCTGTGATAGTGATGCAAGCTGGCGAGCTGCCTTTTGTGTCTCCTTTTCGTTTTGCGTTCCCATCCTTTCAAACAACTTGATCGGGGATGAAGCGTGAGTTTCCTCCAGGAAAGGCAATGCTGCTTCAATCTGGGCTGGCTTCTTGGAATGAGAGATCCAGCGGAGAACCTGAACCTGACATCCTGTGACAACAGGGAGAAGGTGATCAGGCACAATTCCATCATAGTCGAGTAGTTCGGCGATGACTTGGGAGGCTGTTTGTCCTTCGGCGGCTGCTGACTTGGCTGTCTTGTTGCTTGATGTGTCTAGCCTTCGCTTCAGTATCCTCAACTCCTTAAGAGCTTGATCCTGAATTCCAAGACCAAGAAGTTTGCCAATGAACGCCGACATGCCATTCTCGAGTTGAAAGTCGGTTTGCGTCGGCTGGATGGGACCCATGATCGATCGGAGACAGGCAAAGGCGACTCGCGCACACTCAACAGTTGCCAAACAACCTGTTGGCTGAGCTGTTGGCTGACATGCTGTTTTCGAGGATATGTTCGGTGAGGTAGCGACTCGATTCAAGGTTCTCGGATGCAGTGGTGATAGGGGCGCTGATAGAGATCTTCGCAACGTTCGTGGCGCCGCAGCCTTTCGCAAGTCGCCATGGGAGGGCTGTCGTTTACTCGGTGTGGACGGTGGCGCGGGCTTTGCAGCTTCGGTAAGAGATTTGATCGCAATGTTAATAACATTCGTTGCAAGAGCAGCACGATCTTTGGCCGAGAGTTGCTCCTCGCTGGACTTTGTTCGCGCCGCCGTGGTCTTCTTCGCCTTGGATTGCGCCGCCGCTCGGGAAGTAGTTCGAGAGTTCGTTTGAGAGGTAGTAGATGAGGTTTCGGTATCAGGAAGCAGCAATTCTTTGAGCGTCACAACTGTAGCAGTTGTGCATGTCGCAGTCGATGCTAGAGCCGCCTTGGCCGCGTCGGCCTTTGCTTGAGGGGAAGCCATGTAGATTATGTGAGTAAGTTCGTAACCATACCGTCGTCAAACCCAAAAGCTCCTATTCAAATGGAGTTACAATATGGACATAAGGTAGTGGACGGAGGACTGCATGAGGCCGGATGGATCATGTTTAGTTAGTGCTAGGTTTAGTGACAGGGTTAAACACCGGTGGTTGTCTGGGGCAACGGTCGGACCCCGGAATTGGGAGGCCCGTGCCGACGACTTTTCGAGGAAGTTCTTGGAAGTCAAGTTTAGAGCTCAAGATATTGCCATTAAAGCCAATAAACGATATACACGCTTCAACATGTCGCTACCAAAACTTGCAATTCGACCGAGCAATGCTCGAGCAGTTGCTCTTGCATTGACAGCGTCACATGCTCCTCGTCTTGGTATCCGATTCTCGAGCACAGCCCCTGCAACCATCGTGGACCGTTCATTCTGGAGATCCCTGGTGCCGAAACCGCTGCGAAAGGAAAATCGCCAATTAAAGAAGAAGACGAGGGAATGGAATCCGGCGACCTTTTTTATTGCTATTTTCCTGTTGATTGGTTCCATGTCGATTCAAATGATTGCTCTACGGAACTCGTTTGATCGGTACATGCGACAGTCGGAGGCTAGGATTATGGCACTACGGGACGTTGTGGAAAAGATCCAGAGGGGTGAGCCGGTGGACGTTGAGAAGGCACTTGGTACTGGCGACCCTAAGAAGGAAGCCGATTGGGAAGAGAGTAAGAGCGCCAGTTCAACCGTCAATCCAGACCCCACGACTAACAGTTCCTTGTAGTGCTGAAAGCCATTGAACGAGACGAAGCAGCCCGCAAGGCGAAGCAAGAGAAGGCAAAGCGAAGCGAACCTGCGACACCAGTTCCCGAAGTCCAGGTTGAGGAGAAAACAACCGCGAGTGAAGCTGCACCAAAGAAGGCGAAGCCTGCTAATCTGGGGAATTTCTTCTAAGTGCTATTCGTCTATCCTCTTGGCTGAGCTGTTGTACAAATATGCAAGGCTTAAGACAGCATGTCCTTAAAGACACCGGGGTTCCCTATCGACGCTTCCAATGAGGCCGATCTCCTTGACGACGGAAGCACATCATTACGCAGTGCCGAGAGTAGAGCCGGGAGAAGGTCATCTGTCGACAAAGCAACCCTCACACCTTGCTCGCCCTGTTGGTTCGGATCTATGTCGACAAACAGCTTATCCTCGCCTCTGATTCCACCCATGCTAATGACAGCAATGGGCATACATCGATCTTGAGCTCTTTTGGCAAGCCTCCAAGCCGAGTACGTAGCGAGCGAGGTGCCTACAATAAGCAGCTTCCCGGCACTGTCGATGGCTTCCTCAGCGGCGTGCTTAACACCACTGTCGATACTCTCCCCAAACATGACAACGGCAGGCTTCAAGACGCCTGCGGTGCTGGGGGGTACCCAAGCTCCGTCAGAGTCGACATCAACGACATGTCGATGGCCGTCTGCGTTTATGGGCGGGCTGGATAAGCATTTGGGGCATGATGGATATCTGAAGGTTGTATAAGGAGCATCGGGCAAGTCAACGTCACCATCGGGATTCATTTTGATTCCCTTGAATCTCCGCTCATCAGGATCTTCTGTATCTAGAGCACCCGAAGCGAGGGCGTCATTTAGCAGAGCGGCCCATCGTGGATTAAGACGGGCCAGGTCCTGTTGAAACTCATCTCGCGAATATTCGGTAGAACATGTCGTGCAGACAATGGATCTTAGATATCCGTGTAACTCGAGGGTTGGTAAATCGGGATGTGCCTTTGAGTGAAAAGAGTCGACATTTTGAGTTATGACGCTCCGTACAAGACCGATGTCACCCAAATCCCTGATGGCGTAGTGACCACTGTTCGGTGCCGCCTTGTGAAGGTTGGACCAGCCGAGAAAGCTGCGAGCCCAATAACGTTTGCGAGACTCGTGGTTGTTTAGAAACTCATAATAGTAAATGGGGCGATATGTTTTGTTGACTCTGTAAGTGCCCTTGTCCCCTCTATAGTCGGCAAGACCAGAGGCGACCGAAAGACCAGCGCCGGTGAGGACAACGGCCGAGGAGGGGAGATGTGCCGGCGACGGAGCGGCGAAGAACCGACGGAGGGCTTCAACGGCGCCGGGCAGAGTCGAGGCCGAAGCCGGTGTTACTGTGGACGGCGGGGGAAGGACCGTGTAAGGGATCCGAAATTTCCTCATTGGAACCATGGATTGTTAATTGGAAACAGTCCAAGCGCTGTTGGGTGACGCGTGACGTTCGCAAGATTGCTGGGACAGGGCAATCCGAGCTCGTAGCTGACGATGCCGTTTCCAATGGCTGACGAAGGATTGGCCAAAGAGGCAAGGGTCAAGGGATGGGGAGACTTGGGTGACGAGACGAGGCGCGAGGTATTACGCAGGGCTTTGCAAGCAATGCGACTAAGATTACGCAAAGCTGGCGCGTATCAATCAGAGGCGAATAATTACTGTACAGTTTGATGCGAGCTTGTATGGGTAAGTGGCCGAGAAACTGTTTCAAGGCTCGGAAGAGCGCGTCATTGGTTCCAAGGGGAATTTTTTCTTCTCAGCCTTGTACGTAGTGTCCAGACTACGGCTTGGGTGGCGTCTTGGAGGGAACCCCATTCAGGTTCGACATCCGAGGGCTCATCCCCCACAATCCGAGTTTGCGCTCGCTGACAAAGAAGATGGATGGTAACAATAAAGTAAGGTACCCGCTTGATACGTTTTTGTTTTCGTAACTCCGGGTTGGAACTGTTGAAGAGATGGGGAGGTCCGGATATCCCGTGTAAGGCGTTGGGCAACAGACCCGGCGGTCAAGGGACGATGGACCTACAACTGCGTAGTGTGGACGCTGAAGTCAATTCAAGGCCCTGAAATGACCCCAAAGAGCTCAACCTCACCCCCTGTAAATCCGACAGAGCTTTCCTCAGTGGTCGGGCCCTTGACAGTTCCGGCGACCGGAACCTCGCGCTTCCTCATCAGACGAGTCTGTCGTAGATAGTGGATTCCCCGTCCCTTCAGCTCCATGGAACCAGCCGTCTTGGACAATGGCGTCGCTTCCTTCTGCCAATTGCCGCCGCAGGTTTTCCTGGCCAGTGGAGAGATGGAGTCTTTTTTCGACTTCTCTCCCCCTGGCCCCTTGATAATCTTGATAATCTCTGATCCAATTCCATCCCCATCCCCATCCCCCATTCCCATCCCGTCCCGTTCCCCCTCATACTGGCGGTACTGCACCGACAGTGCCCCGTAAACAGCAGCCAGCTGAGCCAATAGGCCGGTCCGACCGAGCAAATCCGCTCGCTCTAAGCTCCCCTGCACCGAAGCCGATCCGAACAGTCCTCCGTTAACGGGCGCGGCGGCGAAGGGAAAAGGACGAGGCCCGGACAGCTACTACAACAACAACATCACCACTTTCCCTTGCAACCTTCATATCTACATTTTTCGCCTTCCTCTGATTGAGACGAAAACGCGCAATCTCGTTCCCCTTCAAACCCACCCTGGGGCTCCCCTCCCACTTTCCGCGTCTGCCAGCAACTGCCGGATATATGAGTCTCCAGCAGGCCGGGCGTCCCGCGGGCGTGGCCTTGTGCCTGTCTGGAGTGACGTCGGCATCGGCAACGGCAGCGCCCGCCGCGCAATCTCCAATTCCAGCACCAGCAGCACCAGCGCAAGCCTGTGGCTTCTCACCGTGGAGAACGAGACACCCTAATGTCCCACGCCATGGACGAGGCCAGATGATTCTTTTGAGGACACATACTCCCCACGTCGCCTCTCTGCGTCTACGCGCCCTCCAATCCGCCTCCATCGTCGCCGCCCTCTCAAGCTGCGCCTACCTTGCAGCCTCATCTAAGCTGACATTTAACCACGTTTCAAATTCAAATACCACGTCCTCCGCCGCCGCTCGTTACTCAACAACAAACTCTCTTCCTCACCTCTCTCTCTTGCGCAGCAAACTTCGATCACTACCTACCCTCGTTTCAGCTTCAGCTCCCCAGATGCGATCACACACAGGTCCTGGCCATGAGGATGGCCATGACCATGAACACAGTCACGGTCACGGCCATAGCCACGGCATCATGGGCCACCATCACCACCACGACAATGCCTATCTCACCTCGGCCAACAAGGACGACCCCGGCGTTCGAATTACTCGAATTGGCCTGCTCTCAAACTTGGGCATGGCAATTGCCAAGTTCGCTGGCGGCTGGGCCTTTAATTCCAAGGCCATGACGGCCGACGCCTGGCACAGCATCACGGATCTCGCATCGGACGTTCTGACCCTCGCGACAGTAACATGGAGCTTGAAGCCGCCATCCGACCGATTCCCCATGGGCTTTGGCAAGGTTGAGAGTCTTGGTTCGCTTGGTGTTTCGAGTATGCTTCTGGCTGGTGGTCTATACATGGGCTGGGACAGTGGTATCAGTCTCTACGGTCACTTCTATCCTGACGCGGCACATGGTATCATGGAGCATGTTGGACACGGTCATAGCCACTCTCACGGCGCCGCAGCACTCGGGATCCCGAGCATGCACGCGGCATGGCTCGCGGCAGGAACAATTTTCATCAAGGAGTGGCTGTATCACGCAAGTAAGTCTTTTCCTTCCCAAAAGATGTTTTGTTGTTGTTGGAGACGGCGACACAACAAACCGTGTAGCTTGGATTAAAAATCCATGATGCCACGACCAATTGAGATTGTAAGGATGGAATTGACCAATCGCAGCAATGAAGGTAGCACGAGAACGCAAATCATCGGTCCTCGCATCGAATGCCATCCACCACCGAGTTGACAGCCTGACGGGATTCGTGACGCTGGCAGCCATCATGGGAGCTAATGCAGTGGAGAACGCGGCGTGGCTGGATCCCGTCGGTGGTCTCCTCATCTCGTTGATGGTGATTCACGCAGGCTGTGGAAACACAATTGCGGCCTTCTGCGAGCTGGCTGACCAGGGCATCGACGATGAAGTCAAGTCGTCCGTGTCCAGGCACGCACTCAAGGCCTTGGCAGGCGTGGGAGAAGGGCACGAGGTCGAACTACGCGAAGTGAGCGGTATCAAGTCAGGCCAGAATTATCTGGTGGACCTGGAGATGGCGGTGCCGGGCGCGTGGTCGGTGGACACGACAAAGCAGGTGGAAGATGCGGTGCGGACACAGGTCGGAGGCAGGGTGCGCGGTGTGAGGAGAGTGCGCATCCGCTTCGCGCCCAAGGAGGCGCCTATCAAGGCCAAGTTTGACGACTTTATCCCTGGAACTGTGAATCCGCCGCCCGAGGGAGACGAGTCGAGCGATGAGACGGACGGAGGAGAGTCGGACCATGATCACGATCACGGTGATCACAAGCCCAACGGTCATGACATCAAGACAAACGGTAACCACGAGCGCGTGCAAGACCACGACCACGGCCTCAGGAACAGGAACAAGCATTAGAGTGGAGGAGGTGGTGCTTGGATGTGTAAGAAGCGAGAGCCGCTTCCTTACAAGACGTTGTTTGAGGCTGTTCCTGGGCTATGGGCTCTCCGCATCGGCCACGGCCCCATGCTGCATCCCGTCCTCCCCGTGTCTCTTGTCGACATTCCTCTAGACATCCCACCTCTTCCTGGCCGGGGTCGAGCTTGGCTTCCGGGGCCTTGGGCTGCGGGCCAGTGGATCCCGGCCGGATGAGCTGGAATAGAGGATGAGTGGCCACAGGTTGTCAGGGTTTCCAGGCGGCTTCTTTATCTGACCGTCGGTGAGAGACAGCGGGCATGCAGAGGAAGAAGCATACGCCCTTGGCCCCCTTGTTTTTATTTTTTGTGAGAGTCTGCTTCGCTCAGAGTTGCAGAGGTCTCATTTGCTTCATCATGTAGCCACGGCCATTGCCGGAGAGGACGAGATGCACAAGATGCATTAGGGTGATGTTGAAAGTGACAGAGTCACTGGCATATGCACACAGAAGGAGTATGGAGTGAACGTGGCATTGGGACAAGCAAGGGCATACACTATAGATGGAAGGACGGCTGCATTGGACGAGGACGAGCCAGCAGCCGTGGGTTAGAAAATGCAGATAAAGACGTCGTGCAGTAGCAAGCGTCGGCATCTATTCTCGTGGCGTTGGTCAGCTTAGACGCGCCCCAACGGGATTCAAGGAAACTAATTTAGACGGGGGGAGAGGCGTAAAAAACAATAACATCATGAATTAAATCAAATCAAATCAAAAGCATCGTGTGCAGCAAAGTCAATGGATGTTTCGCTCTTCATTCTCCGTCTTGTATCTTCCGTCTTCCGCGATGCATCCCCCCACGCTCAAGTCCAATTCTCCCCATCCTCCCCTTGTTCCTCTTACCCATAACCTAGTTGATTCTCTTTCCCCGACGCAGAAGCCACTTTATCATTCTGCCAGCTAAGGCAGAGAGGGGAGGGGGAGCATGATGAGGAGGGGGGCGGACCTGAGCTACCGAGATGCCATCGTGGCCGGCCCGCCACTCAGCACCTCCATTCTTACAAGCGCTCCAAGCTGATTGGTGGCTCACCTTGCTCACGAGGACGGCGCGAAGTGCCAGGGCGACAGCTAGGGGCCCCATTGGCCGGGATATTCGAGGCCTGGGGGGGTAAGAGTTGCCCCTTGTTGACTTTAGGCTAAAGATGAGAAGGATAGAATTGAGTGACGGATGTGGAAAAAGAAAGAAAAAAAGTTGGACTGGCACATGCTTCAGTGGTCCAATTTGTGTTTGTACAGTTAATTAGTTGGTCGAAGAGTTTGGAGGAGAGTATCATCAGTTTGTGAGAGTGCTGATCAGCAACAAATGTCCTTGTCTGTTGCAACGCCAAGGATGGAGGCGCATCATTAGCATCAAGCTGTTCCCAGCAACTCGTTTTAACTGTTGCTGATCCACGCATACTCTGTACCATACACACCTTGTCCTGTTGTTCCCACTCCTCCTTCGGCTCCATCCGTATCGCAACTTGTGTCCATCTGATGGTGTTGAGTCTGGCGGTCCAGCACATACACACACGCCCCCGTTAATACTCTCTGCCTTGGAAAACCGGAGACGACACGCAATCTGAGAGAAGCCAGATGTGGCAACAGGAATTAGTTATCAGTTACCGACTTTACAGTTTTGGTCTCGTCGTGCCTTATCATTGACCCATTAATTGAGCGGTCATGATAAAAGCCGTGGGTAAAATCAAAGAATATACGGATACCTACCATAACATACCATACAAGACCTGTCATGATGGCGGCAAAAGAAGGCCCTGACCTTGCCTTGCTGGCTCATGTGCCGGGCGCGGGTATAGTCCCGGACATGGACTTGCGTTCATCTGACCTAGAGCCCAGTTTTTCTCACTGCTCTGCCTGTGCTGTACTGTACGAATAGTTGGGTGGTTCTGCACTGAATTTCCTTGTTTGGGATAGCATCTCTATTTTTTGTCTTGGTGTTTTCTTGGGAGCCTCCTTCCTTCCCTTCACTGCGTACACGCCTAGAGAAGAATGGCATTCTCCCCTTCCCCTCCTCTCACCCCCATCCCCATCTGACGGGACAAAGCTGTTACCCACCCTCCCATTTTTTCTTTTCGTTTCTTTTCTTCCCGTTGCCGGTGGGTGGCGGTCTAACTAGACTGTCATGGAGAGAGGGTAGCTTACCTCAAGGTATAAAGCTCGTGGCCCTCTTTTGCCGGAGTGTCTCTTTTTGGCTTCTGCTTCCTCGTTGTCATTGATGTTACCTACCTACCTAGCTATCTCATCCACCATCTATCTACCTAGCCATCTATCCCTGTCGCCCATATCGATCCCGACTCGGACTTATACACGATCCATCGCCAATTGATTGACATTGACGCTGTCGTCATCACTACAGTGCCATTGCCTGCTCTCCATAATCCATTGACATCGCGAACTCGCCTTTTCCACCCTCCGACTACTGCTCCGACTTCCTGACAGGCACGCTGTCTTGACCGACCGCATACGCCTTTGACGAAACCAATTCTCATCTTAGTCACTCCTCCCGCCATTCACAATGCCTTTCTTGGCTCGATCCCGCTCCAACTCTCCAGAGCTCCCCTCTGATTCAAAGCCCTTATACCTGGGCTTCGACCTGTCCACCCAGCAGCTCAAAGGCACGTTTACAGCTTGACACGAAAAAGGACCGCAGCTAATACCTTTCCAGGTATCGTTGTCGACTCAGACCTCAAGGTCGTTGGTGAAGCCAAGGTCGATTTTGACAAGGACTTTGGGCGCAAATATGGTGTCCAAAAGGGTGTCCACGTTATTGAGGAGACGGGCGAGGTTTATGCTCCCGTCGCCATGTGGATGGAGTCGCTTGACCTCGTTCTCGAACGTCTAGCGGAAGCCATGCCTGTGCCTCTATCTCGCATCCGCGCGATCAGCGGTTCTTGCCAGCAGCACGGTAGTGTCTTCTGGAACGGCCAGGCCTATGAGATTCTCCACAACCTCGACCCTCGTCTACCTCTTGCTGTGCAGCTCCCTGGAGCTCTTGCGCACCCTTGGTCGCCCAATTGGCAAGATCAGAGCACCCAGAACGAATGCGACGCCTTCGACGCTGCTCTTGGTGGCCGACAGAAGCTCGCCGAGGTGACGGGAAGCGGCGCGCATCATGTAAGTTGAGCAAGGACAAGTAACTCTCTACAAATACTAACAACGGGCAGCGCTTTACTGGAACACAAATCATGCGCCTCAAGAAGGACCTCCCTCAGATGTACGCTAGAACTGCTCACATCTCCCTCGTCTCTTCATGGCTCGCCTCCGTCTTTCTCGGAGCCATCGCCCCGATGGACGTCAGCGACGTCTGCGGCATGAACCTCTTCGACATGTCCCGTCAGACATTCAGCGAGCCTCTCCTCGAGCTTGCCGCTGGCAGCAAGCGCGACGCCATCAACCTGCGCAAGAAGCTGGGCGAGCCTTGTCTCAAGGGTGAGGCCATCCTTGGTCCCGTCTCCCCGTACTTTGTGGACCGCCACGGCTTCCACCCCGACTGCCAGATCACCCCCTTCACTGGCGATAACCCCGGTACTATTCTTGCTCTTCCTCTTCGACCCCTCGACGCCATTGTCTCTCTCGGTACTTCCACGACCTTCCTCATGAACACCCCCAAGTACAAGCCCGACGGATCCTACCACTTTTTCAACCACCCCACCACCGATGGTCACTACATGTTCATGCTCTGCTACAAGAACGGTGGCCTAGCACGCGAGAGGGTTCGCGACCAGCTTCCCAAGCCCGAGAACGGCCCTACCGGTTGGGAGACGTTCAACAAGGCTGTCGAGGACACGCCCCTTATGGGCGCTGCGAAGGAGGACGACAGACGCAAGCTTGGCCTGTACTTCTACCTCCGCGAAACTGTCCCCAACATCCGCGCTGGTACCTGGCGCTACTCGTGCGAACCTGATGGTTCGGACCTTCAGGAGGTCAAGGGCGGATGGGACAAGGAGACAGACGCACGCATGATCGTCGAGTCCCAGGCCTTGTCCATGCGCCTACGCTCCCAGAACCTCGTCCATAGCCCCCGACCTGGTCTGCCTGCCCAGCCTCGTCGCATCTACCTTGTGGGCGGCGGTTCGTTGAACCCTGCCATTGCCCGCGTCCTGGGCGAGGTTCTTGGTGGCAGCGAGGGTGTGTACAAGCTCGACGTCGGCGGCAACGCTTGCGCTCTGGGTGGTGCTTACAAGGCTCTCTGGGCCATGGAGCGCCAGGAGAATGAGACCTTTGATGACCTCATTGGCAAGCGATGGACCGAGGAGGGCAACATCCAGCGCATCGATGAGGGCTTCCGTGATGGAACTTATCAAAAGTACGGCAAGCTGCTGACGGCATTTGAAGCCCTGGAGAACAAGATCCTGGCCGAGCAGGCTCACGCACCAGAGGAAGACCAAAGGCGTTCAGAGGAAAAGGTTTAACTGAATCAGGGTATCTAATGTCTAAAGCGGACTGGTCTAATGTCATTTATCTAACGTACTTGCTCATGAAGCGCCTATGAAAATCGGATCGGAGGAGGTCCTAGGCCAGGAGTCAGCGAACTGTTTTTGCATATATTTTTTCCTTGTTCCTCTCTCCAAACAAGTTTTGTATATAGAAAATGGAGTAGACACACAAAAGGGACAGCGATGCAGATAGAAATACACAGAAACGGGGAATAAGACTCACGTTTACAAACTCCTTCTTCTTGCCCTTGTCCTCGGTGCCGCGCGCTTGGTTCTTGAAGACGACATCGTCATCCCATCGGCGCTTCATGTTGAAGTCTTGTTTGTTGAGGAGTGGGTTTCCAAGGGCAATGTTTCGTTCTCGGGCTTCTTGCTCTTCCCTGAGTCTCTCGGCTTCCTGCAACAGACGTTAGCCAACCGATCCTTTGCTCTGATAGTCGCGTAGACATACCTCCTTCTTCTTCCTCTCTTCTCGCTCTCTCCGCACGCGATCCAACTCCCGCTGTAGCTCCGCGTCGGAATCATCGTCACTGTCGTCGTCGTCATCGCTGTCCTCCTCATCTTCCTCGCTATCGTCGTCGGCATCAATATCCCTTGTCTCTGCTAATATCCGCCTCCTCTTTGCTTCTAGATCCTCTTCTTCACCAGCGGCAGGTGGGAGCGACCGCTTCACGCCGCCTGAAGTGCTAGCCTCGTCGTCCTCATCGGCATCGTCCAGGAGGGCAGGGGCACCGTTCTTCTTGAAGTGAGCGGCTTCGGCAGCGAGGAGCTCAGCGGCGAGGTCGCGGGAGGGTCCTTCGTCGGCGTCACCGCCTTGGCCGGCCTGGCGGTACTTGAGTTGGGTGTGGGCTGGGAGAAGACGTTGATGGTAGGCAGGGCCTCGGAGGGCTTCTTTGCCACGGGCCTGTAGACGTTAGCTTTTGTCTTTAAGACAGTAAAAGAAGTACGAACGGGATCAAACGTGGGTCTGTGAGCGGTAGTCATGGCGAAAATGCTCGATGTGTTTCTGGCGATTGATCAAATCGATAGAAAGCTGTTCGCGTTGAAAGTCATCAAGACGCCCCGGCGCGAGGCGTAGGCAGTGGCGCGAAGGCGGGCCCACCCGGCAGAATTTCTCGGCCATGGATCTCATAGAACCTGGAATTTCAGTTTACTTCACTCTCGCGCTGTATAACCCCGGCCCTTTCAACACACGTAAAATACAAAAAAACAACATGCCTCGAGAAGCCGAGCCGTCTCTTCCTGAGAAGACATTTCTCATTCAAGCTCTGGACGAGGGCTTGCGGCTGGACGGGAGGAAATTCGACCAGTTTCGACCTCTGGAGCTCACCTTTGGAGATGAGTATGGTGTGGCTGAGGTCAAGTATGGAAAGACAAGGTACGCGGCATTGAGCTTTTGTTTCTGGGGGGTGAGCTGACAATTTGCTTAGAGTATTAGCCAAGGTCACGGCAGAAGTCACCGTGCCCTATTCAGACCGTCCTTTCGACGGAGTTTTCACAATCACTTCAGAGCTCAGTCCCATGGTCGCCCCTTCATATGAGGTCAACCGTCCTTCACTAGAAGAAGTCCTTCTCTCGAGGCTCCTCGAAAAGACGGTCCGGAGATCTGGTGCTCTTGATACAGAGTCACTCTGTCTTATTGCGGGCCAGAAGTGCTGGTCCATCCGCGTTGACCTGCACGTCCTCACACATGATGGAAACCTCACAGACGCGGCATGCTTGGCTGTTGTCGCAGCTCTTCGACACTTCCGAAAGCCCGATTCAAGCATCGAGGGCGAGAATCTCACAGTCTACACTCCTGCTGAGAGGGAACCCGTGCCCCTGAGCTGGCTGCACTCGCCCTTCTGCGTCACGTACAGCTTCTTCGGCGAGGAGGGTAACCAGGTGCTCGTCGACGCCAACTGGCTGGAGGAACAGCTGCGGGTAGCCTACTGCACATACAGCCTCAACAAGCACGGCGAGATCTGTCAGATTGCCAAACTCGGCGGCACCTCTCTGGACGCGCCACTATTCATCCAGTGTGCGCAGGGAGCGCTGAACCGGTCCAAGGAGCTGAGCGATCTGGTGGATCGCAAGCTGGCTGAGGATGCCAAGCGACGAGACAAGGGAGGGTTGATGGCCGAGTTGACGGCGGAGAACGACAGGTGACGCTAATGTCTACGGGATAACGTCAGAGAAAGAGGATCAAACAAAGAAAGGAAAAATAGAAGCATGATACCCCGCACAAGATGGCAAGATGGATGGATGCGATGCCCATGAACCCCAGTAGATACGCTTGCCAATTATCTCGCTAGTCCAGCCGCCGTCGTCGCTCATAACCCATGATATCTACGTGTAAGGACCGCTAACAAGTCGGCTATCGCATTACTGGTGGCCTGGACTCCTTATTCCATTGTACTCGTGTCCTTACCCACTCGATGGCCTCCCTGACACCATCGCCGGTCAAGGCGCTCATGGATAGTACCCGCGAGTCGCGGATGGCAGACCCCTTGTCTCCCTCCATGACCTTCTTTACCAGGCCCTCCTTTATTCGTATCGTTTCGACACAGTCCTCGCGATCCTGCTTATTAGCGAGGATCAACAGCGGCACGCCCTCCGTCTCAGAGTGCTGCAGGACATCCTCGAGGACGAGTCGGCACTCATCTAACCTGCCACTGCTCTCCTCATGCTCGAGGTTCCCGTCGCCGATATCCGTGCTGTCTATAATGAACACTATAGCATGGCAGCTCGCATAGTAGCTCTGCCACAGTTTCCGCAGCGAGTGCTGTCCACCCACATCCCACAACTTGAGATACATGTCCTGTAATGGGATGGTCGAGACGTTCTGACCGACGGTGGGCACCGTCTTGAGCTTCGGTTCGGGGGCATTCGGTAGGAAGAGCGACTTGACTTGTTCGTGAAAGGTGGTCTTGCCAGCGTTGTCGAGGCCTAGGAGAATGACGGAGTATTCTAGGATGGGAACGTTAGGAAGGGAGTCGAGGGCGGAGGATGGGATACGAGCTGACCCTCTTTACTCGTCGCATAGAGGTAAAGGCCTTTTGCGAGGTGGTACATGTTGGTCGCAGGTGCTTCGGCCAACGATGCGATACGAAAAGGAGGCAAAGAACGAGGCGCTGTGGTGAATAAGAGGCTGGCGATATCTTTGGCTGGACTTGGACAGGTTTGAACAAGGGAGCTTTTGAGGTGTGGTGCAGGTGTCTCTCACTTTTAGTGGATGGAGTCCCTGAAGAGCCTCACCAGGTCCCCCCGGACCCCCACCCGGAACAGGGCCCCAGGACGCGGGAGGGCCCCGCCGGGTTGCAGCTTCAGTGGAGGTTTGGACTGGACGCTCGCCCGTCATTGCGGCCGCGTCACTTGCTAGAGTGTCATGTTACACGGAGTCGGAGGATAGAAGATGAGGTGACACATAAACAAACACGCAAACAACATCTTTTGTGTCTCCCGAACTCGAGGTGCTTCAAGATTATTTGTCAACCATATTGAGGTACAGATCCGGACCAGATGCGGCTGTGGCTTATTGCTAAACGGGAGCCACTATGTACGTACCGGATAAAAATCATGTTGAATGGATTTAGCGTCCATCATGACGAAGGAGCAAGGCCATGATGTTACTCTGTGAGACACGACCAGCGGCCACGTTTCTCCAGATGATTCAGGCACATGGGAAAAGAACAAATTCAATTCTAGCAATGTAAACATGAGCGTAATGGTGACAAGCACATGGCTAGAGGCATTCCGCCATCGAAATACTACTTAATGTGGCTTAGCGGGGTTATTTCTCTGCTCCTCTGCAACACCAGCATGCACAAGATTCTAACCAATCAGAGGTCGCCTTTCTCGATAGCTGTCGGTTTCACCAGCCCAGCCTTCCTATCGCACACCAGGGCCCTCCCATTAAACAACTTCTCCCTCCAACCAATATCTTGGACCTGCCGCAACCGCGTGCGTCCTCCTCTCTTTGTTCCAGTCCCTCGAGTCATCTTCTCCATCTACAAAACCCGGCCTGCGACTGCGTACTCGACCCTCTCGACTCGTCTCGCTACCCGGCGAATGTCCCCCAGTCGCAGCTTACGAGGCTCGCGCAGGGGTTTCCCACTCCATCCCCATCCCAAGTGATCGCAACCCGACGCGCAGCGACTCGAGCATTTTTCTACACAAACACAGACACAATGGCTGCCTCAGAGCTCGCCGCCATGAGCATGAAGCTCCTTAGTATGCTGAACCCTTCCTCTGGCGCTTCCTGAAGAGGAATGCTCGTCCATGGCCCCCGCGACACGAGAACTGACGTATTGAACATAGAGCGAGCCGACGAAGAGTCCGACTCCGAAGGTGCGTTGCCGCGTGGCACGACCGAGACCCCATCGATCCCAACATGTACTGACGATTGTATACAGAGGGCGATTCTGCTAAGAAGGAGTTGTTCGCGGCATGGGCGCTCTTCATCTCGATCATGCTGCTCATCATCGCATTCTTGACGAGCTACTTTCTTCAGATGAAAAAGGTTACCGCGGTCCATGAGACAGTGATATCCATCTTTGCTGGTACGTAGCATACGTCGCATGATTGCGACCAAGAACTCCCGCTAATGTTACATGCAGGAATGGTTGTCGGTCTTACGCTCCTGATAACGTCGGGCGATTCGATTCGAAACCTCATCAGCTTCGATTACCAGATCTTCTTCAACCTGCTGCTACCGCCCATCATCTTGTCCTCGGGATACGAGCTGCACCAGGCAAACTTCTTCCGCAACATCGGTACCATCTTGACGTTTGCCTTTGCCGGTACCTTTCTGTCTGCCGTCGTCATTGGCTTGATCTTGTGGCTCTTCACCCAGCTTCCCGGTTCCTTGACAATCACCTTTGTCGACGCCATTTCCGTCGGCGCAACTCTGTCGGCTACCGATCCTGTTACTATTTTGGCCATCTTCAACACTTACAAGGTCGATCCCAAGCTCTACACCATCATTTTTGGCGAATCCATCTTGAACGATGCTATTGCCATCGTCATCTTCGAAACTGCCCAGAAGTACAACAAGGGGGAGGCCACTAGTTACGGCCTCGTCAGCTTCTTCGAGGCTACAGGCATCTTCTTGCTGGTCTTCTTCGCCAGTATGTTCATTGGGTTCTTGGTTGGTGTAGCGACTGCTCTCCTGCTCAAGTTCACTTATTTGCGCCGAACACCCAAGATTGAGAGCTGTCTGATTATCTTGATCTCTTACGCCACATACTTCTTCTCGCATGGTCTCCATTTGTCTGGTATATACCTTGATGTATTCAGTCATGTCATGGCAATGCTAACCTCGAGCAGGTATTGTGTCGTTGCTCTTCTGTGGTATTACCATGAAGCACTATGCCTATTTCAACATGTCGAGACGCACGCAGCTTACTACCAAGTTCGTCTTCCAGATTTCGTCCCAGTTGTCGGAAAATTTCATCTTCATTTACCTAGGCCTGGCTTTGTTCACTGATAACGCCCTGCAATTCCAGCCCCCCCTCATCATTGTCACGATCCTGGCTGTTTGCGCTGCCAGATGGGTCGCCGTGTTCCCCTTGTCCAAGGCTATTAACTGGTTCATTCGGTACCGCGCCCAGAGACGAGGTATGGAGGTGGGTGATGAGCTGCCTTATAACTACCAGGCCATGCTCTTCTGGGCTGGTCTACGCGGAGCCGTCGGTGTAGCCCTAGCTGCCCTTCTCACTGGCGAGAACTCATACGCGCTGAGAGCCACCGTGTTGGTTGTGGTTGTGCTTACTGTCATCATCTTTGGCGGTACAACAGCGAGAATGCTCGAGATTCTTGGAATCCGAACCGGAGTTGTCGAGGAGATTGACAGTGATGATGAGTTTGATATTGAGACCTTTGGCGGTGGTCTCCAGGTTAAGCGCTCCGGGACTGGTATCGGCTATAACCCCCGCAGGAACGGCAGCGTCGCCCTCAGTGCCTTGGAGGCGGGCCAGTCGGCTAGCTACGTATCTGGTGCCTCTTCACCGCATACTGGAGCTCGTCCTGCGAGCAAGAGCCGAAAGAACTCGATGCGTTATCCAGATGAACTGGAGCGCTCTGATCTTCTGCGTGCCGACGACTCTGATATTGGCAGCGACATTGACACGTCTGACCTCCCACCGCCAGCACGCCGCTCACCACACCCGAGAGCCAGCCCTCAACCCCCATCGCGGCCTAATAGCGCATTCGCTACTCCCACGGCAGAGACGCCAGGAGGCCAGCCCATCACGGCAACGGGCGCCATCAGACAGCTCTGGGCTGCTGAAGACCCTGCCAGCGTATTCCACCAGCTGGACGAGGACTTTATCAAGCCCCACCTGCTTCTACAGGGCGACAGCTCAAGGGGCGGTAATGGCGGGCCGAGCTGAACGAGGGTAGCTATGGGATTGGGTCACGGTTGTTGTTGGAATTATAGGGGCTCCCGCTTGACGTCGGGATGTACTGTGTTATGTGCATGACATGATTGGCGTTGGGTTAGTATAGACTTTCCATTTATGACAAGATAAATGATCGGTTTAGTCCATGACAAAGTTGCTCAGGGGCGCGTGTATTGGTCCCCTTTCCAAGTGCAATTCAGTGATGTAGTGAGGTTAGACCCTCTGAGAGTGTAGACCTAAGGTTGCAAGAACATAACTTACATAGCATGTGTGGTGAGGTACTAGGCAACACATACATAGCTAAACAACTGATGCCCGTTTAAACATTTATAATGGAATCACGATAATTGAGGCGCCAAGGTTAGACCCCTGAGAGTGTAGTCACCAGGTTGCTAGAACATGGCATACATGACAAGGCACCAGGCTACACATAAATAGTTAACCAAGGCATGCCTAAGTTTATGGATATACAATGGAATCACGATCTTTGAGGGACCAAGTTGTACCATATTTGATAGGGGTTGGTATTTTAGAGCGTTGACAAAGGCTCTCATCTCGAGAGGTCAAGCAGCCAAGCCATCCATTCATCCCATCCGTCCTTCCATCCATCGGCTTGGCTGCTGACCTCGACACGGATTAATATTGATAGTTACATATGTTCCAGCCATCATTTCATACAATAGCGGGTTCCGAATCAGAATGCCTTTTTTCTCGCTTGCTTGCTTGCTCTCATCACATAAAAAATCACTGCGCCACGGTATGTCGTTCCCATGTACTGACTGCACCGCACTGAACACTTCAAGCTTGACAACTACAACATTGGCCCTCGAGCCTCATTGACAACTCATTTGCCAGCCGATGGTGTCGCACTGCCGCTCGCCTGCCGCTGATGTTGCTGTTGCTGCTGCGGAGTCGATTGTTGCTGAGCCTGGGGCTGCTGAGGCTTCTGCGCTTGTTGCTGCTGTGCCTGCTGTTGAGCTTGCGGCTGAGGTTGGGCCTGCTTCTGTTGAGGCTGGGCTTGCGCTTGATGTTGTTGACCTTGGTGTTGTGCTTGCTGCGGGTGTGCCTGTTGATGCTGCTGTCCAGGACTGCCAGCCGCCTGACTCGCCTGCTGTTGCTGCTGCTGCTGTCGAAGAAGAGCGGCATACTGATGAGGGCTCGTAGTGGCCGCAATGCTGCCAGCGAGGCCACCCTGACCATTAGCAGCGCCGGCCGCAGCGTTCATGGCCGACTGCCGCTGTGCCATCATGGCGCGCGTCAAGTGCTCAGTGGCCAGCTGACGAGCCTGTTCAGGAGTAATATTGGGGTTCTTGGCTCGGAATTGCCCCTCGAGCTGTGCAAGCTGGTTGGCAATACTAGCTGGGAGCTGTGGTTGCGGTCGTGGAGCCAGCGAGCCGGCAGGGCCAGATGGCATATGTAGCCCGTTGGCCTGTGGCGCCGCGCCGTTGTGATTACTGGCGTTGAACGAGGCCATCATGGCCTGGGCATTGTTAATGAAGTTCTGCTGGCTCATGGCATTTGCGTTGATGCCGTTGACTCCATTCCGCATGTTAGGAGGCGGGCTTTGCTGGGAGCCTGTCGTTGCCTGTCCAGGGGTTCCAGGTCCACCCTGCTGCATCTGGACAGCGGCTCGTTGCTGTTCCGAGATGCGCTGTGCACGCATCATCAGATTAACATCAGGCTGTGGGTTCGGCATGGGCATGCGACCATGTTGACCCTGCAGAGCCTGCAACTGAGCCTGCTGTACACCTGTCATCTGGTTCGGTGGCACCAAACCGCCAGCCATGTGTGATGGAACACCTCCCATACCATTAGCCGGAGACTGCATTGGCATCCGAGCACGGTTCTGCCCGGCCGCCATGGCTGCTGCTGCGGCAAGTTGGTTAGGAACATTAACACGACCAGCACCATTCATGCCGTTGGCCGCAGTAGCTACTGCTGCCGCCGCCGCTGCAGCCACTTGAGCTGAAGTCTGGGCGGCTTGACCAACCCCGGGAGTGCCAGCCATCTGGGCAGCTTGACCTTGAGCTCTGGCTTGCAAAGCAGCCTGAAAAGGGGTTAGCATTCATCTACTGCCATATGTGTTGGCCGCATTGCAACTTACTCGTCGTTGAGCTTCTTGCCTTGACGCATACTGCGCCATCTTTTCTGCCAGAGCTTGGTCGCGCTCCCATCGAAGTAAACTGTAGTCTCTTGGGGTCTTGGTTGGGCGTTGCGACATGGGGTCGTTGGTCTTCTTGTTGGCCGCGTTCTGTGATGCCGTGTGTTGCTGCTTCTGAATCGTCGTCTCCCGCTTCTTGGCCAGTTTCCGCATAGCATCGATCATGGTGAGGTGCTTCTGGTTGCGACGTCTCTCCACACGCATAGGTGTAGATGGTCGTCTTCGCACAGGGGTAACCGCACCGCCAGAGGCGCTGGCTTGCTGCGCGGCAATCTGGTTCTGCTGCATGATGACACGCTGGGCAGCCTCAATTCTGCTGTTATAAGCCTTGAAGTACTGCGTCTTTTGCATGTCTGATGGGAGCCCTTCGAGATTGATCCACCTCTCGAAGCACTCCCATGGTGTTCGTCTCTCAGCCCCCGATGTAAAGAGGGACTTGGGAGTCAAGAGACTAGAGATAAGGGACCAATTGTAGGAATACTCTCGGACCAGAGAGCGCAACTCGTCGTCTTCGGCCAGTGTCCACTGCGACGGGCTGCGACCCTCGTAGAAGCTCTGTAAGGGCATAGGATGCTCTGATGGAGGCCGGAACTGATGGCCAGCGTGTAACCTATCACGAATGTGCTTCATCTCCGGGTTGAACAGAGCTACCTCGTTGGTCTCTGCGGGTAGAGGGAGGCTTGGTGATGGATCGTTGCTAACAAAGGCAGTCTCGCCCTCATCCTCAGAATCCTCGTTCTGGTAATCAAAACGACTGCGCTTCCTTGGAGGGCCGTCCACGACCAGCTTCATGTGACCCTCAACGTATTTGCTGAGAGGGAGAGCTGGTCGTCGCCAATGAGCATCCGGATCCCACTCAGGGCCAGTGAGGTCGAACTTGGGTACTTGAAGGGGCGTCCCATACATAGGAAGCTCCTCCAGTAGCTGATCTGCAGCAGCCGTTCGACGCAGACCAAAGATGACATCGTCCTCTTGGAGCGTGAAAATGGCTGATGGCGCAACCGTCTCGGGGAAAACCTCCATCAGCTCATCCATATTCTCTGGTGATTCGACATCTCCAGAGGAAACGAGGTCAGGAGTCGGCTGGTTTTCAGCGTCCCCAACAGTCTCGCCAACAACGTCGCCCATTGATACATCAGTCGATTGCTGCGGCTTGGGAGGGATAACAGCTGGAACCTGCAGATATTTCCGTTCTTCAGGTGTTGCCCCGTGCCATTCCGCACAGGCATACGCAAGATTCTTAGCGATGGCTCGCTTCCATTTACGCTCCTCCCTGAAATCCGTTCGCATCCATTTCATCTCTTGTAGCATCACATCCCAATGAGTCGGTGGCCGCGTCGGCTCAGGGCAGCGCTTGGGCTGTCGCAGCGACCACTTGTCATGTTGCTGGAGGTGGTACACTCGTCGTAAGACCTTGCAGGCCTGATGATCTTGAATAGCAAGGTTGGCGTCGGGGGTTGTAACGGTTTTGTTCGCGGTGTAGAGGATCTTCTCAATGGGCTGCATCCATGAGGAGCTGCCTGCGAAGCCCTGGACGAACAGAGGGGTATAGTAGTCTTCGGTAGGTTGGATAGTATCGCGCTGGCTGGGGACCATGGCCTTCTCCTCCACTCGCTTGGGCTGCTTTCCAAACACAACTGTCGAGGGCTGACTCCTAGATCTTTGTCTCCGATGGACCGAAAGGTGGCGATGTCTCAAGCTGGGCGACTTGGGAGTAGAGGTCAAGGGTGTCAACTGGTTGTCGACGTTCTTGGTAGTTGTAACGGGCTCCAGAGTAGGTGTTTGCCGAGGTGTTTCGCCAACAATCTCACTGACCGACTTGGGGCGCATAGCACCAGAGGAAACTCTAGTAACAGCGCGCTCGGCTTTCGATGGGGTGTCCTTTGGTTTTATCTCGGCCGCCACAGGTGTCGGTGTTGACGGAGCATCAGACGGGTTGACTTTTTCTGGTAGCCCGGCTGCTTCGCTTTGACTTTCAGCACTTGCTTTAGGTTCAGGTACGTCAACGTCCATTTGTTCAGGTTCCTCCTCCTGGCTGTCAGGAATCTCCTTGTTAATGGGCACATCCGCACTTGGTACATCTTCAGACACAACCTTGGCCTCAGAGGCTGGCTGAACGTCTTTCGTCTCCGGTTGCTCAATCGTCTTTGGAGCAGGAACAGAAGCAGGAGAAGACGCCACATCATCTGTACCCGCCATAGTACTATCCTCTTGCGCCGGAGCTGCAGCTGGGGTAGGGCTTAGCTTAGAAGCAACAGTCGCCGCCGCCGCCGCCGCTGCTGCTGCTTCTGCCACTGCATTCGATCGGATGGATTCCTGAAGCAACTGTGCCTCAGCCGAGTCTGGTGGCGCATTCAGTACTCGGTTTTGCAGATCCTCGGGTGACGCTACACGCTCAGCACGATTAGTCTCGTCATCCCTTTCATCCGCATCATCTTCGGCCTTCTTGTCCTCCACAGGTTCCGAGAACGAAGGTCCCTCATGCTCCGGGCTTGTGTCCGTTGAGGCATCATGAACAGCAGGCGTAGTTGCACTTTGCGCTGTTGATCCAGGAGAAGACATAGCATCCGAGGTACGAACAGCATCCGTAGGGGGTTTAATTGATAATGTGGTCGGTCCAGGTCCAGCTGCAGTCGCGCTCGTCCCTTGAGCAGGCTTGCCCAACCCGGAGGCTCCGTTCTGGGCGCCATCGCCTTTGGTTCCTGGTTGAAAGGTGACTTGGGGCTGTCGCGGTGCGGGTGCGGTCTCGGGAGCAGGAGAAGAGGTTGCTGCAGTCGGTGTTGGCTTCGCGATAGCATTGGGAGGAGCAGGCGCAGAACCGTTCGTCGAGATGGGCTTTTCGACACCGTTCGTAATCGGTGGTGCGACTTGGCTGACTTGCGACGGTTCTTGTGGGACGCTGGGGGCTTTCGGGGCCTGCGTCAATGGCCTAGGCGTCGAGGGTTTCTGTTGAAGGTGGCCATCGTCGGCTTTCGTGGGTGGAAGCGTTCCATTCGGCTTTCCTTCATCCTTCGTCTTTACCAACTCTTGTTTGTTCACGCCCTCCACCGATTGCGATTGCGCCGACTCTTTCGCAATGAATACCGATTTAGCGAGTGACTTCTTGAGGGTCTCGAGGGAAATTGTCGGTCTCGGAGGGATGTTGACCTCGTTCAGCGTCTTGCCTCTGCTGTACGGTTAGCACAATGGATGCAGCATGGCAACAGCAAACGCGCGCAGAATGTCGACGAAAGATGTCGGATCAATTGTTTCAACATACTGGAAGATGTCATTGGCTTGCAGGAACTGCCATTCGGCTGGTGTTGTGGTGGGCGCGTCGGGGTTGGTCAAGACTGGATGGGGCAGACCCTCAGACTGTGTCGCGACAGCGAACAACTCGCGAAGCTTTCGCTTCCGCGACGTCACAATTGAACTGATGCAGGTCAGCATGCCGAAAATTATATCGATCGAGTCGGAAAAATGAGCTCTTTCAAATGAACCACAACTGACCTGCACTCATTGCGCTTAGATTGAAGCAGCCTCGATAGGTCGGCAGGTCCGACCTCAGTCATAGCATCGGCGGTCGCGACATCCGTTTTCGGGCGAAACGGACGTGGCAGAGAAAAGAGCGAGGTCGTCCGAGATGAATGCACGCGTCCCAGACGATGGAAAGGGTTGGTGTTGATTGATTATGGGGTGTCGTTGTCGACGGCGACGTCGTGGGAGGGCGTCAAAAAATTTGTCCTTGGGGTGACGATGCCCGTGATTGCTTGGTGGTTTGGGGCCGACTTGGACCTGGGGGCGCTGAAGGCAGTGGAGTTTCGCTGAGGGGCCGACGCTGGGGGAGGATGAGAGGAGAGGGTTTGCAGGTGCTAGGGGGGGGGGCTTAGGGGCGACAAACAACCAGGCTCAGGGAGTTAGTGGGCTGGATAGTGGGTGTAGTGCGAGTGGTGCGTAGGTGTGCAAGTGGGAAGAGTGCAAGGTTTTGGATAAGCGCAAGGTTAATGCAGAAACGGAGGCAAGCAGAGGGAAGAGGAGAGTCAAATTTCTTACCAGCAGCATGGAACGAAAGGGGATAAGAACTGGACGGGGGAAATGTTGGATGGGGAGCGGAGGGGACGGGAGGCAGCAGGGTTGGGTAGGGTGGATTCCGCACTGTGCCATGATTCGTGGGTCTTTGATGAGGTCCTTAACAGGTTTCTGCCCGTATCCCCCGCCAAGTGCGCTAGTAGGCTTGTGGTCGGCGTCATGGAAAGGGGGGTTAGCGGACCCATGCGCCCAACAGAACAGTGCGGATGTTGGTGCGCAACAAGTCGCACGCACTATGCTCGTCTTTTATCGGTTCCAGGTTGTTAGGCATCCGGCCCACCGCATTCAGTGTTGAAGCAAACGTTAGAGAACCAAGTGCACCAATTATTATCATGTTTTTTCCAGGTAAAATCGCATTTTGTCATCCTGCAGCTAATCAATCAATCAGAATTCAATAAAACTGTAACAAGCCACCCATTTTCTTTCAGCCCCTGCCGAGAATAAAGACTGGACGGATGGACACTCACGGCTTACACAACTAACCAGCCCAGCCACATTTCCTATGCCACAGACACCAGCCACAGGTCCGTCTGCCTGCCTGACGTACTTCCAAAAATACATCTTGACGCCGTCCTCACCCTTCCTACAAACCCGAAAATATCTGCAACCCTTCAACACAACCACGCACAATGTCGGAAGGGAACAAGGCTACCGCGCCGCGGATAGCCATAAAATTTGGAGCACCATCAAACAATAATTCAAAGAAACTCTCGAGGCCAAACCCGCCATCTGCCCTTGGGAAGCGACCTCGATCACACGCCTTGGGAGGAGCATCCGATTCCGAATCCGCCGACGACGACCAACACCGAGGACGACATGAGAAGATTACAGGGTTCGGTGCGGATGGCGCAGAGACGGAGCGCAAGGCCAAGGACGCAAGAACAGAGAAGAAGGAATATGTCATCGCCAGACAAGCGAACCGCGACTGGAGGTCAGAGGTGAAGGCGCAAAAGAAGGGAAAGAATTTGCTCCCCGAAGAGGCGAGGGCCCAGCAGGCCGGCGTGTCTGTAGAGACAGAACCCGCGGATCAGGATAAGGGACTCAAATGGGGCCTAACGATCAAGGAGAAGACTGCCGGGGATGAGCAAGGGGACGCCGAACCCGAAACCGAGGATACGGCCCCCAAGGATGACGCGAGCAAGGAACCACCACAAAAACGGACGGCAGATGACGAGGCCATGGACGCGCTACTAGGCAACAAGGTCGAGGACGAAAAGGTCATCCATCTAAATGAGGAGGATGCTTACCTCCGCGACATCAAGGAAACAGGAGAGGCATCCACACTCGACGACTACGAAGCCATGCCCGTGGAGGAGTTTGGTGCAGCCCTCCTCCGCGGCATGGGCTGGGATGGCAAACCGCGCGGCGCAGTGAAGGAAGTCAAGCGACGCCCGAACCGACTTGGCCTTGGAGCAAAGGAGCTCAAGGAGGCTGAAGACTTGGGTGGGTGGAATCAGGGCGGTAAGAAGAACCGCCGGCCACGTTTGGACGAATACCGCCGAGAAGAGAGTAAGCGCAAGGACAGCCGACGCAACGAGGATAGCTACAAGCGCGAGCGTGAGAGGGAGAGGGAGCGAGATAGGCACGGCCACGGCGATCGTGACCGTGACCGTGACAGGGCCAGGGACTACGACCGACATCGAGATCGAGATCGTCACCGAGACTATGATCGGGACCGGCGGCGATAAGCACTCGAGGTTATTCTCTGACAGAGCCCCCTTTTCCCAACTCAATTTTACCAGGCGTCAACATATTTATAGCAACCGTGGCATTTTACATAGATCGGCCATACTCTCTACGAACCAACTATTGGGTTCCAGGAACCACCAGCACGTAAGAATGGCTCCTCTACACGGTGCATGAAGCTTGTAAACTCACATTACTCATTCTAGTTGATACTGAGCTACCTGGGTATAAATGTGTATCATCCAGAGCATTCCAACGCCTCGCTGTTACTGACAAAGAGCCGCATCCTAACAACTTCCCGGAACAACCAGCCTGTCTCCCTGAGCAGACTCCTTCTGACTTTGACCGGCCTCATGCTTCTCTGGTGAGAATGCTCGCGTCCGGTCTTCACTTCTCTTGTCCAAATTAAACGATCTCTGAATAGAGACGCTGCGTTTCTCGCCGCTCTTCTCTTCCTCACGGCCCCTTCCTCGCTCCGGGCTCAGGACATCCTCCAAGGTCTCACCCTTCTTCAACGCCTCCAGGGATTTCTTTGCGGTATCGATGTCTTCGAAGAGGGCACCTGTGTCGAGGAGTACTCTGTCGATATGCCCAGCAAGACCTCGTTTCCGCTCTACATCCTTGACCGTCTCGCAGAGGTCTTTCATGATGTGCCATCCCTCAACAACCTCCTTTGCGAGGTTTTTCCGCTGGTGATCTGGGAGCTCCTTGATTTCTCTCTGCCCTTGGACAATACGAGCACGACGAATCAACTTTTGTGGCGTCTTAGATCGTTCGGCTTGCTTGACCACACCTTTGAGTGTGTATCCGACAGGTCCCACGATGGCAGCAAGATTCTTGAGGACCAGTCCCGTCAGGCCCATGCCTGTTCCTTTGACAAACCCGATTGCGCCATTTTGCTTCGCACCTCGGATCGGAAGGCGAACCACACCAGTGAAGCCGTCGTAGACACCGTAGAGAAGCTCGAATCGCGCCGCCCGAAGACCAGAGCGGAAGCCTGTCACTCGAGGCGGCCGTCGGACAGTGTCATCTCCGTACAGACGAGGAGCATTGTGGAATCCCTGAGCCAGGGCCATTGAAAGATCGACTGGCGCCTTCGCGATGGCGGTAGCTGTCCTTTCAACGCCGCTTGTCACATCGCCAACATACTGGCCTCTGATTTCGCCGATTGTCGTCTCAGTGTGGATGGATGCAGCGTCCACAGGGTCGTCCGAGTCAGCTGCGTCGTTTTCTGCTCCATTGCCGTTTATCTTTGCCTGCTCCTTGGAGCTAGACTTGGATCCTTTCTTGCCCTTCTTCTTTCTCCGGGATCTCGTCCTCTTGGCCCAGTGATACGGAACACTGACGATACCGGTGAACGCCTCGCCGACTGTGCCAGCGATGGATCCTGCAACTCCTGTAACCGGTTCACCGGGACCTTCAAAGTCATTCCACTCGACATGCCTGATCAACCTCAGGCGTTTCCAACTGAGTAGGCCGTTATCCACTAGGATATCTGCCGCCACAGGGCTGAGCCTGACGCGAGTGCCCTTCAACTCCCAGACGGCGGTTTGGTCCTTGAGAATAGAGCATCGCAAGATGCTTGGATCCTTGAGGTTCAATTGTCTATGAAACTCCTTGACGGCATTCGTCGCTCCATCACCCTCTTCCGCAATGCGCTTGGCAATTTCCTCTGCGGCGTCCCTGGCCTTGTCGGTGAGGCAGAATTTGATGCCCTCGGCCAGCTTCTCGGGACTCAAGTGCTTGTAGGGGACTGGCTCGGGGCCGACGTCTGCGCTACTTACCATCTTGCCCCAGAAGTGCTGATCGCCAAAGAAGGGGACGATCATGGTTGGCTTTCCGCATTTGAGGGCTATGGCCGTTGTCCCTGCGCCTCCATGGATGACACACGCCTTGACTCTCGGGAAGAGCCAGTCATGAGGCGTGTTGTCGAGCATGAAGATATTGTCTGGGACATCATCGCCGCCGAGTCCGCCCCAGCCTTTGGAAACCAAGGCACGAACACCTGCCATCTCAACGGCCTTGAAGATCATTTGGGTGAATCTATCAGGATCGTCCACAACGATTGAGCCAAAGCCAATGTAGATGGGAGCTTCGCCAGCCTCCAGAAAGTCTTCGAGCTCTTTAGGAGGTTTGAAAGTGGAAGCTAGGTCGAGGAAGACGAAGCCGGACACGTCGATCTCACTCCCCCAGTCTTCCGGCTTCGGTACCAGACCTGGCGACCACAGGTATGTAAACGGAACATGAAGTCGGTATGTTGCACCAGGAGCCCAAAGGGTTGAGACGGGATCCAGAGCTAGCGTCTTGACACGAAACTCGTTGACCAGATCGCCAAGGCCTTGCCAGACCATCATCTCGACCAAAGGATATGAAATGAAGTTGGTATAGCCAGGATCGACATTGGAGTTCTTGATGCTCGCCAAAGGATGAGGGAAGGCTTGCGTTGGGGTGTAAGGAAAGGTGAACATGAGGTGGACGGGTATGCCCAGAGCCTCAGCGCAGTGGATGTGTGCAAAACTAGGGGGGTTGGCGATGATGGCGTCGGCCACAAAGGGGTCCTTCGCACCCATCATCTTCAGGTTTTGGCGATCCGACTCGTCATCGGTCGCGTTGATGCAAGCACGCCAGAAACCATCAAACATCTCAGCCATGGCCGCGCGACGTCTCCCGATATCGCCGGCCTTGACCGTCTCCAAGGTCGGAATCAGGCCAGGGTTCTTGACCATGAAGGCCATCAGCTCGGATGGGTCGCCGCCAACGGAGAAGAACTCAAGGCCTGAGTCCTTCTCGACAAAGTCACGGAAGGCAGGGTGCGTAGCGATGCGCACACGGTGTCCGTAGTCCTCCTTGAGAACTTTGCCGATCTTGAGGAATGGCTGGGCATCCCCTCGCGAGCCAATGACCATGATGACGATGTTCAGTCGTGAGCGAGGCTTGGTGTCGGCTATCGAAGCAGAAGACGAGCGTAATCCGTCAGGCAGTCTGATCTCCGGCACTTGATGCCCTTGGCCGTCTTTTGTGGGTGAAACCTTGTTCATGGCAGCACCCAGAGCCTTGGCCAGATATCCAGTACCCGCCGTCTCATTAACTGTGATGCGCAGACGGCCATCCTTCTTCACCTTTCCGGTCGTGTGATAGTTCTGATTGCCAACATCGAACCGACGGTATCTCTCCCCGTCTTCGTTCGCAGCAGCCATCTTCTCGTGGGCCCTCCGCCTCTGTTCTTGGCTGGATACCTCCTGGCCATCATCTTCATTCAGGGAGCTGGAGCTGGAGCTGGAGCCCGACCGTGTGCCTTCCCAGATGGCCTTGTTAAGGTACGATGTGCCGGCCCTAGCGGGTCCTGGTCGAAATAAAGAGTGTTGATGGTGATTGCGCCGTAGCTGCTCCGTCTGCCACGTCTTGTTAGGCTTTGGTCGGGTCTGGGATTTGGATGTCGCAAGTCGAGTCGAAGCGTCCGATACAAGCCCGGGTTCCGACCTTACGTGAGGTCTTCCGTCATCCGCACTCGCATTCTTGCCCGTGTCTTTGGGAGATTGTGGACTCTCGGGGGAGTCGACCGCAGGTGGTATGTGGCTAGGAAAAGCGACATGGCCCTCTGGATGTGTTACCAGAGTCGTTCGTCGTTGGTCGCCCTCGTGTTGCTCAGTCGTCTCAAGCTTGACATGAGCATCGTCATCGCTCAGATCGTGTCGTTGTTGATCCATGTTGTAATGTGTTGATGCGTCGGCGCAAACTTCTTGAGGTCGTCGCGGTTTCCAGCTCTAGGTAGGTGAGGAACGTGTCGTAGTCGCCGTGTCAGTGTCAACAGTCTAGCAGCTGTTCATGACAAGTAAAAGCAAAGGCCGTGAAAGATCATGGTGTGTATCGCATCTCTGAACTGTAACTCATATTCACCAGGAGAAACATTGAAAAGAAAACAAGGTCCTCCCCCCCTTCTTTATTAAACTACGAATGACTAACCATTCAAGCCCAGGGGCAAGCTCGCTCCGTTCCTCCTTCCTCCCGTCGGCGTGTTTCTGGTTTCCTCGCATGGACGGTGACGTCACGTTTGGTCGCATGTGGCTTGGTGCTCTGCCTCTTGTTGGTTTCGTGGCCCGCGAGCTTAACATTGGGCGGCGGCAAGGGACAGGCCGAGGAGCCGAGCAATCGTCGATGATGAACCGCTAATTTACTAGATGATGCGTCTTTATTTGCTGCTGTAAAACATCCCGTGATGTCTTTCTTATTTGGGCCTCTTGGAAGAAGGCGGTACTCAAGCCATTGCTCTCACTACCTGGCTCTCATGACTGACTGACATGTCCATCATGACGTACCTCTTTTCAAAGTCCAGCCGGCAAATCACCCGTTACATATTCACCAGCCACCAACGCGGCAGCCAGCTTGGCATCGGCTCACAGGGGCCGGTTAATTGGTCATTGTCTCAGTTGATTCGAGGTCTTGACGAGGTCTGACCTTGGCAGCGGCCGCGGAGGAAACGCTCCGGTATGTTTGCTTGTTGACGGCCTACCCTGCACTCACATGAAATATCATCAAATTTCACCAACCCGCATTATTAGACCATCATTTCTTAGCTCAGGGGGTTTATAGACTTGTTTACTTCTCATCTGACAAATATTATTTGGTGGGTTGTATGTTGGAAACGCCGACTACAGCAAAACTCTGCTCGTTGACTTCCATGACACTATAAACATGACATCAAAGTTCGTGCAGACCTCACCAAAATACACATCATGAGAGCGACGCAGAAACAACGGTGCCTGCCCTTGATTCAAGCCTGATAACTTCTCTAATACACTCATCGATACAGTCATCAGTCATGTTTCCCAGTTCGCCATTTGCCACGCCATAATACAGTTCCCACACGCCGCCGCCAAGCCAGGTATTCATCTTTTGCAATGTTCTACTGCAAAGGAACCCGTTCCAAGATGTCCGTCAAGATGCCCAGTTGCATCAACACCTCACCCTCTACCTCTTGCCCGTCAAGTTCCTTCTTCTCTACTGCTTCTCGGAGCTTCTTGGCCGCGGATAACAAGGGGTTGACATATCGATGCTCTATCGCTGCCGCCATTCCTGCTGGAGCGAGGTCCTTGTAGTCCTTTCCACCAAAGAGGAAGAGGGCAAAGTTGGCCACCTGAAGGTGGAATGGGGCATTTTGCACCCAGTACTCCCATAGCTCCACCGAATCCGTATCATTCAGGTACACAAGATCCTGAAAGAGTGTGTACTGGAGTCCGTCAAGGCACTCTGGAGTGGCAAATCGACCCTTGGAACCAGCCTTGCGGGCCGCAATCATCTCTTCCCGTAGCCATGTCACGGCGCATGCTTGCAGAGATGAAAACATGCAATTCTCCAGCAAGTCTTCCAGGATACTCAGCCTGTCCTCTTCGTCGGGATCCGAGTGAAGTATCAGCCCTGCCATCACGGTGGCTGCATTTCGAACCCGCAATGAGGGATGGAAGACAGAGACGAGCGTTAGAAGGTGGTGGTATGACATGAAGTTGACACCCTTTTCAGCGCTGGGCCCAACCAAGCGCTTCTGGTCGTTGAGCCACAGTGCAATAACAATCAACGCCTCGACGGTACCGGGATTGCCCACGATCTGCTCCTGAGGTTCGTCTCCAAGGAATCGCTTCAACAACGTATGATGCTCAGGGAAGATGTTGACGTCGGGTTGGTCGTAATCGGCATCGAAAATGTCGGATGCAAACATGCGGTAGGCTGTTAGGCAGAGGAAACCACCTGTCGATAGCTTGATGGCATCGGGGTTCTTGGGGTCAGGCTCAACCGAAAGGGGATTTTTGGAGATCGGAGCCTCCAAGGCCTTCTTAACCTCTGCAGAGGGCATCTTCGAAAGACCTAAGTCACGGGCAACAGCCTAGGGCGAGCGCGTTAGCGACAGACGAATCAATACCATGAAAAGCCAACTTACCACTAACTGTCCGACCAAGGCATCCCTGGCCTGAAGCTCTTCCACCTGCTTGAACGCCTGCAGCATAGTCGGTCGTCCCGGCACGATCTTCTCTGGGTTGCAGTACTCCAATAGTCTCGACGCCCATTCCATGCTGTTCGAGTTGACATACGCTTCAAGGATACTAGTAATGAACGACTGGAGAAGTCTGGCGACGAGTTCAGGCTCGCCTGGGCTTTGGCCGGCATCCGCCTCAGGATCGGGAGCGCTCTTGGAAAGGTCGGTCTCTTGGAAAGGTGTCTCTAGCTTGGTGCTAGATTGCCGTGTGGGCAGTAGTGGGCGTTTCCTCCCAGAGAGGGACCGCACAAGGTCAATGACGGCGGCTGTGATCTCGGCACCCCGAGGATTGTAGGCTCGGTAGACTGTCTGTAGTGTAGAGTGGAGGAATCGCGAAGGCGCCTTGACCTGAAGCCTTCTGTGCAGGATGCTCAGCATGCCGACTAGAGTGATGAACTTGGCGCTCGCTGAAGCATCTCCAGCCTCTGCGGATTCCGAGTTGGAGTCGAGGACCTCGAGGACCTTGATGATGACCTCGCGCGGGTTCCCAAGACGGGCGATGGTCTCGAGACAGGTCTCGCTGCCGGGGACGGAGATGAGCATCTCCACGAGGTCCCAGCCAATGTCGTTTGTGAGCTCGGCATCTTCGAGGATCTCGTGGAGTGCTGGGAGGATTTCGGGGGATAGGTGCGTCTCGACGATGGTGAGGTATGTGAAGGCGTCGGTGGCGGGAGGGCGGGACTCCTGGAGCCGCTTGATGGCTTCCTCGACGGACACCATGATAAATTCTTGTCGCCGCACTCTATTAAGTGATAATTCTTGTAGAAAGAATCTTTATTTTCCGTCTCACGTGGTGCTTAGGCTGTAAGTCGTCTGCACTCGAGCTGACCCAAGAGCTCTACCGCCAGCTTGGAGGGGTCGGGTCGCTGATGACGCAAAGACGGTTAGAACGAGAGACGAAAGTTGCTGGCAGAGGGAAAGAAGACAAGGAGGAAAACGACACAGGAGAAAGAAAAGGATGACAATCCCCTGATGGGCCGTTTTTGTGGTCTGTTAAATGTATGTATGTATGTGTTGGAGGAGGAGGAAACAAACATGCGAGGAGGGATGACGACGGGAGGGCCTGCCCAATGTTGCAGGTGGTGGTGGTGGGGTGCCCTTCCCGCTACGCGCGGGCCTGTTTCGTCATCATGCTTGTGGCCATGAGCTTGTTTCCACTCAAGCTTAAAATGCCAGATCACCGCTACCGCCACCGCACAGATGGAAGCATGTCTTTTTGTTGTGTACCTATGAATCTATGGTATTACGATGGATGCTAAACACTTGTTGGGTAAACAATCAGGGTCCCCAGCGTAAACAGTTGTGCACAGCAGATGCAGTCAAGCCGCTGATCCACAGGGATTGAGCTCTGATCCAAAGCCAAGCCTTGAGGCTACGCATTGGTTCCCGCTCACCTTATCGACATAATGCTTGGCATTGGGTATCAACTCGAGGGCTCATTAACTGGATACATTACGACAAGTAGGTAGCCAAGATACATATAATACAGCCATACACAGCATAGGCATCATCCATCCATGACCTTTTCCGCCCTCATCGTCATAAGAACCAAGAACCACCCAACCACCAACACCGAACCCAGATGCAATCATACACTGTCGTACAACACAACCCCAAAAGCCTATAATACATCGCCCAAGAGACAGCACAAAAGAAATTATACATGTTGACGAGTCAAGCCTCGAAAGAAGAGACACTCTGTAAGCACAGTCTCCTCATAGCCCCCAGTTTGACCTTGCGCCTTTGTTTGAGTTCGGGTGCAACCACCCCTTTTTCTCAGCATGATAGCCGTTTTGGTACTTCGTACCAATGGCCTCCGATACCGACATGGGCTCTTTCATAGGAACGAGCTTCGGATAGGCGTGGTACGGCAAGACACCCTTCAGTTGCCTTTTGGTCATGGGCTTGTCTTTCTTGGCCGCTGCCAGCTCGACTGCGCGGACGTCCTTGATTATGTCTCGCAGCTCCTCATCAGTTTCAACGATTTGGGCCTTGAGGAAAGGCAGACTTCCCTCCGTTGCTTCCTGAATGGCCTGCATCACAGGTACGCGGGGGGTATACTCGATATCATCCAGCTTGGGTGCGTACCTTGCATCAGGCACCACGGCAGGGTCCAGCCTGGCTGCCTCACCCTTCTCGAGTAGAGTTGTGATGTCGATACTCTCTCCAGGGGGAATTGGAGTTTGATGACTTGGTGTGATACACTCCATATCCACCTCTTTCCGCAGAACATGGTCTATGTCCACCGCAGAGAAATAAGCACACGACTGAGGAAGGTCTTCGATGCCAACCTGTTGAGCAAACATGGCTCGCGTCCAGACGTTGACAACCTGAAGGGCAAGGGCCGCGCGGTACTTGTCCTCCTCCTTGACTAGGTAGCGGATTTCATCGTGCACTGTGATAGCGACACGAGCGTCGATGTTGAACCGCCTGATAAGATAATCCATGCCGACAATCAGCAGGTGCAAATAGTCGACTCCTGATGACTGGATGGCCCAGTTGATGCGAGATGTCAGATAACCGCCCTTGTTGACGTACCGACTCATGAGTGCCTCGGTGATTCCGGCACCCAACGCTGGTGTTCTTGGTCTCTCTTGTTCAGCAAACTCCTCCAGCTTGTTAAACACAAATGACTCAGTGCCTCCTCGCCAGAACGGGCGCTTGTAGAGAATTTTGCGGTTCGTCTTGGTACCCTTGGTGTTGGCATACAGCCTCGAAGCCGTCTCTGTTGTCTGCCTTTCTGAGAGGTCGGGGTTGAACTGGCGCAGCAAGGTCGCCGCAAACTTGAGGCCAGCACCGTAAATGCGACCATAGTTGAACACCTTGGCATTGTTTCTCGAAATGCCTAGGATGGATGCTGTCCGTGAATGGAGATCGGTCCCCTGAGACTTCGTGCCTTCCAGCGTCATGAACCCAACAGCGTTACCACCATGGAGCTTGAATGTCGCGTCACCCACCAGACTGGCAATCCAGAGTTCTTGTGAATCGACATCAGCTCCAACAAAGCAATAGCCCTTGGGAGCCTTGACCATCGCCTTGAGTTCAGATCCCACACGGTTCTTCTTGGCGTTGCTAGCTGTCAACCAGGTATTCTCGACTGCTCGCCGAGTAATCGTACCCATGGGGATGATCTGCGGCAATATGAACCCGTCAGTGTTGGCGGCTTTCGTCTCGCTTGTGCTGTTTGGCTCAGTCTCAAGAGAAGATTGGCCATTTGTGAGGTCCTCCTGGTAGACAACCATCTGCGACCTGATCCGGTCTCTTGCGCTGATCCAGTAGGAGCATGATGCGTTCATCTCCAGCGCTTCTTTGGCATACGAATATTCTGATGACAAGGTACCATTCTCGAAATAGGCTAGATAGCCCTTCGCCATCGGGTTCGTACAGCGCGCGGTTGGACCGTCCTTATGCGGAAGCTTGAAAAAGGCATGGGCGTGGTCATCACGCAGACGGGCATCTGTTTCATCAAAGATGCATTTGACCATCGACTTGGCCGTATATTTCGCAGTGTCCTGCCGCGGCACTCGGAAGGTCCAACCATATTTGTTGGACCAGAATAAAGGGTGGCCGTCCCAAGCAAGCTTGAGAAGCAGGGGCGCAATGCGGGTTCGGACGGTAATGTTGATCGGCGCATCGTTCTTCTGGAATAGGTCCTTGTACCACTTGGGCATTCCTGGCTTCTTCTGCCTGGCCGCAGGTCTTGGCGGATCATTCTTCCGCTTTCCCTTGACCATCTTGATTTCCTGGCCGGACCAGTCGAGTTGATGCATCCATGGGTCATTTTCCCACTTGTCATCGTCATTCTTGATCTCGAGTGCTTTTTCAGTGAGACCAATAAGGCGTTCCTGGACTGCATCCGAGAGCTTCTGGTATGTTGCCTCCGCGTTGGCAATGTAGGCATCCCAGGACTTGTTGACTGGCAGAATGACAGAGGAGAGATGTCGAAGGGCGGCGAAGCTGACAGGATGCGGGCAAACCCGGAGAAAGTTGGGAAAGACAATCGAATAGACACGATGGGTGATTGACACGTCAGCAGCGCAGTAGTCCATGAGCTCGTCCAGCTTCTCCAGAATTCCTTCACGATCCAGCTCCCCAAAGTCATCACGGACGGCCTTGTCGATTGAGATGTTGAGGTGAAACTTGGCGACGTCCCGTAAAGAATTGATCGAGCTCCGTTCTACCCATAGTTCTTCCTCGTCGTGCATGCCCTGGTTGCTCAAAAGCTCGGCCAGCTCATGATCGGGGGTTTGGCTAGCGGCCCTTTCCCTTAGTTCACGGTTCTTCTTGTGCTTCATCCAGGTCGGCCTTTGCTGAGAGCACATGCCGTTGACAGCCACGTGTAATGACATGGTATCCAAAAAAGAGTTTCGTGTCTGCTTGATATTGTATTCCTCCAAGATTCTGGCCCTGTCGTAACCTATGTTGTGTCCAACAATAACTCGGTCCTTGGTAGGGTCACCCAAAGGAATTAGTTGCCGGTCGTTTTCCGTCTCCCCCAAGAGCCATGGGGAGAGCCAGGCATACCAGGCGGTTGGGCTCGATGCGCACGCCATAACTGCGAATGGGCTTTCCTTCCACATGACTTCGGTATCGAAGCAAAGCGTGGTTTCATCAGGCACATCGACCTTTTCGGTCTGTCCATCGGGATAGTATTTAGTCCAACCACTTTCGCGAACCCATTGCCTCGGTTTTGGAGGGGGGTTGGCGCGTGCAAACTGCTTCGCGTTGGAGAGAAATGGCTCGGCGCAATCGAGACCGAGCTTGTAAAAGTGATGATCAAGGTTATCGCCCTGCAACGGTGGGAGGTCGAAGGCTATGGGATCAGATTTGCCCGTGTTCTTTCCAAGCAAGTCATGGCGGCGCAAATGATCCTTGGATAACTCGACCAGTTCTGGCGGGGGGGGTTTGGTTCCGTTGGGAAATATTTGATCAAATACGTGGGAGCTGAGTTGCTGGACACCTATCTCGTTGTATCGTGCTTCGGATGGGACTGAAGTCGCACTTAGTAATTATTTCTATTAAAGTAAAGTGCTGAAGCTCACGAGCAAGCGTCGTTTGTTTCTTTTGCTCTGCGACGGCGGACAGCCATCGAACATGGGCCCTCCAAGCATGGCGACGAAAGGCCTGGTGGCGGGCGATTCGGATGAAGCTGGCCGTCGAACCGTGCAAAGGACGACCAGCGGTGGTCGTGAACATCATTCAAATGATGCGCGATGGCATCACGACGATGATGGGATCGGTCGTTTATGCGCCCGCGATGTTGACTGCACCCGTTTGCTGTGTATCTCTAGGGAGGGTTGAAGCAAGATAGAAGGTGATGAATTTGGCATTACCATCAAATTATTATTAGCGGGCCCTTGCAAGCAGATGACGGCGTGCATCCGGTGGGGCCTTCCGGAGGCATGGATAAGAGAGTGGGGACAAGAGGGCGGGGCTTCCATGTCCAGGGCGGCCAGATCTGAGGCCTCGAATAGCATCAGAAATTTGATGAAACAGGAAACAAGGTATTATACGTCTTGTTTATGTTGAGGAAAAGTGTCAAGGAATTTTTCAAGCTTTTCAAGATCATTTCGGGCAATTTGATGGCTCTGCTTTCTCTCCCGGAAGTGTGTACTACGTCTGCGCCTTTGAATTTCGTAAAGAGGCTGGAGTTTGGGAAGGGCAAATTGCTAAGGGACTGTGGTCGTACAACGGCCCCTTAACGAACAACACCCACATTGGACGACTTGGCCGAGACAACAATGATCTTGTTACTGGAAGAGAGTTCGTCTTCCCGGGTGTAATCCGTGAACAGGCTAGAAGGCCGAATGTAGATGTCCGAGACTGAAACTCAATAGGTTTGCTAGGATGGACCGGGAGTGGGAAACGACAGCGAGTGAGGTTGTGGGACATTGGATGGAAATAATGCGAGATGGGACTTATATGGATGAAAGGTATATTGATACAGGGACTTCTATGTAGCTCAGCGTGCCTGCCTCCATTCCTACCTACCCAGCTCAGTTGCTTGATTCCATCTACCGCGATCGATCTGTGGGAAGTAGTTACTCTGAGGGCAGACAATGGCGATGATGACGATGCAGGGGGCCGAAGTCAATGGCTATTAACACCTGGAGCCTGGTGTTCAAGCGCAATTCTCGCATGAGTAACACCAGGAGCATTACTCGTAAAGTCTACCATGGGCGCTTAAACTCTGCAAAGCATCGCCGTGAGATCACGTTGTAGTGTCGAGTCGGGATATAATTGGCGAAAAGAGGCTGCTTTATGGTTGCTCCAGCCGAGAGCCCCGTCCGGAGGTTCCATCCATCAACACCTTTTTCAAGTCAAGCAACAAAGACTGCGTCGGGTGCCTTCTCCCTTGTGCTCATACATGTGCCTGTTCGCCCGTCCTCCGGCTTCAACATCCCTAGGCGCTTCGCTTCGCTTCGTTTTGTCGTTATTTTATCAGCGCCTTTGTTCACAGTGCCTCCGTTCCGCCTGATCCACTCGGAGCCCGTCCGTAGCGTCCTCGGGCCAGTCCCCTTCTCGTCGGCCACTCAAACAGCACAGACGGTAGAAATACTCCACGGATTGCACCAGAAACACCCACTCTGGCGGCCAACAATGGACCACGGATTCTTCTGGATGGACTCGTTTGTCGCCCGACTGCTGCAAGGTTAGAAAATCTCTCTCTCCCTCACTCTTCCTCCGTCGTCTGTGGCCGTCCCGAAGCCCTCCTCCCTCTCTTCTGCTGCTGCCGCTGCGGCTTCTGACGCTCGCTTGCCGCCGACCCTACAGACAACGCAGCCCTGTTTTGGAACACGCCAAACAGCTCTCCGTTCGCAATCTCCATGTCCAGAGTCGTCTCGTCCCCCGACCGAGCTGCCGGGCATTCACCCAGGCCAATCCAGACTTCCCAGATTGATGGTGGTCTTGCCGGTCAGCGCATTCGCCCGACCACGCTGCTCTCTTCGCCACCCTCGCACTCCAATTCAAATCGCCGTCCCTCTCCGACCGCAACCTCCACCACTCAACATCATCACCACCACCACGACCACCACCTCGCCTCACCCCCAAGACGAGCCGCCGCCGCCTTTACAACCCCTCCGCAAAACGTCTCGACGCCGCCTCCAAGGCTACCGGGCTTGTCGTCGGCGCCCGTGGGGTTATGGCAGGGACAGCACTTTGAGCTGTGGTCAGACGCAGACCAACTGATTGATTTAGAGGATCCATTCTCCCCCTCGCACGTCGACGTCGAGGACCCTTACCTCGCTGCAATAATCAACACCGAATTTTCTTCTCCTTCAACATACCCTCCATTCACCGATCAAAATACGCGAAATAGCCAAAGCCAAAGCCAAGGCCAGAACCAGGGCCAGGGCGTGAATCAACCTCCAACATTACAGGCATCCGCGCTGCCTCAGCCGCTCACCTACACTGACACTGCTGCCGCCCCACGCGACCCCTCTACCACCTGTATCTCAGGCCCCGAGCGTTCCACAACACAACTCTCCTTCTCCTCAACCAACGCCGCCGCCGAATCTCAATCCACACTGCGCACCCTCGATTCTTTCGACGAACACGATTTCTTTGACAGCCCGGCGAGCTCCTTCTCCGACACCATGCCCCCGGCCCTCCGAAGGACGACAACGGCAGCCGCCGGTCGTGTTGCACCAGCTCACGCCAACAAGCGCCGGCGAACTTCTACAAACACAGCGCCCGCGAATCCAACGAGGACTACGCCGAGGCGGAAATCAAACGCCATGCCTAAAGACGTTGAGGAAGTCCTGGGACCGAAGCCTCCCCGGTCGCCCATCGATGTCGACCCGATATCAGACCTTCCGACGATCGACCTCACTGAGACTAATGATGTGCCTGAGGATCTCAAGAAGCCTGAGAAAGATGACCGCGTCAAGATTGCTGCCTTCCAGTGCGTCATCTGTATGGATGATGCTGCCAGCTTGACAGTTACCCATTGCGGTATGTGAATTTCCGGCGCCCTCGAGTTGCCACCCCTCAAACCCCCAATAACAATCACTAACGCTGTCCATTTCTAGGCCATCTCTACTGCGCTTCCTGTCTGCATCAATCTCTCCACGTCGATGCCACCAGAGGGAAATGTCCTATGTGTCGCCAAAAGATCGACATGAAGTCCCGTGACGCTTACAATAGCAAGACAAAGGGATTCTGGCCCCTGGAGCTGAAGCTTATGACAGCCACACGGAAGGGCAAACGCAAGGCCAACACACTGTCTTGATGTCCACAACATTACGGACACGCAAACGCACATCGGAAATGCTGCTCCATCTGGCTAATCGGGACTCTTTTATACCGACATTGGATGCAACCAACTCGCACTTGGCTCACCATCTCACTGGCACTCCCGGCATGCCCTCCCTGGGCGTCGGGCGGCCTTTTACCGCATCATCCCATCTGGCTGAGCATCACCTTTCTTGCTACGGAGCATGGGTTCACTTCGGGGCGTCATATTCAGATACCCAGCATTTACATGGATAAGGGGAAACACGGATTACTTTGATTTATCTGCACGCTAGCAAGGCTATTATGCCGACATGGATCGTGGGGCCGGCGTATGGAGTATTGGAGGAGCTATGTATATGCTCCCGGGGGATTACAGAGGGGACAACTTAGAAGTCCAAACCACTGTGAATAGGTTACTTTAGTCAATGGCATATTGACGTATAGACACAGATCCTTGATACGACTCACGCGACGTGTGTACGACGCAGCGACGACATATTGGCATATGTAAGTATCTGCATCTCTTTGAGGAGGCCAGGTATTAAGACGCGAAATATGCCTCTTCATCTAAGGTACCTGGCGCAGTAATTATCTCGACTCTACTAACTATACCCCACGATGCATCCATGTTTCATTCCTCCCTGCCAACGCCGCTTAAACTCTGCAAGCTATATCCTGTCTCGGGGACACATACACACAACCTGATACAGTGCTCGACTATATAACCTCCTCTTCCTTCTCTTTGGTCTAATGGAAGAGTCCATGGGTCGGCTGCTTAGGCTCGGGGATGACCTCGTTCTCAAACTGTAGTTGGTTAGCAAACACTTTTGTTTTGTCTGTGACGGGGAAACCCAATCTCACCTCAAGGAACCGAGTGGCCGCAATGATAACCATCAGACCCTCTGCCAACTCCTCAATCTTCGAGTCCAGACCATCGTCGGCATTACCGCTGCCGATGCCTGCACTGCGCTTGAGAGAGTGTGTCACGAGCATGCGATGCTCAGAGAGGAACCTGCGGCCCTGCACCACGTTGTGGCTGCCCCGACTCACGAGCGCGGCGCCGATAATGCGCACAACCTGGGCGAGAAGATCGTAGTGCTGCTCGAGGGCACGCGGGTTGGCCGTGTTGATCTGGAGCTCAGGGTCTGCCGTGAATAGACCCGAGAGCTCGAGTGCTCTGAAGAGGTTGGAGTGAAGAAGGTACTTCGCACCAGAACGAGTCTGCGATAGCTCCAACAGGAGCGCGAGGCGTGCGTTTTGATAATTCTCCTGCTCCGAGTTGTCTGAAAATGTGCATGTTAGTTCTGCCAACCTTGAGTAAGTGATAATATAAAGGGTGAACATACTGGAACCGAAGACCTCGTGCCACTCGTGCATGATGTTGCGTAGTGAATCGACCAGGATTCCAATAAAGTTTAGTCGGTTCAGAGTTTCGACGACATGATCCTCGTTCTCCTGACGACCCATACTGACCAAGGCGTTGAGGAGGATCAGGGCTGCTGTCTGGCACTGCGCTTCACCACCATAGGCATCATCACAGATGACGTTGATCAGCCGCTCGCCATACACCTGGATAGTCTTGATGGTCTTGGGGCGGTTGGACGTGAGAGCACCTTGGTCAGACATGCCCGCCAGGTAGCGGTAGCAGATGCCGTAGTAGACCGACCTGAGCTCTGGTGTGCCAGCCCATTTGCCAATGGCCTGAAGGCAAATCTGGAAAAGCTGGTAAAGCTTGTCACTCACTAGATTGCCAATTGCCGAGCCTTGCTTGTCCTCAGCGGGCGCCGAGAGGTCGAGCTTGAAGAGAAGAATCTTGGCGAGCCTTGCAAGCTCGAGGGCTTCAGCTGGTCGCTCGGACGCGAAGGCTTCAAGACTGGGGAGAATCGACTGGAGCGCTTGCAAGAAGAAGGATGTCTGAGCAGAGCCCTTGAAGTCATTCGATTCAATCATGACAAGCAACAGCTTCGTCCATGTCTTCAGGACCTTCAGGCTCTGAGTGGAAAGCTGTTTTTGCCGGTTGGAGGAGACAAGGTACTCAAGAATCATAGCCTCTTCTCGCTCGATAGCGGCAAGGTCCTGAGCAGCAACCAGCGCCCCTGACCCCTGAGCCTCGCCACGTTTTAGGAGCAGGATTTCCTTGACGCGATCGAGGTTGTAGATGGGGTTTGAGTCGGCATCATTCTCCAGGCATGCTGACAGATCAATATCCTTGTAGTACTGGAGAGGGGGTAGAGGAATCTCCCACGCGCCTTCTGGGAGCAGGAAATCGTAGAGGTCGAAGATGGTAGGTATTTGGATTGGGGCGTTGCCCTCCCCTATGATCTGGCCATTCAGAGCCTCAAAGATTCGCCTCTTGAGACTCGGCATGCGGCTCTGAGAGATGCTGCAAAGCTCCATAGCGATATACTCCAGACCCATCCTCCGGAGCGCCATGAAGTCGATCAGGGTCACTGCGCCTTCAGTCACTGGGAAGTGAACCACGGCAACATTCTCTCCCTCCCATGGTAGATCCGGATTGATGACAACCTCACGGAGAAGGAGGTGGAAGAGAATCTCGTTTTCGCGTAGTTCCTCGACCACAATAGGAGCAGATAGGGGCGAGCTCCAGAGGATGTGGAGAATGCGCATCACTCTGGACTTGATAGCGACGAGCCATTGTCGCATCCCCTGAGCATCGCCTGAGGGAGCTTCCAGGAGCAACCTCAGGAGAGTGTGAAACAAGGACGTTCTGGAAGCGAAAGAGCCCTTAGCATCAATCGACAGAGAGTCAATGCTGCACTTGAAGCCAAGTAGCAAGTGTGCAATTGTGGGCTTCCGGGGAGTCTCCTGAAGGCACTGGTAGAGGAAGTCGAGGATGTAAATTTTGGTGATGTACGCCGGCGAATCTGCCTCTCGGCCGGCCTCCAACGGGGTGATGAGTTCTGAGACGAAGGATCGAGAAATCGCCTCATGCTCACCGTTAGCTTCCAGAGCAACGATGGCCTTGTTGCGATGAGCCTGTCTGTTAGATCCTGACCAAATCGCGGTGATCTTGGATGAAGAAGACATCTTCTCGAGAAGCTTGAGGCATGCCAGTGTAAGCTCGGGGTGTCCGATGCCACAGTAGTTTCCTAAATCAACAACGAGATTCAGTCTAGTGACGAGACCATCTTCGAAGGAAGAGAAGGCAGCATTCGCTACGGGCGGTCGACGTTGGCTGGACTGGGCCTTGAGAATGGGTCGGACGAGCTCAAGGTAGGTGGCCTGTAGATCGAGAACCTTGGAGATAACCTCGACAGCACGCAAGATACCGAGAATCAAGGGTGAGTCAGGAGCGGCATTTCCCACATCAACAGGCTCCTGATGTATCGTGTTGAAAAGTGCCGTCATCACTTTGTCGTTGAACATCCACTCCATCACCCTCGCAAACGGATGCATGCGTACATATGTTGCCAGATCGGTAGTCGAGATGACTGCATCGACGTTAATATTTGTTTCGTTGGCCATGATGATCAAGTCCTCGTTGAATGTGGTCAGGCAGATGAGGATGAAGTCGAGGCAACTAAGACGGAGAACCCGAGTTTGATTCGCGTCCTGAAGATCATTGGATTTCGTGGCCAACACAAGGCCCATGACAAAGTCGACATAAACCTCAATACCGGGCATGCGGAATGCAGAACCAAGGTTTTCTGGGAAGGGGAGCCCGTCATTCAAGGGGCTGCTGTCAATGGCCGGACAGACCAAAGAGAGCAATAATTGAATGAAGGATTCCGGATCCTCGAATCCATTGCTAATTTCATCAAAGATCCGATCCATGGACACAGTCGGCGATTGCTGGGCCTGACGATGAGGTCCTGTTGCATGAGAAGCGTAACCCCCTGTGATCCATGTATCCAGACAGCTCCACATCACATGGCCTTCCTGGAGCGACTTGCGTGCCATCAATGCTCGTAGAGCCATAAAGGTGCAGCCGCGCAGTCGGGGAGGAATCGGGCTGCTTGCGAGCTCGTAGAGGGTCTCTACGAGGTTGTAATTAGGGTTGTGAAGGAGGAAGTGCCGTGTCGTTTCACTTTCGCTGGCTAGCTTCGACATTAAACGAAGGTAACACTCAAGCATCATGGCTGATTCGGGTTCTGTCTCCGCCTGATCGCTGCTGAGCTTGTCGTTTCGATATCGTATCGTCTGAGTTGGAGTTGGTTTTTGTCTGATCTTGGCGGAGAAGAAGTCGAGTTCCCTAAAAATCTGCGCCCAGGTCAGAGACTGCGATTTCCGCATCTTTCCTGATGAATGATGGCCTTCATCGACTAGAAACTCATGCGCAGCGGATGCACATTCTTCGTTTTCTGAAATGGCCTGAAGCATCTCACAGAACGCGGTCACCAGAGGCGTGGAGGCTCTTCGGGAAGCCCAGTGCATGAATCCGGCCAGGTTACTATCCGGGTCAGACCAGAAGTTCATAGCAGCCTCTGGGCGGCCTTCATATGAGTAGGCAATGACGAGCAAGAATCGTTCCAGGTCTAGATCTTGCTCGTGCGTCTGGCTCGACTGGCGCTGTTCATCTTCCTCCACGCGAAGCTTTCGGAGCACATCAGGAAGGTTAGAGATAAATGCGTCAACGAACACCTCGAGCTGAAGCATGAGCGTTGCCTGAAAGAACTCTGAAAATGGAATGGCATCGGGTGCTAAGGCGGGAGACTTTCGCTGCAGCCACTTGCGCATGCCTGCTCTGACGGGGTCATGCCAATCTGGAGACTTGACATCCGCAGCGATGGAGAGTAGAAAATCGAAGGACCCATCCTTGAGAGCCTCTAGGAATAGCTTTGATCGCTGACGGTCCTCTGTTGAAGTGTTAGCCATGCACAAAGAGCTGACAGGGATACTAACCCTCGTCCAAGTCAGTATTGGGAGGAATCGCAGCCTCCGGAGGATCATCAACATAGAAGCCACTGTACTCCGCAAGCCACCAAGAGCGGAAAGCTGCATGTAGCTGCGATAGTGGCCATGGTGTATCGTCGGCGGGAAAGAGCTTGCCGTGAAGCTCGCGAGCCTTGATCAAGTCATATCCTCCTTCAGCAGATCCAAAAACTGAGATGTACGCTCCAATTGACGGAATAAGATGAACCAGCAGAGCATCATACTTGTCCATCCTCTTAAGAGCTGCCACAAAATCAAGAAAATCTGCTGTTGACCCCTGCCTCATCTCGACGCTTCGGCAGAGGATGACACCCACGAGCTCGTGTTGTTGAATCAGACTGACTCGGGAGAACTCGATTGTCTCCATCTGTTCAGACATGCCATTCGTTGATTGTCCAAGTGTTTGGGCGGCGGCGATCTTGTCCCCAATCTTCTGAAGCCATGCCTTGATCTCCCTCATGGACGCCATGCACCTGGGCACAATTCGCTTTGAGGCATCGGCGCCCATACTGGGCTGGAGTAGTCGTTGGGCCACGTAGAGCTTCACACTCTCGAGCGCTTCGGGATCGGCCATGTCTTCATCGAGGCCGTCTATCTCGAGGAGCAGCCGCACAATATCTAGAACATACTTGCGCTGCTGGTGAAATCGGATGATGGCGCATTCGAGGAGGGATCGGCCCAACGTGGAAGGGTCTTCTTGCGATTCGAGGACACATCGCGTAGCCTCGAGTTCGTCAAGCTCGACTTCGTCGGATAGGGTGAGGACATCTTGCTGGAAACCATCGTTTATCGAGTACTCGTCTCCGTCAATGACAACCTTGCCTGGATGACTGTCAGTTAGAATCAACTTTCTCTTTGCGCCAGTTGAACTCCTTACCAGACGTGACTGCATTTCGGTTCTTTTCGTTCCTTGCCGGCTTATCCCAGAGCTTGCCTAGCTCCGTCTCGAAAACCTGGACGAGGAATTCGTTGTTGAGAGCCTCGGCGCCTTCGACGCGACCTTCGCGTAATGATAGAAGCCCTTGGTGGAAAGCTTGCAGGGCATCTAAAGCGGTGATCTCGGCCATGATGGTGGTTCAGGACTATCGCATGTTGAGAATAGACCCAACAGCAAGCGGTCGATGCAAGCTGCGCAGATTGCACCGTGGTGCGTTCGGTTGGCGAGTTCTGGATCTTTTTTTTTGTAGATGCTTGGGCGGTTGCTAGCGGTCGGTGTTTTGAGATTCTGCACCCGACCCAAGAAAGGTACAGCACCTGGTAGCCTTGTTGCCTTCAAGTTGGGAGCTCCCTGAGCTTTCATTGGCTAAACCACGGGCAAAAATCAACACTCCCCCGGAAACACCACTAAGAAACGTGTACGTACCCACTATAATAAAGCTGGGCTCTGAGGGCGGTGAGAGTTCTGCCGGGCAGCCTTGCTTCGCGCTGGAGCTTCCTGTCAGCTCAGGATGGAAGGAAGGAAGCTGTGCCAGGCAACAAACAACGAGGAGGCTTGGACAAAGAGTGACACTCGCCTTGATAATATCAGCGACTCAATACAACCAGAGGCCTTGGTTCTCTAAATAATTCGCGTCTGCGCTTCGGAATTCGCGTTTTTGTTGATCCTTCATTCACTTCTAGCACGGCCATTTCACGCGGCTTGTAGCAGGCAGTCCTCGGCTTTATTCTGTCCAGGCTGCTGTTAAAAGCATTCAACTCTGCATGGTCTTCTTCCCCAACGACTCGATGTTCGCCCAGACCATCTTCAATGAAGAGGCTTAGATCATTCTTTGATGACCTATCGCCTCTTCGTAGTCACCATGTCGTCTAAATCTGTGATGAACCTAGCGCGTGCGTAACCTTCGTAACCTTGAGCTTGTGTTGTTACTGACAGGCCATCTAGGGGATGTGAAGTCAGCCTCACTCAAAGAACGAGAAAAGGCTGTTGATGGTAGGAGACAACACAACCATCTGTCATTGATTCATCATTTCATGGGCTCACGGGTGTACTACTTCAGAACTGGCTAGTCTTCTCAACCCGCGAAATCGATCTGCGAACCTGTGAGTGAGAACCACTCTCATCCACACTGTCTGCTAACAGCTTGTGAGTTCCGACCTTGGCGACAAAGGCTACCATGAGATCTTCGAATCCATCTTCAGCTTTGTGATGCGCGAGAAGCCCAACCTGCGTAATAAGTCAAAGTCCCAAGCCACGTCGAATGCTGCAGCATCCCGTCTCTCGAAATGTGCCGCCGCTGTGCGGATGGCAGCAGGACGCGGTGTCTCTAAGCTCGGACGGAAGACATTGCTTGCAGTCGTGGACCACATCACGCAAACTCTAGGACAGAAAGACGACTTCGTGCCTCCGTTACTTCAGGACTACATCAAGGCGTTGACCGAGGTGCTCTCAAGACCGGCCCATGTAGAGATGCTCGCTCGCAAGGGTGGTGAGAAGTGGGATGAGTGCGTTGACTTTCTTCTCGACGTTGCTCAGTTCATGCTCCCTGATGAAGAAGCTACCGCTCTGACGTTGGCTCGGGGTTCCCCAGCTCCAGGGTCGGGGTACGGCCGGTCTACTGGACGTTCGACTCCATCGACTCAGAGCCAAAGAAGAGTCGCTCCCGGAGAAGGCGGTCCTTTGAAAGATGTACTGGAAGGGCTGTATCATCTGGTCACCGCCGGCAACGCGCCCTTGTTGCGACGATATACGGACATCACCGAGGTGGTGATGAAAGTCTTGAGCTTGAAGCAGCTCAGCCTTGGCTCTTTGCAGACCCTGGCATTTGCCATCATCAATGTGATTTTCTCAGAAACCCATGCCGACGACCTAACACATTCGTGCTCAGTGGTGCAAAGTCTCCTGCCCCTGATGAGCTACTGGTGGCGATCTGAAAAAGTTTCGCAAGACGAAGTCATCAGGGCGTTGAGAATTGAGATCTCTAGGAGTATCTTCCTCATGCACCTGCACATCGAGCATCTGGTCATCAACTCATCAGCTGAAGGCATCCGCCTGGATGTCGAAGACTTGGTCGAGAATCTTTGGAGTGAGTACTCCAAGCGCAGTGAAGCCTTTCGGTTACAACTCAGCGATATCACCTTCTCTACGTCCTCTCTTTCGAAACATGGACTTCAACTAGATGTCTTTGGACTGCGCCCCCACAATGTGTATGGAGAAGGCCACTGGGCGGTTGTGCAGAATCTGGCATTCCTTGAACGTATCATGGTACTTTCCAACGAGAGGCATCAAGAAGCAGCCCCGGAACATGACGAACAGCGGCGGAAGAGGCGCCGTATCCGCCTCGACATGAGTCGTATCAGACTCAAGTTGAAGCTTACGGATGTAGCGGTCCGACGCACAGCCCTACAACTGGTCCCGTTTCTTCTTGCAAGTAATTCGCTAAGCCGTGACGAGTTGCTTGATTTGTTGCCAGACTTGGTAGCTTTGGCGAGTGACAAAAACCCCGTAACGGCATCTTGGGCTCTCGTCGCCTCAGCCAGGTAAGCACAACTCCCGGCATAGACCGATAGACGACTTACCGTTTCAGTTGTATATCCTATTGCGAGGATTGCCACGACCAAACAGACGTTTGGAGACAGCTATGGCATCTAGCTACAAGGTCTATCAGTCTACCAGGCACAAGCCGGGCGGCCTGTGTTTTGTTGCATGCCATTCTCGAGGCAGATGTTTTGCCATATCACACCGTCTCTCAGGATGTCAATGGCATTGTCACAACTGCCGACGTCAGCGGCCCCAGTGTCTTGTGCGATGCGTCCATCAGCCTGATGTTTCATGTACTTCATCTTCGGAATGCTAGGATCCCAAGTGCCAGCCAAAGCACTTGCCATCACATCATCCGTTGGATATTTCTCCGATGGAACCCAAGTAAGCCCCTTAGCTTCGTATAAGGTAGACTTCCTAACAGGCCAACAGACGAATCCACATTCGCCTCCTATCACTCTCTACATGTTCAGCCTATAGAGCTTGTGAACCTGGTTCGGGCTTGCTGCGGGACTTCAGAGTTGAAGCTGGTCACTCAGACGGTCACCTCAGGAGGCCCTCTGAGTGAAACATGGAACTCGTTGGGCGAGATTGAATCATTCAGTCGATACATACTCCTCCTGAAGGACACACCAGAAAAGTCTAAGACTGCTGGCCGTTGTACCTATTTTCAGACGACGAACCCTCCACCGCTGGCCGATGCCAACACTCGTTACGCTTCTAGGAAGCTAACACTGGAGCTTTTCTATCCCAAGCTCGGCGAACTGACCGAACTTTGCACAGCTTGGACCAAGAGAATGAATGAAGGTGGCGTGCAGATTTCGATCGATCGCTTTCAGAGCCTCCTCTCAGCCTGCTTGACGGGAACACTGTTGCTTTCGCAGATCAGCGACCTCAACTCAACCCAGTCCTCATCTGTGGAGTCTACTCTGATGGAAATTCTAGAGAAAGGACTGGAAGCTGCTTTGACATCTGTTGAACCCATGGCGTTCGTCGATTCTATCCTGCGCGCAGTGAGGCCCATGATGCCCGATCTGACCACAGCGAATCTCAACCAAATGCAGGGGAACAACGCAGGTCTCTCGCGTTTGTTAGCAAAGGTTTGGTCCGTGATCGAGGACCGAACGACCCAGCAAAGTTCCGGGAACGATGTCGACTTGATGGATATTGACGATGAGTTTGAGTCGCAGAGTAGCAGAGCGAGCTCTATTTTGACACCAGCAGCAATTCCACGGTTCAACATCCAACTGCGGATGGATGCCCGGGCATTTTATACGGAAACAAAAGCTCGGTTCCAGTTTCTGTCCATTCTCAACGACGATATTGGCCAAATCGGCCTCGTCCCGGATGTCTTCGTTGAGCATCTAATCAACATGCCAGATGATGAGCTTCTGCTGTGTCAAAACTTGTTGTTTGAGCTTTTCAACTCTGACCTTATCATTACCCCAGACAATGCCCTAACGGTGATCGAAAGACTGGGAGAGTATGTCAGTGATAGGGACTACCAGTATGCCGAGGTTGCCTTGAGTACTTGCATCGGGGTTATTGATGGTCTTCATTCCATTTGGCTGAACGATACACGTCAGCTCTCGGACAGAGTTGGTGACCTTTACTATCACCTCATCAAAGTGTGCCTTCCATCAAACATGCTCTCGCCCAGAACCCAGATATCGATGGTTCGATTGCTCTTCACCCTTCTACGGACCAACTCGGACTATGGCAAGGATCAAGGCCTGGACTCCTCCCGAACCTGTCTTCTCTACATCCTCAAGAACGGCCCCATGTCTGTCAAATATGCTATTTCCGAAAAGATCGCAGACGTTTTCGATCTCTTCATTCTCAAACTCCACGACGAAATCTTCGTGGACGTTTTGGACAACCTGCCTACCGACCCTGCCGATACTACGGGCATTGCCTTTCGACTATTAGTGTTGTCAAACCTCGCCTGTCGATGGTCTACTTTGCTTCGGAGATGTACCTACCACATCTTTGAAACCCCGGGGAAGATACCAAGCTCCACGGAGTATGCGACCCGTTGCTTGCTCAATGTCTCTCGAACCCTGGAATTGGAATCTCCCAAGGTCTTGTTTCGGCTGTTTTCTCGTCAGTTGCTGTATACTTGGCTGGAGTGTGATCCTATCGAGGACATTCCATTCTCCATATTTGGGTTCTCAACCTTGGGTGACCTTCTCAAGTCCGCCCAAGCTGAAGCAATTGGCTTGACCGTCATGCGTGGGCAAGAAGAGGCGTCTGCAGAAGTTGCTCGCTTACTGGGAACCTCCGAGAGCGACCTTATCCGTGAAAACTTTGCGACCGCTATGGCCTACAGCATGATATTCGGCGACTCCAATGGAGGCGACGACAAGGAGAGGGGCGAAGCTCATATCAAGAAGGTCCTTGGCCGCCAACTATATCTTGAAGCGATGTACCTTGACTTTCTCGGTGTTGGAGCCCTCTTCTTCGACCTCATTGATCAAGAGAACTCCATGGAGAAGGTCTTTGCGAGATTCAAGCTTGACTATGCTGGAGAAATCATGAGTGCTATCAAGGCCATCTCTCACTCTCCTGCCGAGTTACCAGCCAACCAACAACCAATGTTCAAGGCAAAGTATCTCATCAACGAGCTTCACAGGCTCTGCCAGGGCAGCGAGTTTCAGTTCCATGATCTTTGGTCGCCTCCTGTGGTGGTTTTCATCGCTCGCACGCTCCTCAACACGGTGCATTCTGCTCTGGGGCCCCTTCATGCCTGTTCTGTCCTCCGAAAAGTCAGGATTTTGATCTGTTTAGCTGGCCCGGTTGCGCTGGAATCGTACCCTTTGGAGATGTTGCTCAACGCGACCCGTGAGTTTATCGTGGATTCAGAATGTGCGGACGATGCCTTGGGGATCAGCCAGTATCTCCTTGCCGAAGGCGCAAAGCATCTCAGTACAAACCCTTCGTTCCTTGCTGGTTATGCATTATCGACCCTGGCTTCCCTTCGCGTCTTTTTGGAATCGAGCCAGTCCAGTACGACACAGGAGAGTCAGTTCAAAGCCACCATGAGCAAGGCTGAGAAGTTCCATGGGTGGTTTAGCAAGTACCTGGAAGAATACGACTCTCCGATGTTTAAGAATCTCGAACAGCGCGAGGCTTTCAAGTCAATCACACAATCTGCCGCCCGTATCCGGTCTTCAGGCAATGCGGAACGAGACACTGCAGAGAGCAAGCTGCTGCTCGACATCTTGGATGATGGTGGCTCAGAATACCAACTTCTCAATGATACTTCACGTCAGCTCGCTCTTGGCCTTCTCTGCGGCGACTTTAGTATCCCCCTGTCGAGCAGGGACGACATCATCGAATCTGACCAGGATGCGCTCAAGCATGCCGCGGCTGTGTGGAAGAGCTGTGATACGCAAAACCTGAGCGATGAGTATCTGGCATGGGCAGGGCGAGTAGTTGGCCGATCCTTCTCGGCATCAGGCGGGATTCCTACGGACATCCTCCGAGAGTCACATCTTGCTCGTTACCAAAAGATTGCTCCGGATTCTAATGGCTCAGAAATTGGGATCCTTCGTCTTCTTCAGGACCTGACTTCAAGCACAGACTCTGTGACAGCAGGGTTGGCTGAGGCAGCGCTACGAACAGCCGTTTCCGATTCTACCATGACTGGCGACGACACACTGATTGTGGCTTGTCAACAAGGCCTCTCGGAGTCTCTTCTACAGACATCCCAATTGGGTCCATACCGGTCTCCCCCGTCTGATAAAAGAGCTGGAACTCCTACATCGTCGATAGATGAGCAAGCTGTGTGGGCGGAGGATATTACGTCAAAGAACTGGCTGCCGAACCTGAGCGCCTACATGGCCAAGTCTGTTGATGAATCCATCATGCTCAAGATTCTGCCCCCTATTCTTGCCAAAGTTGAGCACTTTGCTGAAAGCGCATTCCCGTTTGTTGTTCATCTTGTCCTCTCCTCTCGGATCTACCAGCAGACATCTCTCAAGCGTCAGCTATCTTCTTCTATCAAGGAGTGGCTTCAGTGCACAGCGCATGCAGCCAAGGACAACTTGAAGTTGCTCATCAACACCCTCCTATACCTCAGGACCCAGGAATACCCAAGAGAATCATCAATCGCTGATCGATCACATTGGCTCAATATCGACTATGCCCTTGCTTCTGCGTCGGCAGCGCGATGTGGAATGCACAAGACGGCCTTGCTCTTTGCTGAGCTCGTCTCATCCGAAACCACACGATCCTCTCGTCGATCTTCCGCGGCGGCAGCGAAAGAAACCGACATGAGCGAGACTCTACTCACAATTTTTGAAAACATTGATGATCCCGATGCTTACTATGGACTGCCAGAGGAGGCCAGCCTCTCAAAGGTTCTCGCTCGCGTGGAGTATGAAAATGATGGGCCCAAGAGTCTAGCATTCAGAGGTGCCCAATATGACAGCAACATTCGTCTCGGCAATCCTATTGCACAGTCCGATGGACAAGCTTTGGTGAAGGCTTTGAGTACGCTTGGCTTGTCTGGACTCTCAAACTCCCTACTTCAAGTACAGCAGAATCTAGAATCATCCCCAGCTTCTCTTGAGAGTACCTTTAGCACAGCAAGAAAGTTGGAAATCTGGAATCTGCCTGCCCCAACGAGCAACCACCATGCAGTCACTGTTTACAAAGCCTACCAGAGCATACATCAGGCGACAGACATCGGGGTTGTTCGAGCGGCCGTACATGATGGCTTCACCCGCACCATGAGCAGCTTGATTGCGCATGGTCTTAATGCCACAGCCTTGAGGAAACGACTGGGAGCGCTAGCTTCACTGACGGAGCTGGATGACGTCCTCGGCGTATCTGATACCACGGAAATGGAGAGCATTCTCAGTAAATTCAAGAGCCGGAGTGATTGGATGCGAAGCGGACTGTAAGCAACCTGCCAAGTTTGGAGACAAAAATGCTAACTCTTCCCAGTTATGACAGCGTCAGTCAGATCCTGTCTTGTCGAGGAACTACCATGAGCATGGTCAGCCAGCAGAACGCCCTTCGAAGCAACTTGAAGCTTTCTGCGGCTGCAGCAAGACAAATGGAGGTGGAATCTATGATCACGGCATCTGGCGTCTATCGGTATCATCAGGCGACTCAGGAGAGCCTAAACTTATCTACCAGCCTCACCAACCTCATTGCACCTTGTGCTTCGCTGGATCTCCACGTGGATGCCGCAATCAATATTGAAGCCGCCAACTCGCTCTGGGACTACGGGGAGATGAGCACCTCTATTCGCATGCTTCAGAGGATTGAAAGGGACTCTTCTCTCCAGAAACAGACCATCCCAGTCAGCCGCTCTGACTTGCTTTCAAAAATTGGATTCCAGGTCTCTGTTGCTCGTCTCGAGAAGCCGCACGACATTCAAAAGAAGTACCTAGAACCGGCCTTGAATGAACTCAAGGGCAAAGGTCAAGGACGGGAGGCTGGCATGGTTTACCACCAGTTTGCTATGTTCTGTGATCAGCAGCTCCAGGATCCTGACGGGTTGGAAGACCTGACAAGGCTTCAGGGGCTGAAGAAGGCCAAGAGCGACGAAGTGTCGGAACTCAAGTTGCTGATCTCCACTACGAGGGACTCTCAGTTGAAGAACCGATACTCGCATGTGCTGAACAAGGAAAAGCAGTGGCTAGACCTTGATGAGCAAGAGCTGCGACGAGTCGAGCACACTCGTAGCGAGTTTGTGCGTCTGAGTCTTGAGAACTACCTCTTGTCTCTCATCGCTTCCGACGAACACAATAACGATGCGCTGCGTTTCACAGCCCTTTGGCTCGAGCGATCAGAAGAGGAGATGACCAACAAAGCAGTCATGAAGTCTGTCTATGACGTGCCAACCAGAAAGTTTGCAGGTCTCACCAACCAGCTGACATCCCGACTCCAAGATAATGACACTGCCTTCCAAAAGATCCTCCTGGAGTTGGTTTACAAGATTTGCGTGGACCATCCCTACCACGGCATGTACCAGATTTGGTCAGGAACCAAGGCAAAGGCCCAGCAGAAGGACGAAGTTGCAGTCAAACGTGTCAGGGCTACAGATCGGGTGGCCAAGCGACTCGCCGAGACGCAGTCCGTGGCTAATATCTGGCTCTCCATCGACAAGACGAGCAAATACTACCATGCCCTGGCCATGGATCGAAACCCAAACAAGTACAAGTCGGGTGCTAAGATAGCACTGAGAGACTCAACTCCAGGTCACAACCTTGTCAACTGCTTGGCTAAGTACCGCATCCCTTCTCCAACCATGCACATTGAGCTTTCTGCAACCAAGGACTACACAAAGGTGCCCATCATCTCCAAGCTGGAGCCGACCATGACGATCGCCTCGGGCGTCAGTGCACCCAAGATCATTACGGCACTTGGGAGTGATGGTGTGCGGTACAAGCAGCTTGTCAAGGGTGGACACGACGACCTACGCCAAGATGCAATCATGGAACAGGTCTTTTCGGCTGTATCGTCTCTCCTGAAGCTTCATAGGACAACTCAGCAACGCAATCTGGGTATCAGGACGTACAAGGTGCTCCCGCTCACGGCATCTTCTGGCCTGATCGAGTTTGTCCCCAACACAGTACCACTTCACGAATTCCTCATGCCCGCGCACGAAAGGTACTATCCTAGGGACCTGAAGGGCTCTCAATGCCGTAAGGAAATCTTTGGAGTCCAGAGCCGGACAGTCGAGACTCGCATCAACACGTATCGCAAGGTTACGGAAAAGTTCCACCCGGTCATGAGGTACTTCTTCATGGAGCACTTTATGGACCCCGATGAGTGGTTTGTGAAGCGGCTGGCATACACAAGGAGCACAGCGGCCATATCTATGCTTGGTCACGTCCTTGGTCTTGGTGACCGACACGGTCACAACATTCTCCTGGATCACAAGACTGGAGAGGTTGTCCACATCGATCTGGGTGTGGCTTTCGAGGCTGGCCGTATCCTACCCGTACCAGAACTGGTCCCTTTCAGGTTGACAAGAGATATCGTGGACGGAATGGGCATCACTAAGACAGAAGGCGTCTTCCGAAGATGTTGCGAGTATACTCTTGACGCCCTGCGAGAAGAGCAATACTCCATCATGACTATTCTCGACGTGTTGCGCTACGATCCCCTCTACACTTGGTCCATCTCCCCACTACGACTCGCGAAGCTACAAAAGGCAAGGCACAACGACGACAGCGTCATGGACGACGAGCAAAGCGAAACAGAAACGAAGAAGGGCAAGAAGACGACGGGAGGCCATGTCAACGAGCCATCCGAGGCAGACCGTGCCCTAGAGATTGTGAGGAAGAAGCTCTCCAAGACCCTGAGCGTGACGGCCACGGTCAACGATTTGATCAACCAAGCGACGGATGAGCGCAACTTGGCAGTTTTGTATTCTGGTGAGTTTTTTGCAGAGTATACCTACCTAAGTAAAGTGGAACTAAGCTAACATGACCTCAGGATGGGCGGCATATGCTTGAGTCTTGGGGGAAACTGCAAGAGAATGGCCGGGGGCGACATGGACTTGGATGGATAGGTACCTAGGCGCAGGTGAAGAGCCCGATAATGAGACCCGTGGACGCCAAAACGTCAAGAGGGTTGGTGACTCTAGTATAATAATTAGCTAAGGATATACCAAAATAAAGGCAAAGTTTTAGAGTTTCTTTTATTAATTTTGTTATACTTTCTATAATCTTTAGATGAGGATGAACTAAAGAATTGTTTGACGGTCGTCTCACAACCCAAGCCTATATCATTGGAACCGGGTTGTTTCTTCAGGTTGACCTTTGTGATGGCGCCGCGTTCGGAGTTAGGCGTGGTTAAGCTCTGTAGCTCCAGGACAAACAAGGGCGGTCCACTATCTTATCGCACCTAACAGCGCGGAGTGACATGAGGTAATCAATCGCCCAGCTCTAGCTTCTCTCATTCAGACTCGATCGAAGCGTCAACATCCTCATTTATCAACGTCATATCTTGTACTTTTCATCGACAGAATAAAGCGAATGATCGTCATTAACTGCCCTTGCACCGTGTCTGCTTTCACAAGCCCCAGCTACCGCAATTCACCGAAACCGCGCCGGACAGCCCGAGCATCCGAGGCCTGAGTGACAGCTCCATCACAGTTGTTCCAGGCCTCCCCCGTCATCGTTATCGCTCCATGCAACCCGTGGCAGTCGAATCAAACTCTCCCTCCCGGCGCAGGCCGCGGCTCGACTCGTCCTCTTCCTCCTCACCGCCTCCCATCGCCGCCTCTAAGAGAGCGCGCTTCGAAGCCATGACGAGCGCCAAAGCGCGGGGCAAGCTCCCCGAGACCGTCGACCTGACCCAGCCGCCCTCGGCCTTTAAGCCCTACACGGGGGCCAAGAAGCTGGTCATCAAGAACCTTCGGGCGCCGACGAGTCGTGATGCGCAGGTCGCCGAGTACTATGTGCGCACCGAGAAGGAGCTCAAGGACGCTCTCGACTCGGTGTTTGCCGGGAAGACGCCTGATGTCCCACTCGAGAGGCTATACAGAGGAGTCGAGGACGTTTGCCGGAAGGGAGACCCAGCAAAGGTGTACCGGATGGTCAAGGATAGGATTGAGGCACACTTGCAACGGGTAGTGCATCCGAGGATAGGACGGAATGGAGGTGTCTCGAACCTCGATACTCTTAGGAGCGTGTTGGCAGAATGGAAGATTTGGAATGGCCAAACAGTACGCCTGACAGTAAATCAGCTAGCTACTATCCAGCTAACTCTCTTGCAGATATTGATCCGCTCGACGTTTAGTTTCCTCGATCGGACATACTTGTTACGAGAGAACCTTTCATCCATCAACGATATGGCCATCAGCCAATTCCGGAGGATGGCCTTCCCTTCGCAGGCACTTGCATATGAGAGTTCTATTGGGAGCAAGGCAATTGCAGGAATGTGCGAGTTGGTGGAGTATGACCGAGGAGACAACGATCAAATGGACTCGTCTCTCCTCAAAGACTCGATAATGATGTTACACGTTCTGGGCGTCTACATCAAGCACTTCGAACCACTCTTCCTGCAGCAGTCCGAGGTCTACTTCAAGGAGTTTGGTGAGGCGTGGAGTACTTCAAGCCTCAAGGACTACATCCGAGTTTGCAAGAAGCTTCTGCACAAGGAAAACTATCGCTGCATCGTGTATAACCTTGATAGTACCACGGAGAAGCAGCTGATGGATTCTGCTCACTCGCATCTGATTGACCGTTATTCGGAGAAGCTCCTGAACAGTGGCAATCTTGCCAAGTTGCTGTCCGATAGAGACGTCGACTCTATGAAGGCATTGTACGACTTGCTTCGATTATCAGGCATTCAGAAGAAGATGAAGACACCGTGGGGCGACTATATCAGAGCGACAGGAGCTGCTATCATCGGTGATAAGGAGCATGGGGATGAGATGGTTCTTCGTCTCTTGGAACTGCGACGGTCACTTGACCTGATGATTCGAGATGCGTTCGACAAGGATGAGGACTTCCTTTGGGGCATGAGGGAGGCTTTCGGGAAATTCATGAATGACCGAAAAGTGTCGTCTTGCTGGGATACAGGAACGTCCAAGATTGGCGAGATGACAGCCAAGTATATCGACATGCTTATGCGAGGCGGTTTGAAGTCATTACCCAAGGAGCTTCTGTCTGATGCCAAGGACCGGGCGACGGCGGAGAAGCAGGGCCAGGCCAGCACTGGTGATGAGGATGCTGAACTTGATCGGCAGTTGGATCAGGCTCTGGAACTGTTCCGTTTCATTGAGGGCAAAGACGCCTTTGAAGCATTCTACAAGAAGGATCTCGCCCGAAGGTTGTTGATGGGACGAAGCGCAAGCCAGGATGCCGAAAGAAACATGCTCACTAAGCTCCGAAGCGAATGCGGTTCCAACTTTACTCACAACCTCGAGCAGATGTTCAAGGACCAGGAGATTGCCAAGGATGAGATTGAAGCGTACAAGGAGTGGTGTCAGGGTAGCACCGAGCGCAACTCGCCTTTGGACCTTCAGGTCATGATCCTCTCAGCTGCGGCGTGGCCAACATACCCCGACACTCGTCTCAACCTCCCTGACGAGGTGGCAACCCAGATCGAGCGGTTCGACCAGTATTACAAAAACAAGCATACGGGTCGGGTGTTGACGTGGAAGCATTCGCTGGCTCACTGCGCGATCAAGGCTACGTTTGCTAAAGGCACCAAAGAGCTTCTTGTTTCGGCTTATCAGGCCGTTGTGCTCATGATGTTTAATAGCCTTCCAGCTGATGGCTTCTTGGCTTATGAGCAAATCGCCACGGGCACGGGGCTTCAAGGCGGGGATCTCGACCGCACATTGCAGTCCCTCGCGTGTGGCAAAGCACGGGTGCTCAGCAAGCATCCCAAGGGGCGTGAGGTCAAGTCCACAGACACATTCACCTTCAACAAGACATTCACGGATCCTAAGTACCGTGTCAAGATCAACCAGATCCAGCTGAAAGAGACAAAGGAGGAGAACAAGGCAACACACGAGAGGATCGCTCAGGACCGTCGATTTGAGACACAAGCAGCCATTGTCAGGATTATGAAGAGCCGCAAGTCTATGGGCCATGCGGAGCTGGTGGCTGAAGTGATCAACTTGACTAAGAAGAGAGGCAGTGTAGAGCCGGCAGCGATTAAGAAGGAGATTGAAAGGTTAGTCAAATATTATGACCATGTGTGGAGAGTGCTAACAAGAGGCATAGTCTCATCGAGAAGGACTATATCGAGAGAGAGGGCAATACATACGTGTATCTGGCGTAAGGTTCGGTAGGTTGGGCATATTTTATTATCTGATGATGTAGATGATGGGCTACGAGGTCCAAAGACGACAAGGGCTATAATTATGAGTCATAAGCAGAGGATAGACCGATATTCAGCTGCCATTAATGTCCAAACTGTGCAAAAAAAAGTGACTGCCCGTGCAGAAGAGGGGATGGGAGTTGAACGACGTGTCTCGGGGTAGAGATTCAGGGGCCAAAAAAAAGAGCGAAGCCAGGGGGGGCCATGGGGGATAAGGTAAGAATCTTAACAATAGTTAAAGTTTGTCAACTGAGCTACTTCGCTGATGGAAGAGATGAGTATTTTGATATATAAGGAGGAGATGCGTGGTCGAAGTTGGGTGATGATTGGTGATGCGAGGGTTGTGGTGGAGTTGGTTGCCTGGAGGGCTGAGATCTCATGCCTGCCGTTTTGGGAAACGACATTGGAGTCCATGTCAAAGTAGCATCCCACGACGACTCGCGAAGCTACAAAAGGCAAGGCATAACGACGATAGCGTCATAGACGACGAGCAGAGCGAAGCAGTTTGGCTGTGTTATTTCCGTTGGGTTGCTCAGAAGTCTACCCCCACCCCCCTTCTTCGAGCCCTTGAGCAAGCAGAGCGAAGCAGAAACGAAGAAGGGCAAGAAGACGACGGGAGGCCATGTTAACGAGCTATCTGAGGCAGACCCTAGCAAGTTTGTAGGCCTCACCAACCAGCTAACATCCCGACTCCAAGACAATGACACTGTCAACAGAGAGCCCGGACTTTCATCTCTTCTCCATCGCTTTCATCTTTTCCAAGTTCCATCTTTCCATCTACATATCATACATAGGATGGTGGATGGCCTGACGTTAATGGCAGCCCAAGACTTAGATGCCCGAGTCTACCTTTAGGATGGAGCCATGGAGGCTTAGCTGCGAATAGCCACCGTTGGGTTGGATCTGCACAGCAAATGACATCCGTCAAGTTGAATCAAGGGCAGAGCTGACCACTGACGGCACCTATCAAACCCCGGCATGCACGCCTCATCTGCAGAGCGAGTCCAAAACGCCCTGCAAGATGCCCCGCCAATGCCCCCTCTCCTCTCGCGGCCTTATATCCAGCGAGCCCATCATGATCCCATCAGCGCAACCTCACTCTTTCCAACCCATATGATGCACCATGGAGCCCGTTTCTTTGGCTTTCGGCGTCGTATCCCTAGGTATGCAGCTTGTCCAAACAGCTGCTGCCATCAGGGAACGGATCGATGCCTACAAGTCAGCGGCCAAAGAGCTGTCGACCCTATCTGACAAACTAGACGACATTGAAGCTATATGCTACTCTCTTGAAGCCGCTTTCAGTTGCTGCGAGCAGGCACCCAAACCCTGGGACGCCATGCTACTGAAGAAACTGCATCGGATCATGAGTGACTGCCGCGACAAGGTTTCACGGCTTTACGATATCATCAACAAGATTACGTCGTCTCAATCAAATAGGCATATACCACTAAACACCACGGGAGCACGTTTCCTTCAGTACAGGAGTACAATACGGAAGTGCAACGACGAACTGGACCAGTCTCTCACTTCCCTCCACTTGCACATGACGACAAATATCCTGTAAGTCTTGGATTTTTGTTTGAAACCAAAGCTAACAGGCTGTAGGGTTATGAATCTGCGGCCACTACCACCAGCCTGTGACTCACTCAGTCTGGATGTTGCCACGACCACACAAGTTGAAACCAACATGAAGAGCAGCGTCAACTCGGCGGTTATGAAGTACCGAAAGGGTCGAGCAAAGCAAGAGGTACAAACTCAGACGTGGGACTCGTCATATTCCTCATTATATCGTCTCGAAAGGACAAAAATACGAAAAGTGAAGCAATCCAAGTCTTCACCCGTTACGGTTCAAGAAGAGACCTCATTCCTCATCGGCTCGCCACTTCTGGGACTATACGCAAAGCTCTCACTCCAACGTGGGTCTCTTAGTCCTTTATCCGTTTCACTACGGTTCCCCCATATATTTACCTTCGCCTACGACTCGTGGTTCTGTTCAGATATATCTAGGGCCTTCAGAAGGGACGATGTTGAAGGGCTACGGCATATCTTTAATCTGTACTCAATCACTCCTGCTACCAGTTTGACCTTAGTAGATTCGCTGTCAAACAAAACTGACACGCTACTAGGGGTGAGTCAGGCGTTCATGGATTGGGAGGCATCATTCACTAACCGGCCATCTTAGGTTGCCATTGTGAACCAGTCAAACCGTATCTACGACTTCTTAATCGACCAGTATCCCAGTTTACTCCATGAACGGTCAGTCAGGCGTTATTACCACATTCCAAGTCTAATGGCGTGAACACAGGCAGCACCTCCCCATCAACTATGGCATGATTTATGGACCTAGCACAGCCTATAGTAGTAGCCTTGATGATACTTATGCGCGGATGAGTGATTATATCGACATGCGAGGCAGCGCCCTTGAGCCTCTCGAGTTCTATTCTCTTCTTCAGGGCTGGTCGTCACTGACGCATGTGGGTTTCCTCGTCGATGCTTGCAAGCAGCACTTGACAGAAGATTGGGAGCCATTTAACGAATATCTCTGGAAGCATATATACGAATGTTGCAGACGAGCATGCCGCAAGTCAGTCATTACCATGCAGGAGGTTGACAGGGATATAATGGACGGGCTAGCAGATCTTACGCGACGCGCAATTTCTGATGGGTTAGATATCCACTGCGGTATCCCATATCCTGCTCTACCAGACTGTCAAACGCCGTCTGCTCTCCAAAGCTTGGTTAGCTTCGGTGAGCAAGAAGATGAAACTCTCTTCCATTGCCATCAGTGGGTCGAGATGCTGCACCAAGCTGGCGTCGATGTTGATGTTTACCTCGAGAGAGAGATGCAGGCAATAAGTGCGGTCTGGGACTCCCATTTTCGGGACGACGCCTACCTCAGAGAGTTAAAAATGGTGGAGTATATGGGCAGAAAGCTTCCCACTTGGGTCACGTCACACGCTGATACAGCTGCCCCTGAGTTGTTCTCAGAATTCCCCCGTCTCGTCTCATGGGATTCCTTTGGGTACATCATTCCAGGCAAGAAGACTCCGGGAGATATTTACCGCATGGCAGATGCCCCCAAGCCACATCAGGGTTGGAAACAAGTCTTGCTGATAGATGGCGGAGTTATTCATCCGCCTCTCGAGCGGTGGTCGCTTAACTGGCACCACCCCCCAAAACCTTTGGATGAAGAAGGCAGGATATTGGTTGAAGGACTTGCATATGCGTGCGACTTGATGGAGAGCCGGTTCGAGCGAAAGAGGCTAAAGAAGTTGCGCAAGGCTGGATACATGAGGGAGTTTGCTCCGTTGAGATTTAAAGAAAGGATCCCTGGGACGTGGGTAGAATAGGAGGCGTGTCTTAGAGGCCACAGCGAAGTTGCTTGGAAATCAACTCTTTTTTACGAATTGTCAGCTAGAAGCTGTCTTTAATGAGGATTCTGGGTCAAGGTCAAGATTGATGTATGAAGAAGAATGAGATGTGATGGTACATTGAAGCGATATACGTGCTCCTATTCTACAATCTATATACACTCTAGTACACTGTAATACGCATCCTTGACACAACTTGTTTATCGCGTCTTGATCCTTCGGAAACGGGTAATCTTGGATCCATCGCTGAGATCTTGTTGAATCTGCTCATGCTTGTAACCAAATACAAGCGGCGAGAGAACGAAGCGGAGCACATAGTAAATGATTCCCAGCAGCAGAATCATGACGGCGACAAAAGGTGACAACCAGTATGGCAACGAAGTGTTTCCCTTGCCACTAGGAGGGCGAATAAATGGCATCACGAGGAGAAACTGGAGGTAACCATTAGCTCACTGCTCCTAACAAAGAATTAAAGCGACTCACGATGTTGCTGACTACGAAAAAGCCAATGACGGGCCAAGGAGCAGGGAAGGGCGATGTAAAGTTTTCGCTCTTCTTGAGGCGAAGTTTGACCAATCCAATGACGATTGCAAGATGCATGATTGTGCCTGGGTAGGACGACAAGCTGACGATGAAGTTGAAGGCGTCGCCAGCCGGAGGAGCGCAAACGAAGAGAATTGTGACACCGAGATGGAGGGCGAGCGCTGTGATGGGAGTCTTGAAGGGTCTGTTTTCCATAAAGAAGTTGGAAAAGGGGAGAACGCCGTCTTTGGCCAGTTCTTGAATGATTCGTGCTATCAAGAATTAGCCATGGTGTAAAGAATGATGGATGTGAGTACAACTTACGGACAGTAAAGGCGATTCCGAGAAGATGGCCAAGAGCTGAAAGAGCAACCAGAGCAGGAAGGGCTTTGACGGCAGCTGTGTCTCCAAACATGTTTCTGAAGAGACTAGCGGCAACGGTGACTTGGGCGGCCTTGAAGTCTTCCTTGGAGACGGCAGCGAACTGTTGAGACGGTCAGTCGGAGTTGAATTGGTTGAAGAAAAGGGTGAATATACGTAGGCAATGTTGGCGAGAATGTAGAGAACAGTGACAGTTCCCATGGATAGTGGAAGAGCCAACTTGAGCGTCTTTTGAGGGTTGCGGACTTCTGACAAGACCTAGTTATACTGTCAGCGAGGAGTTGAGCAAATCACACAACAGACGCTTACGGCGTTGATATTGTCATAACCTCCAAAGGCAAAAATGACTTGCAGAATAGCAGTACCAATGTTGTATCCATTGTTAGAAGTACCCTCAAAGCCATTCGAGAAATTGTGAGGCTGGTCAACTTTGAGATGACCACCCAATGCAGCAAAGCCGCAACACACGATGAAAAAGAGGGTAAAGATCTTGACGACAGACAAAATATCCGATATCCATCTTCCGATTTTAGGTGTCACGGCGTGGACTCCGCATGAGAAGAATGCTCCGGCTATGGCGACGCCACGGAGCTTCCATGTTGTTGACTCAGCGCCGGCTGCGACAAGGAGATATGAGGAGAAGGTGATGGCGTTGCTAGCCGATACCTCTAAGAGCTTGTTAGTCTTGTACTATCAAGAGTAAATAAATATTCAACTTACGAAGAAAGACGCAGAAAAAGACGTAGATACACGTCTGCATCAACCGAGGACTGTAAGACCTCTCAAGATAGTTCTTGATACCACCAGATCTTGGAATAGCTCCTCCAAACTCGAGCATAACAAACGTTCCGCAAGTGGCAACAGCTGCTCCAATAATCCAACACATGAGAGACATTCCAACACTTCCAGAAAGTTTGAAGATGCCACTGGGGGTTGAAAAGATACTACACAAGGTTAACTGTCTGTAAGTCACTGACTGGGAGTGTACATACCCGGCACCAATCATTTTGTTGATGATTAGTGAGGCAGCGCCAAAGACGCCAATTGTCCGCTCTTGGAGAACATGAGACTCGTCGATTCCTAGGGTGGTTGACTTTCCTTCCCTTTCGCTGTCGTCCCCAGATGAACGGACAACTGGGGCAACTAGAGGGTGTTAGTTGAGGTGTAACGCTAGATAGATGTTGCAACATGCCTTGAATACCATCTTCATCCTTGCCAGACATTTTGAATCAAAAAGCCTAGAATATTCCTTCACAAACAAGATGAATAGAACATGAACCAGTTTATTGAAGTGATACTTTGAAGATCCTCTCGAGTTAAATACTCTATACAGCATCCCACTGCGGATCTCTACAAACACGAAACTAGGATGACATTGATCCCTTTCTGTCATAGGTGACCCGTTTCTCGGGTGTATAGTTGCCGTCTACAGGGGCCTACTACGTACTATGCTGACCGTGCCAAGCACGCAATGTTGGAGTTGCCATGTCGTGCTCCTAGGGGTCGGAGCCAACCCGACAGCCTCTACAATATGATGGACATCGGAGTGGAGTTGTAACCACGAGATGAAATCCACATATGCGCGGGCTTTTCGTAATAGACGTGATATTTCCCTTAGTCACGGAGTCGTTGTAGAGTTGGTTGTTGGAAAGTCGTGCTCGACGCTAAGAATTTCGTGATGCGGTTATCCCACCCGGGGAACCCCTCTCGTTGGGCATCCCTGTGGCATATATCTAGAAGAGGAGTTTGTATCGGTAATAAGCCCCCCGGGGAGAAACTAGATCTTTCTCCGGTGTCTTATTTAGTACATAATAGGGCCCTTTTTTCTCGGGGAGACATTCACGGCTTCGACTATCCGGAATCCCCGTCGGGAGAAGCATAGACATAAGCTTGGTTCTTTTATATGACCCCCAGCATCACGTCATCAGGATTTATTCCCATTTCTGGAAGCTCGGGAGAATGACGGTTGACTTGACATCTTTCGACGTCCCCGGTGCCCGGATATACCATGGCAACGCCCTACCATGTGGTCTCCAGGTCCAAGGCGATCCTCCCCCCATCGCCGAGTCTGCCAATGCCCTACGCGAGTTTGCAGAATCTGGGAGGTTGCAGGAGCTTCTAGATCGTCACGGCGCGGTGCTGATCCGTGGCTTTGGACATGCGTCGGCCAAGACTTTTTCGGATCTCGTTTGTGCGGCTGAGGAAGCGAGGGGATATCATCCGTTTGAGCAGATTGGTTTGGCTGGGAAGAGAACTCAGGTTGCCAAGAATATTTGGACTGCGAATGAGGGATCTCCTTTGACTCGGTTCTATCAACACAATGAGGTTTGTGATAGTTATAGTTGAGTTGCTCTGCGACTAACACAGCTCAGTATTCTCGATACACTCGATTTCCTTCCAACATTCATTTCTATTGCGCAAAAAAAGCACCCAAGGGTAACTACAAACTTCAACTCACTCAAACTCACTACTAACACTACTTTATAGGAGGCGCCTCCCCCATAGCCCACAGCGCCAACGTCTACGAAAAAGTCAAGGCCGAGATTCCAGAGCTAGTCGAAGAAATCAACAAGCGCGGCCTAGGCATGAAGATGGTTTTCCGAGCGCCGGGGAAGGAGAGCAAGGTCAACTCGTTCAACTGGGCGGGCAAGTTTAGTTTTGGACAGGAGCTCACGCCGGGTGATGATGAGGCGACGACGAGGGCCAAGGTGGAGAAGCAGGTTCGAAGGTTGACGAATGATTTCAAGTGGAATGAGGATGGGAGTCTTGAGTTGACGCAGCATATTCCTGGTGAGTTGTTTTTGTGTTGTTGGTTGAGGCTCGGTGCTGATTGTGCGTTTAGGTCTTCGAAGGGCGCCTTCAAGTGGCAGGCCAGTATGGTTTAACGGACTTGTTGGAAGACATGGTATCACTAGAGACATTGGCGCTCTCGACCCTCCCTACATTGGGCGAGACGGCATGACTTGTGAGTACCCAGTTCATCTACCCTTGACTCTCATCACCAACTGACAAGGACCAGACCTACCCTGTGTCTACGGCGACGACACACCAATTCCCCGAAAGTATCTCGACAAGCTGATCGATGTCATCGACAAGGAAGAAATCCACGTTGTTCTCGAAGAAGGCGACATTCTCTTTGTCGACAACTTTCAGGTCTCTCACGGTCGAGAGCCTTGGGAGGGAGATAGACAAATCTTGGTATCCATGTGGGAAGGGCCAACTTCAATTGGAGTTTACTAGACTTAATTAAACCAACTCCTATCTTCGCATAGTACGAATAGCCAAGTTGGTTAGTTAGTGACTAAGTAGCTGTCGCCTTAAAATAGACCCCAACACAGCAGCCGTCAATAGTTGCACGACACCTGGTGCCCAACCCAAAAAATCCAACTCAACTAACAACAACTCCAATTCGCTGATTGAATGCAAAAACCATCGTATTAGGAATAGTACAATGGGTCCATCCCGTCGACGTGGGCCATTCTGATTCCCCGCGTAAAAACGGTAATTACGCTTGTCTTGACTGGCGGTGAAGCGAGCATATCCCTGGAGAATGCCGAATAATTCAGGCCATGAGATCAAATGTCGAAAAGGAGCTGTCGCTTCTGCTTTCTTGTGGAGTTTTAAACCTGTCAAGGAAAGGATTGTATTTTTTGAGAGGTACGCGTCTGTATACCCACATTGCTGTAAAATGTCCATCTGCTAACCTGCTATAGAGACGTTTGAGTATAATGCTTTGCGTATGATTGCAAGGGCTATTGATTCCCTGCTGTTTTATATCGTCTCTCGCTGTGCCTAATGAGTCATTGAATTGGGCACATATACAAAACTGCCTTGGTTCGGTATTATATTACCTGAACTCTGCCCAAGACCGAACATCGTCGGGAATATAGCCAGTCTCATACCCAAGTTGGTGATACATAGTCACACCACTACCGGGGCGTACCACACGCTTCACAACGCAGCCATGAGCGACTACTCCGAATCATCTTCTCGCCAGAGTAGGCGTGGAGGATTAGAAATTATGGGCAATGAGATGGCAATCTCTGAAGCCTCTTCCCACAGAAGCAGGCATGCCCGATCGGATAGTTCTCGGGCTGAGATAAGAAACATGATGAAGAGCATCGAGAGGAAAAGGGGTTCGACGGATGAACACATACTCGCTGTCGTCAGAGCAAGAAGTGTCGAGGGACTTCTTGAAAAGTACAACCAGAGCCAACCTTCAAGTCGTAAGCTCATTGGCAAATCCAAGGGTACGTTGTTCTTCTCTCCAACTCGAATCTAGGATGATACTGACCGCACTAGAACGAGCCGCCGTCACCGTCACTTGTCTGGATCACCTACAAGCTTGGATCGAGCACATCACCAACATCATCAAGTGCCGCAAGATCAAGATCATAGTAAGCTGTCTGGTGGACGACCTCAACATGCACATCGAGAAGCGAGTCCGCAAGCTCGAGCTGTATCGTTGCGGCTACGGTGAAAACGCCGACCTCAACAACTTTGTAACGGGCTGGTCGACATACCGGGGTATTCGATTCGACGAGTGGGACGGCCAGGGCGACAAGGAGCTTTGGTTCGGTCCAGGCATCGCGATTAAAGTCGATCCGCGGAGGAGTAACTTGTGGTCGCCGAAGGATAGCTCGTTCACGGTCAACAACGAAGACAAGGATACCCTGCGGAGGTACTTTGAAGGCCTCCAGAGCATACCCATGGAGGGCGACTGGTGGCAAAAGTGGAAGTCGGCCATCTCGTTGATCCTGGGCGTCCTCGGCGGAGGAGCCAAGCTCGCAGTCTCGATGAATGTGACGGCCGCGGGCGCCTACATTCACTACCAATCATGGACAGGGTCATCGGTCAAGTTAGGCTGCGGTGGCATGAAGGCCTCGATGGAAGCGTCCGGAGGCGCAGTGCTCGTCGGGGCGGGGGTAGCAGCGGCCGTCTACTTCATCCCGTGGGACGTTGTGCTTGGATGGATGGATAGTCTGTTCTCGTGGCTGTGGGAGGGCTTCAAGTCCATGATGAACAAGTTCTGGGAGTGGATGAAGAGTTTCTGGGCCAGCAATCCGACCAAGGAGCAGCAGATGCAGGTCGGGATACCTCGTCCGATGGGGTTCTAAAGTTTGAAGGGCTTGTTAGCGCACGTTTGTCATGTTAGTGAGGGTTTGGTTGCTGGATATTCTCTTGGGTTGCAACAGTACGAGGGATGTATGACTTGAGTCGGTCAACAACCACAAGCCGTACACTTTTCAGCGAAAGGATGGGTTTCTTATAGATTGCTAGATATCAGACTATTGAAAAAATTGGAGTTAGGGGCGACAATCCTCACTTTAGTTATACACTATCCTTGTAGATTTCGAGAGGCAGTGATGACGAGGCAGATCCCAGTTCGCCTTGTTGACTAGGGTGAAGCATATTCGACTTGAGGCTTGAAATACAGGGCTGTGCAATCATCAACTGGGCAACAATGAGTTGTTGTGTTGGCAAAGCCATTAAAGAAACGATGCTCTCGCCGAATGCTCGAACAAGTCGAGAAGAGACTAGACGCCCAGTTGCCGGGCATGCCATAGTATCCCATCTCGAGACGACTCCTCAGTGACACACTCACATCGCAACCATCACGATTGAGTACAACGAAAAAGAGGCAAGGCAACCAGCCTCACACCCCGCCAAGTCCTCTGCCTTGTCTGAACCCCCAGCTCCAACCCTCCCTTATGACAGGAGCTTACAAAGCTCTGGGAACCCCTCACAAGGCAACCAAACAAGGCAACCAGTCGGTCGCCCGGTGAAAGTTGAACACTGCACTTTTGCCTGGTGCGTGTTTGACGATCGCCTCGTCTTGGCGTCGAAGGAGAGATAATACGTGATAGATAGTGCAACCATCCCCCCCTCTCCGAGAACAGGCGGCTATGTCTGAGTCAGTGTCGCGGATGGGCCCGGTTCTGGAAAGCCGGGACCGTTGATGAGCCTGCCTCGTGTGTCCCTAGGTTGCAACATGTGCATCTACACTTTCGCCTCGCTTTCATACGTTCTGTCATCGACTGGGCGTATGAGAAGACGCGGGCTGACCCAAGCCACCAAGTAAACGAGATATGAATCAAACCTTGCATTATGCTCGACATAATGGCGTCAACCAAGTTTTTTTCCCTCTCTCTCCTTCATGCACCAGCATCGTCGGGCGTGTCTGCTGACTGGGTCACTTAACCAGCATAAATCCTCCCCGGCCAGGTTGTGGTGACGCAGGCTTGTGAATGGCTGCAGCGTCGTCGTGTTAAGCAGGCAATAGGCATCGGGCGTATGATGGGCGGGCGAATTTCAGCTCTTGGCCCGGTTCAGCTGTCAAGTTGCGATACCCAAGATTTGCACTTTTTCGCGATGCGATGGAATCAGGAAGAGGCAGGGTCGACATGTTTCTCAGTGGGCGATCTAGACTGCGGGAAGTCCCTTCCTGACGAACGCCTGCCCTGCCCACGTTGGCGAGTACGTATGCACGGTCCCTCTGTCAACAGGCAGGCGAGAGGCAGGCCGCTTCATGGCCTCCTGTCAACAACAACACCAGCACAGTACAACTCAATCATGATGCCTCCGGCAATTACATGCATACCCGCCTCTCCCGCCGCTTCTATTTCCATCGTCAACTATCCGCCATTGGGCCTTCATGCTTGACCAGACGCTGTTGTCTGGACAATGATATTCGTCCGCCCCATACCGGGTCGTCGTGGACTCCCGATATACCTATAGTCCTACATGGCTATGGTGGCAACCGCCGTGTTTTTCTCCTAGTCGTGACACAACATCAAAGAGAGACATTCAGCAGCATCAACGCCTAATCTTCTCTCTTGGTTGCCCGGCAATGGCATGACAGCTCGTCCGCCAACTCGCCAGCGTTGCCTCGTCGGAGCATCCCTCGTTACGCAGCGCATAGGATCTCCAGTTGATCATTCACCGCCGCGTCAGACTCACCTGCCGAAATGGATATGCACTGCTTCAGCGAGGCATCGTGGTGTGTGGGCGCAATACACGGCAGAAGCTGTCGGAAGTGCCGAGCACTCAATGGGCAGTTCTCGCGGCGGACAGCAGCATAGACAGGCCCCATCGGTGATACTGACCGATCGACTCTAATTAGCCTTGAGAAACTCTACCGCGTCTTCGGTATCTTAATCGAGGTGCGCCCGCGCAATCACCTGATGCGAGGCCCGTTCCAATGGGATGTCGTCTCGGCGGGCAAACCTGCCCACCACCTCGACCTGCAGACCATGCGGCTGCTTCTTCGGCCGGGCGAGGTCAACCTGCAAACCTTTCCCCGGCGGCTGTTGCGGCTGGGCGGCCGTATCAATCAGGAGGGTGGTAAGAAACTTTGGCTGCTGCTTGTTGGCCTGGTTGCCTCGTAAGTGGCATATGCGAACCACCTCACCCTCGAAACAACGGTTCGCTTTCCAACATGGCGATATACCATTCGTTTGAGGTGCAGGAGCTCTGCCGTCTCGATGAATTGTGTCTGCTGTCGATTGAGGATTGGGTAGAAACAATCAGGCTCTTTATGTCTTGAAAGAGAGAATTAAATAGAAGCCGATTCTCCCTCAACATCCATCTCGAAAAACAGCATCACTCACAACAACAACCACAACAACACAATCCTTCCATCTTTCTATACAAACTGCAATCAAGTGCTCACAAGACCTTCCAGGGTTGAGCTCTACCCCTCACCATATTTGCTTTGCCCTTCAAGAGTCTGCCCTCCATCCCAATACTAGCTCACACCAACTCGCAATATATCGACCGCCTCACTTTCTTGAGCGTGGCGAAGCTCCCAGTTGCCCATACATTTCATACCAACTTGATACTTGCTCAATTCACATCTGCCTACACATCGAGGCAGATATATTTGCCCATCGTCGCCTCATCTTTCAACTCCCAAACTGGGCACGAAAATCCACAACTCTGTTGATCGACAATCACAAACCCCTTCAACCATGTCCAGGCAATACCCTGCCAGAGCCATGCCTCACAACGCCCCAGCCCCCATGCATCACCAGCCTCAAGCACCTCCACAGGGTGCTCCCATGCCTCAGGGAGCCAGGGGCCCTGCTCCCTTCCACCAGGCCCCGCCTGCTCGCTCCCGCCACACTTCTTCATCATATGCTAGCTCTTCGTCAAGCCTTCGCTCGAGCTATGCTAGTATCCCTTCCCCACCCCCAGGCGCAGTCCCTCGGGACCTGCGTCCAAGAGATGCCGTCCCCATCTCAGATATTCGGCATGAACGCCTCACAGAGGCTGATGCCCGCGAGATCCTCTCGAAATACTATGTCATCCGCCTCGAGAGGATTCGCAACCCCAACGATGTTGACGCTCAGGGGTATCCCCTGAAGCCTTCATGGGACAGGGTTCACCAGTTCGTCCAGTCAGACTATCCCCAAGAAGATGCCAGGCGCAGAGTTGCCCAGCTCATGAGGGATACGAAGCCGGTCTATGAAAAGAAGAGAGCCAAGGATGTCACCATCCAACGCCAGATCGAGCTTGTTTTGGATGACTTTGCCAGACAAGAACTTGACTCTCGGTACATCGTCACCTTGGCCCAGTTCGAGTCTCAATATCGAAGACTGGATGACCGCTCAGTCTCAGTTGGCAGACGGAGGAGGAGCCACAAGCATCATCACAGCAGAAAGTCCAGAAAACACTACAGCAGAAGCAGATCTCCTCGAAAGGAGAGACAAGCCATCATCATCTACCTCAAGCGAACTCCCGCCAAGGGAGAGAATGGCTTGAAGATGCTTCAAGAGGAGAACCAGCGGAAGGCGAGGCGTGATATGCCTGCGCCACCAGTCCACATCCGCCCAGGTACAACGAGCTATTCTCCTGTTGCTCCCCATCCAGCACCGATCTATTCCACTCCTGCTCCTCATCCCTCGTCACCACAAGCTCGGTCTCCTCCTACTCCTCATCACCCACCACCACCAACCCGCTCTGCCCCTATCCACCATCACCCACCTCCAAATCATGCGGCCCCTACAGCTCCAGTCAACCCTGGAGCACCACCCATGAACCCAAATATGAGAGGCCAACCTCAGCCGGCGATGCCAGGCAACCGCCCACCGCCAGGAGCTCAGCCAAGGCAACCTCAGCCGGATTTTGTCGGAGAGTCTGATGATGACTCTGCTGATGAGTCCGACGACGAGGATGCCACGCCAGCCAAGCCGTTCAATCCGGCACATCCAAATAATCCTGGAAACATGGCACCAGGAACAAGACCACCACCACCTCGCCCTGGCGTTGCTCCCCCAAGGCCTGGTCCAGGAAATCTCCCCGCCAATCCAAACGCTGCTCCAGGATCCCGAGGTCCTCCTCCTCCCAACATGCCACCCAACCCCAATGCTGCCCCAGGGCCGCGAGGTCCTCCTCCTAACATGCCACCAAACCCAAACGCTGCCCCGGGACCTCGAGGACCTCCTCCCAACATGCCCCCGAATCCAAATGGTGCTGCTGTACCTCGAGGGCCTCCGCCAGCTGGTCCTAGACCTGGTCCAGTGCCAAACCCTCAAGTTGCTCCTCCTCCGCCTAACGCCGCGGGACGAGCACCACCACCAGCACATGCACCAGGAGTTGGCCCAGGGAGGATGCCAAATCCTCAAGCCCGACCACCATTTGATCCGCACGCAGCTCCCCAGAAGCCGGGCGTTGGGCCACCAGGAATGCGTCCGCCCAATGGCCAAGTAAAGCTTCAGAAGCCTCCTGTTGGGTCCCAGGTGAACGCCCCTGGTTCCCCAGTGGAGGACCATATCACTGTTACCACTTATACCGGTGACAAACGTCGCAAGTCCAAGACGTACGAGGCGTCGGATCGAAGCTCCCGGGACTCTGTGGCATCAGACGATCTCTTCTCAGCGGATGAGAGCGAAGGCACAAGGCCCTCGTCCGTCAGCTCTGATTCAGGTTCAAGACGACGTAGCCAAGATCAGAGCTCGACTCGGGCCCGCAAGGATCGACATGAAGATGTTAGAGAGTCTCGTCGCAGCAAGCGAGAGTCAGATGAAGAACGTTCTTCTCGACAGGTCTCTCGGCCGCGTGCCCGTTTCAGCTCGCCTTCACGTCGCGGAGAGTCCTCGCACCGCCGCAGGGAGTCACCTCAGCGCCGTGGAGAGTCGTCATACCATCGTGGGGATTCACCACGCCGCCGCAGAGAGTCCCGCAGGGAGTCACCTCATCGACGTAGAGACTCACCTCACCGGCGAAGAGAGGAAAGCAGGTCGCCAAGACGCGACTCCTATAGGGATGACGAGGAATGGATCCCACGGAGAAGAGAGAGCATGCCATCTCCTCGAGTTATCCAGCGGAATCTTGCGCCCCGTCTTGTCTCCGCTTCCGAGGCAAAGAGACAGATCTACACGGACCGTGATAGTTCCCGTCTGGAGAATCGTCTGGAAAGGGCGCGACGGGAGGATGAGCGACAGATCCGCCGGGACAACGACCGCCTTAGAGATCTCGGAGACAGAGGCTTCCGACATCGCCGTGGGCTCAGATCGAGACTCTTTGAGTTTCTAGGAGATGACTCCTCGCATGGCGGCCGAGATTCCCATTGGCGAGAAGGCGATGCCAGAGACTACATGCGACGAAGCGCTGACCTTGATCGACTCCGCCCTCTTCGCGACAGGGACTTTTTTAGGAGGGATTGACAAGGACGCAAAATGAGACTGGCGATGCTCATTTTCGAAGATATACTATCATGGCCACTTCTCTTTTTCTTTTGTCAGATGCAGAGTGGAAGCGAGCCTTGGGATGATTATGATGATTATAATTACAACGTGGAGTATGGGTCTGATTACAATTGGGAAAGGGAAGGCGAGGAACAAAATGACTACCCATATCAGGATGAACAATAGTTACCTAGAGGCACTTGACGAATTATGAAGACCACTTTTGCAACTGAATGTCACCCCTGATCTCAGCCGCCGTGATAATGATAACATCCAACAGGCAGCAATCCTGTGGGGGCGAAGATTGCACGTGACTAAGCGACATCAGCCTCTTGAGGGGCTGCAGCTGTCGCGCCTGGAACGCGTCAAAATGCAGTGAACCTGGGCCTGTCGTTGCACCGACTTTAAGAGCTCCGACGCGTCCTGCATCACTGCAGCCCAAATATGACAATTTTGAAGCTTTGCACTTGATGGCCCTCTTGTTCATCTGAGGCTCTAGTGCAGGCTTGTTCATCCTGGGCTTCGCCCTGTTCTTTCCTTCTCTTCCATTTTCAATCCTTCTTCCACCCCATCTCCTCTCTTCTTCTCCCCCAGGTCGAGTCACCACCGACCGCAATTCCCATCCTCAGCCCCGGTTCAGTTTATGACGGTGGGCATTACCGGTCTGCCCATACGATCCTCGCCGGCACGTGGCTTTCTTCTCCTTCAAGCTGTGCAGCAGCTGGCTCATGTTCACACTTCCCGCCCTTCATCCTCCCCCGTCTTCGAATCCATGTTAGCCAGGGCCAGCGACAAGTACGAGGCCAACGGCCCTCCCCAAAGGAGCCAATCGGCCAAGGCGTTCTTCCCCCCAAGCAGCCCTACTAAGCACAATGGCGACATTCGCCAGCAACTCAAGAAGCCAAATGCTGCCGCAGTGTCGGCGAGGACCGCCCACCCTTTTCCGAAGCCTCTCGATAGTCGATCCAACAACATGAACCAACCTACAGTGACCAGACTGGCGGCCAGTGCTGCCGGAGGCTCATTGGCCTCGCTATACGGAGGATCGGATTCATTCCAGCAGGATCCCGACGTTATCGATCTGACCGAAGCGGATGTCATGGCCAACTCCAAAGCAGGCGTCTTCTTCTGCGAGAACGATTTTAGCGACGATGACGAGTTGGATTTGGACTTTAAAGCTCCTTCAGCTTTGCCGGTGCTCCCAAAAGCAACTCCTTCCAAGCCCTCCAACGAGCACATGCCCCCTCCACCGACATCGCAAGCCTCGAAACCCATTGACTGGTCTTCGTCTCCTGTATCTCACTTTCTACCACCGACGCGGACCACATCCGTGACCTCCACCACAACAAATGGATCTCTAAAACGCGAGTCTTCTGGCGATAAGGATTTGGTCGACGTCCCCGCTTCTAAGAAAGCGAAGAAGAGAGTCCTCCCTTCCACTTTCAAACAGCAACAACCCGAGGAGGATGAGGAGGACCATTTTGGTGCCAAGACTCCGGCCAACAAACGGAAAGAGTTCTGGAATCCTACTGCTAGTGCCGTCAAGGAGCAAAAGAAACAATTCCGAAACCAGCGTCAGCAAGATCAGCCTACGGCAAACAACGATTTGTCCACGGACGAAATTCAGGAAATCAGCACTTCACATTCCAAGTCCAAGGGCAACTTTGCCATTTCCCTCAGTGAGGAACAGAGACACGTTTTGGACCTTGTTGTCAACAATAACCAGAGCGTCTTCTTCACTGGTGCTGCCGGAACAGGAAAGTCTGTGTTGATGAGAGCCATCATCACTGAACTGAAGAAGAAGTATGCCAAAGACCCCGAGCGAGTCGCCGTCACTGCCTCAACTGGACTTGCTGCGTGTAACATTGGTGGTATTACACTCCACAGCTTCTCAGGCATTGGCCTTGGCAAGGAAGATGTTCCGACTCTGGTCAAGAAGATCCGACGGAACCAGAAGGCCAAGAACCGTTGGTTGAGAACGAAGTGTCTGGTCATTGATGAAGTTTCAATGGTGGATGGAGAGTTGTTTGACAAGTTGTCTCAGATTGGGAGAACGATCCGCAACAATGGCAGGCCATGGGGTGGCATCCAACTCATCATCACAGGTGACTTTTTCCAGCTTCCACCTGTTCCTGACGGAGGGAAGCGTGAGACCAAGTTTGCCTTTGATGCATCCACCTGGACAACTTCGATCGATCACACCATTGGACTCACACAGGTTTTCCGACAACGAGATCCGAAGTTTGCCAATATGCTCAACGAGATGCGTCTGGGCAGAATCAGCGAAGATACCGTACGGTCTTTCAAATCTTTGTCAAGGCCACTTAGCTTCGACGATGGCGTGGGCACTGCGGAGTTGTTTTCTACTCGGAATGAAGTTGAGGGATCCAACGAAAGGCGACTGAGAGAGCTCCCCGGCACGGTCCGGCGGTACGATGCCATGGACGTTGGTAAAGAAGAGATTCGAGACAAGTTGTTGATGAACATGATGGCACCCAAGAGCATTGATCTGAAGATCAACGCGCAGGTGATGCTGATCAAGAACTTGGATGAGTCGCTGGTCAACGGCTCACTTGGCAAGGTCATCGGATTCTCAGACGAGAAAACATTCGACATGACGTCGGTTGACGAATTCGATGACGATGATCCTATGGCTAAGGCCCGAAGGAAGCTCCTCAAGTCATTCAGTCGCGAGGCTGACACAAGCTCGAGCGGAGTGAAGTTCCCAGTCGTTCAGTTCATGGCAACTAACGGCACATCACGGGTGATTCTCTGCCAGCCTGAAGAGTGGAAAGTTGAGCTACCGAATGGAGAGGTGCAAGCAAAACGCACCCAACTTCCTCTGATCCTAGCGTGGGCATTGTCAATTCACAAGGCGCAAGGTCAGACCCTGGAGCGAGTCAAGGTCAACCTTGGTCGTGTCTTTGAGAAGGGCCAGGCCTATGTTGCTCTCAGTCGAGCAACAACCCAGGAAGGTCTGCAGGTGCTGGGTTTCGAAAAGTCCAAGGTCATGGCTCACCCTCGAGTCATCCAATTCTACAATCAGCTGTACAGTGCTGAGGATGCAATTGGGAAAAAGCCACAGTCTATCACTGACCTTGTCTCGAACCGACTTGGGGCTGCACCTCCAAAGAAGGCAGCACGTCAGGTGGTGGAGCTGGACGATGAGGAAGAGGCGATGGCGTCTTATGGTTATTGAGTATTGATGGGCGCATTCAGGACCTCCCCGCACATGTTGATTTAGTTGTGGAAAACATTGTATGATAGGAAGGGTTCCTTTTCTAAATAGAAGCGAGCCATGATGGGATTAGGCGTTAGGTTGCCAGAGCAAGGAGATCGTGATAGACGATCAAGCCGACGGCAAGTAGATATCTATCTAATCTCGGAGTATCCGAGCTTCATGAAGTCAATATGACAATGAACATTTCACTTGGATGCGTGGGGTGTTGAAAGTTGCTTGTCATGCTGAGAAGTTCTAGCCCTCTCCTGCGACGCTGTCTGGACTCGGCGATGGTTTCGGTTGGTACCTGAAGCCTGAAGTAACCTAGAAACATGATCAACCAAGAATTTGATGGATGTCATGGCTTTGGACGACCCATTGGGCCCACGGATTCATGGTGGTGAAAACACCGTCCCATGGTTGTTGTCCTCGTGACTGGTCTTAATGGTGATGGATGAAGAAATAGGACTCCAACCAGAGATACACCAATACAGAAACCTTTTATCTATGCGGCAACAATATTATAAAGTTGGCCAGAACCAGATTTATAAGCACATTCACTAATTCCATCGAATTACCCATGTTGTGTTGGGGTCATGGTTCCATACAGTTTCCAGGTCCCTTGGGGAAGCGGCGGTTGAGCCGCGCTTATCGATAAGCTCCTAGACTTTTTGCCCTTGGGGCAAGCTTGCCAGACAGAGCGTGGGACGTTGAACCTCACAAACCCCATCCACAACATCGCAATCCCAAAATCCGATCGCCTTCCTCGCCGAAAATCCTTTGGCGCAGAATCGATACCGTGTAGCCATCAAACATCTCGACTTTTTGGCTGCCTGACATTCTACGGCTCTTCTCACGACCGGACGCTTCGACCCTCCCCCTCCCCTCGTTGTGCTCCATCCCACGGTCCGAGAAACTCGATCCTTCATCTGTCTCCGGGTCGACCATCTCGACCGCTCGCTCGCTTCATCCCCGCCTTTGAGACAGCCCGATCCACGCTCTCCAAGAGTTTACCCAACGTCCCGTCTCCCGAAACCCTAGCGAAACCCCGACACTGCGCCACCCTGATTTAGCCTTTGTGCCCTGGGGTCTGGGAATTTGATGACGTCTAGAGCTTGACCGTCTTCCAATAACAGGGTCATCGCAGCAAGGCATCCGGGAACCAATCTCTTGCACCGCACTCCTACAACATGGCAAACCAATTCATCGGCCTGCACATGCGGGTGGTGCTCCGCGAGCCTGCGGACTGTCAACTCACGGGGACAGTGAGAGATGTCCAGGCGGGCAGCGGCCTCACTTTGACGAATGGTGAGCGCGTCATGATTCCTCTACTTCGAAGCATATGCTAACTAGGATTGTAGTATTCGTCACAGGAACCAAGGAATGGCGCCCTCAAATGCATATCGATGCCGGTAATATTGCTGATCTGTCCGAGATCAAGACGGATGATGCGCCTGCCGAACCTGTCGCCGCGCCTTCCTTTTCGCAACCGCCATCGCAAACCGCCTTTGTCGACCCTGCGATTCTCAGTCTAGCAAGACCACCTATGTCTGCGACGCCCTCGGGCTCGGATGGGAAATTCATCGATCTGGGAGATGGAAGGGCAGAGCTGCACGCTGTTCAACCCATTGCGGCGCTCTCTACACCAGGGCGACCTACCCCCGATCATGACTTGTCCGGCTCCATCAGCAACTTGGCCGTCACCGAACCAGTCCCTGGATTGACCGATGACAAGTCTGTTGGGCCTCAGGATGCCCCATCAACTAAGAAGAAGAACAGGCGCTCTCGTCAGTCTAAGCAAGGAAAGGGCCAGCGCATCGAGGAAGATGGTCAGCCTGTTGATGGCTCGCCCGCTAGTGGCCGAGGCAAGGGCTGGAGGCAGACTCCTATTCTTCAGAGTACGGCGTCCTTCCAGCCATTCAACTCTCTGAAGCGAAACGGCAAGGGGCGAAAAGGGGCATTCGACAATGGTTGGGCATCTGAGGATGTCACTGAAGAGATGGGCGATTTTGATTTTGAGAATAACCTGGCCAAGTTTGACAAGCGCACCATCTTTGATCAGATGAGAAAGGAGGATCAGGTCGACGATGCCAGCCGACTAGTAGCTCACAACCGTCGACCAAAGCCTGGAACAGCAGGTGGCAAGAACCTGCATTACACGGAAAATGTTCTTGATCTGCCACCAACAACTGGCAAGAACGCAGATTTTTGGAATAGCGAAGCGGATGAGGCAGACAGACTATCAGCGCGGGACATGCGGAGCGGCCAGAGCAATCGAAGAGCTGACAGCAAGTCGGGGCCTTCGAAGAGATCACAGTCACGCAAGGCAAGTGCCGTTGCAGCGCCTGGTGGTATCCCACTAAGCCGTGTCAACTCGGGCGTACGTTCAAGCCATCTTTCTCGCTTGTCCATCTCTCGACCAGAGTCGCGCAGTACTGACGGCAGGAGACAGCAAGGTCAGCCACCCGGTCTATACCTCGTCCCCTCTCACAAACGACTCGAAACCGTTTCGGCGCTGCAGATGCTAAATCTCGAGAACATTGCCGCAAACGAAGTTGGGCTGTCGGAACCGCTCATGGCAGAGAACGGAGGACGGGGTATTGCCGAGGTGGCTTTCAAGGCGCTGTCGGATCCTGCCATCAAGGTGCGGTTTGGCCTTGCTAGGGCCAATCCATCTGCCAGTGCCGTGCTGAGCAGCCCGGCGGTTGTGATACTGGCTGGCAACAACAAATCTGGTATCCGAGCGATTGCCGCAGCCAGGCATATGCGGAACAAGAACGTCAATGTGATGGTATGCTTGGTGGGCATTGAGCGCGAGCGAGACTTGCTGGAGGATCTCCGACAGCAGATCCAGCTGTATCGGGCTTTCGGGGGTAAAATCCTCAGCAAGACCGATCTCTTTGAGCACCTACGAAAGAGCGCCTCATCAGGATCGCCTGTGTCAATCGCTCTCATCATCGATGCCCTTCTGGGGTTGACCATTTCATTCGAAGAGCTGCGAACGGGAGACCAGGCCACCGTCTACGAACTGATGGAATGGGCAAATCGCAACGAGGCATTCGTCCTTTCCGTTGATGTGCCAACAGGCATCGACCCTACTACTGGCAAAGTGGCAGTCATTGATGGCAGCCGTCTCTTTGTCAAGCCGCGGTACGTGGTTGCGATGGGTGCACCCAAACGCGGCTTGCTCGAAGCTGTAACACCACCAGGCGAGGATGACCCTGAATACCTCAACACTGCGACACACGAGGACGAGTGGCGCCTTTTCATTGCCGATATTGGGTTAGGCAGCGCAGTCTGGCGAAAGGCCGGGACTAAGATCCGCCGCGGTATCGACTTTGACGAGAAGTGGGTGCTCGAGATGAAGTATCGAGATGGACAGCAGGAGGAAACCGACTATGAGGAGGAATAGAGTGTTTGGAAATTAAGCAAGAGGCATCACGATGGACATGAGGGGCCAACATGGAACAGCATCGGAGGGGAAGCGCAAGTTATTGGCTTTTGTGTTTTTGCATGACTAAAAGGACGAACGTTTGGCGTTGGTGGTTTTGGTTCCCAGCGCGAGAGGGCTTTTGCTGGGGACATGGACATGGTAAATGCATGGATGAGGTTGAGAGATACCAATCAATACCCAGGAGTTTTATCTTTTATATTTCTCTTTTCTTGGTGCCGTATTCGTATTTCCGGTGCTAGCAATGCCGCAGACTGGATCTGCAGAGTTTATCTTTGACGGATGCACGGCAACGTCGTTTATGCGACGTTGGAGAATGGGACCCGACCCGAGAGTCTGGAGAAGCGTTGTGTTGTGCAAAGGCCAAGATGCGGGACAGACGACAACTAAGCTTTGCCAAGACTTGGGTGTTTGGCCCCCTGCGCAGTCTTGGCAGTGGAAAAGCTTGATTGAATGACGAAGAGGGTTGTGTGACGTTGAAGAACAAAGGATGCAAGTTCCATGATGATGGACGACTCGACAATTGTACGAGTTCAAGTTGGCCTTTGAAGAGGCAGAGGTTGGCTCTACAAGTAACTAATCTACTGGTGGTCTGTATGGGCTGGCTATACTCGAGTATCCAACTCGACAGTGGGCTGGCGGATGTCAAAAGGCTACTGTCGCAATGGATCGCCAACAAACCCATTGACGACATGCCTGTTCGGGCTTGCTCCGACGGTCTAGAAGGATAGAAGAAACGACCAAATATTCAGCCTGGGTCTTGATCATTCGTTAGTTGTTTAAAGTTCATCGGGCGGGCCGGACGAGATTCAGCCAAAAAGTGAGTTTCACCAGATTAGGTGCTTTGTGGTGTCATGGGTGCTTTGGTTAGGTAAGTGTCATCTGCGCAGTGATGAGAGCTGAATTGGGGTTTCGCATGGTAGATCGCAAGACAATCAAGTAAAGATTTCTCTAATAACAGGTCCCTAGTATAGAGTTAATGCCCGTCATCTGGAGAATTTATCGTCTGAATCAGCCCTTTGAACAGAATTTAGCATCGTCGATCCTTTCCCCAGGGTGCACAGTGCGGGTGGCTGAGTGGGTGTGGGGTCGGTGGCTTACCTGACTGCGATTTAGAGCGTCCTGCAGGTTCCTACGGGTATCGACTCACGTTCCCTGCAGGGGGAGATACCAGGGAGAGAAATAATGCAGTAACAGAGAGGGGATGAAATCGCTGTGTTTCTTGCAAGATGTATTCTCTATTCTGGCGATATGATCAGGTTGAGATGAGAAAAAGCAAAGAAACCCAACATCCTCCATAAAAAACGAACAACAACCATGCGACCGGGGTTCACACCACTGATCCTTTGACGTGATGGATGGCGGGGTTACACCTCCCCAGCCGAGAATGCACACAGTGTGTATATCCCACAAGGTCCCGACCTCCTGGCTCGTCAAGCTGCTGCATTCCAACGGGTTGCCTTTTCGCATCTTGAACTCTGTCAAGAACCTGCGTGGCCGTTGTAGGACGGGCCGGAAAGCTTGTGCGCACCAGCAGCCCAGATTATGCAGAAAACGGCCAGCAACGGTTGATTTTGTACTTGAACGGAGGAGAATAGCACCACGGCAATGATGATCAGGAAGATCAAGACCATCTGGCACATCTTGTCCTCCTTCAAGAAACCAGTCAATCTTCATACTGTACCATGTGTCTCTGGGGCTCCATATCACACACAGTACAGTGCGTCGCTTCGTCCCGTCAAGGTAACCTGACGTGCAATCCGCCCCCCTTCGCTTCTCCAATGCCACAATCAACTGAGAAGAGAGAGAAGCACGCAGTCGAGGCTAAAAAACTAAGGTAGCCCATAACGTTAGGTGCTCCTCGTTTGGAGAAATAGGTGTCCCGCCTAATAAAACCCAGGTCGATTCCCCAGTTTTCCCACGCGCTGAGCTTGGACTTGTGTCTCATTCTTTACGAACGAAGGAAAGATAAAGAGGAAAAAAGACATCCGATCACACACACAATCTCGAACCTCTTGAATCTCGCTCGAAATTTCTTCATTGACGTCGTTCTCAAGGCTTCTCTGAACCTTCTAGATCGCCACGGCTCGATCCATCCATCTCACCCTTATCGCGCGGGACCAACCAAGGGGTGCGCGATCGACTCCAAAGAAGCCAAGACTTCTCGGCGCCCAGACTCACAGCCTCCATCCCATCTCCATCGCTAATTCCATCCATCGGTCGCCCCTCCCCACTAGACAGTGCCAGGAGAGCCCAGCTTGATTTTAACTTGTGTCTTTCCGGGTCCCTTGTTCAGCGGCACGTTCCACCAAAACCTGGAACCCGACTCACCTAACCATCTTCCCGGCTTCGCACCTTTTTTGACTCTCAATCCAACGCGCCTGTGTCCCCAAGTCGCAAATTCGTCAAGGTCCTATCGTCGTCGTCAGCTTGTGAGACTTGGCGTCTTCTGCAATCTGACACCATCGCCTAATAACCCCTTCGTCACGGCCAAACCCCCGAGGACCCGCGTCTAATTCTCCCGCCCCACGATCCCTCTCAAACCGCGACCGAGAACAGAACTCGTCTGACCCCCCGACCGAAATACCCTCGCGACGAGTCGAATTCGAGTTTCCAAGCGACAACAAATTGAACAGCGATCGAAAACGCGAATAACGATTTCTTCCTTTCCCATGGCGACCATTTAATCCTCAACATCCAACCGTTTCGCGAATCCCGTCGCTCGCGGCTGGCCGTTCCGTTGCGTGTTGCCCCTTTGATAACCGGCCAGCCGCAACCATGGACGCCAGCCAGCTGGTCTCTGCGACCATCACGGCGCTGCCGGCGCTGTGCACGACGACTCTATTACCAGCCGCCGGGGTCATGACATTGGGGCCCCAGGGCGTCCCAGTCCCCTTGATCGAGCCCGCCGTCTTCCAGATTCCTTGCCCGACTGTGAATCTCGTTCCTCGGATCGCCGTGGAGGCTTCGGGCGATGAGAGTAGCCTCACTCAGCACGAGGCATCTGAGAGCAGTCCCAAATTTTCCGATTTCCGCGATCCTTTTTACGCCTCAACTTTTCCAATATGTTACGCCCTCGCCGCGACCACCGTCACGGCTTACATGCTCGTCGTTATGCTCTTCGTCACCCCTCGCTCCTTTCTCGACGGAGGCGTTGTCTACCTCGGCCGGCGATCCGGTTTCACCCACAGCTCGTCCAGCAGCGTCAGCATTGGCGGACGTCCTTGGCTGCAAAAGGTGGCCGCTTTGACTGTCGCCATTTCACTTACCATCGCCTCCGCGGACACATTCCAGGTGGCTCAGAATCAGTATACGTGGGGGATCCAGAACGCGAAGCAGCTGCAGGACGAGGTCATGAACAGCGTGGAACTCAAGGTTATCCGTCTTGTCTCAGACACGTTCCTCTGGCTTGCTCAAGTACAGACTTTGATTCGACTGTTTCCCCGCCAGCGAGAAAAGATCATCATCAAATGGGTTGCTTTTGCGCTCATCACCCTTGATGTCATTTTCAGCGCAATTACTAGCTTTCAGTACTCGGACAACGGCATCAACACCAACGTTCGACCCAAAAACTTTGTACATCCCGTCCCCGCCCTCAGCTACCTCTTTCAGCTGTCATTGGGACTCTTATACGCGGCGTGGGTTGTCTACTTTGCGCTCATGAAGAAGCGCTACGCATTCTATCACCCCTTTATGAAGAACATTACCCTCGTCGCAATCATTTCGATCACTTCGATTTTGATTCCCGTCGTCTTTTTCATTCTCGATATTTCACAACCCGAATTTACTGGATGGGGAGATTATGTGAGATGGGTTGGCGCAGCAGCCGCCAGTGTGGTTGTATGGGAGTGGGTGGAAAGAATTGAGGCTTTGGAGCGTGAGGAGAAGAAGGATGGTATCCTCGGCCGGGAAGTATTCGATGGCGACGACACGCTCGAGATCAATGCGGCCGAATTCCCATGGCTTCGAAATCGAAAGACAAGAAAGGGAGGAGGTGGAGGAGGAGGCGGCGGCAACGGTGGTGGCGGCGGAGGTGGAGGACAAGCATCTTCAGGTGCAGCCAATGGATGGGCCAACGTTTCCGCCATTACCGGTCGATATCGTGGGCAGGATAACGAGGGTGCTCAGGAAACTACGGAGCAGTCAGGACAGAGGGGCATGGGTAACATCCTACGGCCCACGATCTGGCCAACCCGTCCAGCACCGGCAGTAACGCCCATCAGTCGAACCGACACAGCTAGCGCGGCGAGTACAGTCTATGCCGTACGATATCCGCCATCATCAGAGGCGACGACACGAACACCTGAACCTCTACCACAACAAAGTATGGTGGATTTGAGCCGACAAAACAGTATCCCTCAGAGTCACCAGACGAACGACGAGCCTACTCCTCCCAATCAGGCCCCAGCCTCAGTACAGAATGGCCATGTTGTCTCGCCTGCAGCCCGTCAACCGGTAGACCTGGAGGCCAACACACCGAATAGCCCGACTCATGGTGGCTGGCGGAATCTCACATTTGCCAGCCCGATTTTCCGTCGTTCGAGTGAGGATCCGCCACAGGAGGTTGCACAGCACTCGCAGCATATACCAGAACCCGAACGCGAGGGACGGACAACCGTACCAAGTAGGTGGGATCTAAGGGCTCGTCTGGAGGACTTTGCAGCAAACCAAGCTGAGAAGCTGCGGGATCGAGTGCGGTCAGCACCCAACACAGAGAGCCTTCCTGTGACGGTGATTCCAGCACCTCCACGAAGAGGGGCCGCGCTCCAGCAGGTTCTTGAAGAGGAGGAGCTAAATACGGCAGATCAACAATCGAGCAGCAGAGAAGGGCTTACGAACAACAACGACAGCCACAGCAGCATGTCTCGAGAAGCATCAGGAGAAGTGACACAGCTGGACAGGAGTCGAAGCACGCTGTCAGGAAGCCAACTAGGCGAGGTTCCGATCCCAGCCACCAACCCGCCGCTATGGCGAGGCGTGCAGCCCAGGGTGATGTACGAGGATGACTATTACTACTCTGGCGACGAGGACTCGGTGTCAGAAAGGTCATCACTTGATCACCGGCGACAAGATTTGGACTCGCCTGGCCCGCAGCGAGCGACTTGAGCGAAGCATTTGTGTCATTACTATTGCATCTAGCGAGGCGTTGTTGGTACGGCTGGCAGTAGACCGGCATGTTTAGTTTGGGAGCATTTGCGTGTGCGAGATACCCAGAAGGCGGCTACATCATTATGCCTTTATTATATTACATACGGGATGGAGATGGCCATGGTTGCGATCTTGGTTCATACAAGATCAACATGGCATCTAAAACTTGGGGAATGGCCTTGAGTCATGGCATACGGCGTTATGGAAAATGGGCAGAAGGGAACGTGTATATATCTGCAGAGATGGCCTCGAATGTACGAGTAGGCCATAGTATTATAGTCGTCAATATCATCAGTATGATACACATTTACGCATTTGTGGTCTGACAGTGATGAAAGGGATTTCACTTTGAGATGTGGGGAAACATTGACCACAGAGCGGTCCAAGGATGACCGTGTTCGACTCTCAAGATATCACTGTATGTGGGAAGCATGGGTTGTTGTCAGTCAGTCGACATGATGACATGAGACGTGTGCAGTACAGTACTGTATGTCAGCTCGCTCTCGCTCTGCTGCTGTGCTTACTGTCCTATCCGCGGAAGTGGATTTAAAGGCTGACAGAATAACCCAGCCACACTATTCGTAGCCTTTAACGATGAGTCTCGGCATGACGTCTTTGTACATTTGCTGCATGGGCTCTCCCGAACGCACATGTCATCTGCGGCCAAGGACAAGGCCACGAGGATCCGGCAGGTCCGGATAACGAAGAAAAGAAAAGAAGGCAAAAAACACCAGACAGAGAAGAAAATTTGCAGGGGACATGGTCGTCAAAAGGGGAAGATATGGTGCATTTACATGCCCTTAATTTTCTTGCTGGGGAGATTAAACTTGATTTTCTTTGGAGGACGGGAGGCCATGTGACCCCACAGATCGACCTCTTGGTGGTTGAGCGACAGGGGGTGAAGAGGGAACGAATCGCTCGACTTTTTTGACACTTGAATTAAGAGAATTTGCTTTGATTTTTCGTACTCATCTCGGCTTCCGCGAACAAACAATTTGTTCCATGCCCCGGGCCCCGCGGAGCACCGGTTGGCACTTTGACTCTCTATCCCCTGAAAGAAATAAAGGTTCGGCGGCCTCGGCAGTGGGAGCCCGCTAAATTACTGGACCCTGAAAGGACCCCAACGACATTCGGTCAATCTCAATTTATTAGAGAGTCCCACTACGTGCAACTTTTATTTGCCACGATTCTTTTTATTAGTTGGTTTCATTGGGAAGGTAACGGAGTAATTACATACAACAGCGCATTGAGAGGAACAGGGTCCCGCCTTTTCCGAAGCCGAGTCCGTGTATAGCCAATATCTGCTGGGTATAGAAGCAAAGACGGAGCCTTGAAAACGCCCGCACCCGACGATCCGTGGCTAAAGACATCATCAGCATCAAGAAAAGGCTCGGCTTGAACCCTGTCGCCAACGCTTTCCTTTCCCTGTACATCTGATCCAGAAAGCCCACCGACTCTGGCTGACCAATCAGCGACGCCGCCGTGTACCTGCTGCCCGCCTCGGCTTACCCACCCAATCCCCAATCGTCTCTCCCCTCGCATCTCCCTTCCCTCTAATACAAACCGTCGCGACATCCCATCCCATCACATCCGCTCTCCCGCACAATCCGGACCTGCTCTTACATTTGTCTCCTCTCCGCCAGATAAAGGATCAAGACAATTCCACGCCTGCGACTCCTTTTTCCAACGACTTTTGCTTCTTGTCCGCCGCTGCAATCAAGTCTTGGCATCCATTCTTCAGTACACGCGACAAACTCCACCTTGGAGACACTAATAAGAGGAGCGGGAGGTGGAAAAAAAAAATAGGGGCGCATAGGAGGGAACCACAAACTCCCCTTGTTTTTTAGGGAGCCGAAACCCCAGAAAAGTCGAGATTCAACTCTTGCAGCAAATACATGACGGAGCAAGACACATCATCAACGACGACGACACAACCAGCCATGTCAGGCTCAGAGCCCTTTCCCCTGCTAAACACAGCAAACGACCAGCTGCACCAGCGTCGCTTCGCACCCAGCAGCTCCGTCAGCAACACCACAGCCACTGAAGCATCCATCAGCGACGCGCGGAGGCGGCGCAAGAGCAGTGCCCTCGGAGGCGACATCCGCGGCGACACGGGTGCCCCGGCATTGGCCACGAGTCGTGCCAGTCTCGATGCCGTTGACAAGAGCGGCCAGGTGAGCCTTGGAATTGACTTGGTCGCAAACATCTCAGGTATACTGACATGCAGCTTCAGTCCGGCCATAAGCGACTTTCCAAGCGCCGACGTGCTCGCGGCCTCCTTGCTCGAGCTCGCCAGACCATGATCAAGCACACCTTCGTCCTCCCGGCTGTTCTCACCCTGTGCTTCCTCGCCGGATACGCCATCAACCCTACCGAGTCCAACCCTATCCACCACTTCATCTTCCTCTCGTACAAGCTGCCTCAGGACGATCCCAACGAGCCCGCTCAGTATGGAAAGGGTCGCTGGGATATCGCTTTTGTCGCCTTCTATACCATTGTCCTGTCTTTCACTCGCGAGTTCATCATGCAGGAGCTCCTTTCACCGCTCGCTCGCTGGTATAACCTCAGCCGTGGCAAGAAGGCCCGTTTCATGGAGCAGGTGTACACGGCCATCTACTTTGGTGTCCTGGGTCCCTTTGGTCTCTGGGTCATGAGCCATACTCCCGTGTGGTATTTCAACACCCGCGGCATGTATGAGGGGTTCCCCCACCAGACTCATCTCGCTCCTGTCAAGTTCTACTATCTCTTTGAGGCTGCCTACTGGGCTCAGCAGGCCATTGTCCTCGTCCTGGGTATGGAGAAGCCTCGCAAGGATTTCAAGGAGCTTGTCGGTCACCACATTGTCACTCTGGGACTCATCGGTCTCAGCTACCGCTTCCACTTTACTTACATTGGCCTGGCCGTCTATGTCACCCACGACATTAGCGACTTCTTCCTGGCCACTTCCAAGACGCTCAACTACATCGACTCTCCCTTGGTGGGCCCTTACTTTGGTGTCTTTATGGTGGCTTGGATCTACCTCCGCCACTACCTCAACCTCAAGATCATCTGGTCTCTGCTGACCGAGTTCGAGACTATCGGTCCCTTTGAGCTGAACTGGGAGACGCAGCAGTACAAGTGCCGCCTGAGCCAGGTCATTACCACTGCTCTGCTCTCTTCCCTCCAGGCCCTGAACCTCTTCTGGCTGTTCTGCATCGTTCGCATTGCCTGGCGCTTTGTCGTCCAGAACCAGCTCGAGGATGACCGATCCGAGGATGAGGGTGAGGGTGAAGATGATGAGGAAGATGTGCCTGCCCCGGCCCCCAAGGCCAACGGTCATGCGAATGGCCACGCCAACGGCCATGCTAACGGTCATGCCAACGGCAACGCTGTTTCGAACGGCAACGCAAAGCACTAGACAACTCGACACATCTTGACGATACGTCGAGGCATTGTGAGAGGGAAACTGCTGAGAAGTAGTACCCCTCATTTTTGAATGAAAAACGCCAAAAGAAACAAGAAGGAATGGAATGGGATGGGTGGACGAGACGAATTAATGGATCAGCATCATGTTATGACCACCAACAGCGAAGAGGGCCAACGAGAACGGGGCCATGGTTGCATTTCTTCCCTTTAAATGTTTGGACAGCATCGGGGACAGGGCAGGACAGGACAGTCCTGGGATGGGGTAATGAATGGAGTTCAACTTGGAGCGGTTGGACTTTCACACTCGCTTTTGTATCAAGCATGCCGGCGTTCCGGGGGACTCCGGGAGGTCCGGACTAATCAATGGTGCGTTGCCGTAACACGGCACGGTCTGATGCGAGACCGGCTCGGGCAAGTCGGCTCGTGAGGTCATATCCAAGATATGACGGGGAACACAACAAGGGATTTGTCTCGAGATGTACTTGGAAAGGATCAAGACTCAGCCGAGACGTCTCCAAGACCAAAAGAACTTGACCTGGTCATCAGGGGGGAGCAGCTTGCCCCCCCCCCCCCCCCCCCTCTTATACACGCCAGCAGCCTCATGACATGACCTGCATGCAGCAAGGAAGCAAGCAAGCAACGCACGACACCATGTCCCCTCGGGCCATGTATTTTTTTCACACCTATATCTTCATGTACCATGATACTTACTTGCTTGGCACCATCTGTACGAACACTTTAATAATACTACCTTTACGCTCGCTACTTGATCTGTTCCTCCACTTGACGACCGTCCTATACATAGACACACGCCTATTTATCAGCTCTCTCAGGTTCCGAGACAGACGCAGTACGCGTCAACACGTTGTATATAAAGCTACCCCCAGTTTTCCCCTCCATCTTCTATTTATGTATTCACACATGACGAAAAGCCCGCTGGATACGCCTCTAACCGTCATGTGGAAGGAAATGTTTAAACGCTCGTCCACAAGACTCGGAAGCACGCGTAAGCCGATACGAGAAAACAGAATGTCTCCCCATAAATATCTTTGTTTACTAAACTACTGTACCTAGAATATGCATCTCATCATAGGATATGCGACCATGTGTTATTTCTTGTTTGTTTCTCACTCATCACCGATTACTTGTCTTCTCCACTAGGTCAAGACCCAACTCCTGCACACGCCCCCCTAGATATGCAGAGGCTACAAGCAAAGTCCGTCTAGATACCGGCAGAATTTTTAAGTATACATGTCTAGTCTGCAAGCCTTTTACGCATCATGCAAGCATACAATAGAAAAGGAAAAGAAGTGACATTAATTGCATCCTACCGACGGACAAGATACCAAGTGTATAAATACCGGCGTCTCGCTTCAAAGATACCCTTTCCTATGTAGTATCAAGAAAAAAATCCCACAAAAAATGACACTGGTTTTTGCTTCCTAGATCCCCCATCATGAATGTAACCCCCCCCCCCCCCCCCCCTTTTTTTTTTCTCAAAAGGTACAGTAATAACCTCCATAGGCAATGGCGTCAATGGAAATACCTTTTCAGGGGTTAGACGGTGAAGGTGGTTCCCCCCCTGGACCCAAGGTCCGCACGTCCGCTGCCCCATTGTGTCCCCCCCCTTCGTGGAGCCCGGCATCCGGGGTGGCGGGTCTGGTGGTGGTGGAGAAGACCGGGTGCACAGCCTCAGTCAACAGAACAACAACAGGAACATGAACATGGATTCAACATGGACCTTTTCAAGGATGTTAACCACCGTCGTAACTATACAGACCGGGACCCCCGTCAGCTTCAAGCATGTGTCAAATTGTTGTTGACGGTGAGAATGTCACTCTCAAGATTGGGCATCCACAATCAACCACAACTTCTTGGTTATACTGATTGAACTTTGATTCATTGCTCGCTTGCTTCCAATGCTAGGTATATCCTCTCCTATGCCATGCCATGCTATCATGCATTAAACTAAAACTACTGATTCCATGTCCTCCCCGACGAATCAATATTCCCTTCGTCTCCTGACGACAACATCAAACCCGTTGAAGAGTGGAAATGAAATACCCATTTTGTTTTTCTCTTCATCCCAAAAAGCAGAATCCATGGTCGCCTGTCGTTTGAACAAGAAAAAAGCAAATCATTCCATCGCCATTTCCTCCCGCACGAGCGGTCTTGCTGTCTAAGAGGCCTAAAAGCCTCCTTCTTGAGACCTACTGTAACATCCATCTTCGACCATCCCCCTTCTCCAGACTGAGAAGTGCGTCGCCCTATAGAATGTTGAGCGCGCCGAACCCGTCGGAGCTCAAAGAGAAAATGCCCATCATCCCATACGTCCCTTCCATTCCATTCATTCCCACCCTTCCTTGCGGCTCAGTTGAAGCTGCAGCCATACCGAACCCGAAGCAAATCATCATGACCATAAACGCCTATACCCCTTACCAGATATTACTGTGCCAGAACTTCTGGCACACAACAACAGAGTAACCATATTCGATTGCATTATCCCTCAATGGTGTTTCCTCGTTTGTGGCATTGAAAATGTCCACTCGCGAATTTGCTTCTTTTCGAAGAACTCATCGCCACATTATTAGCTGGGCTACACTGGCCCGCACTCATTAAACAGTAGAAAGAAAAACTCCTCAACTCCGATCCGATGCAGTCTTAATGCCGAACCGAAACTTCGTAGACGTGGATCGTGTCAGTTCATAAACCGAGTAGAAATGTTGGTGTTGGAGGTGCGTCATGATCAAAAGGATGAGTGATAAGAATGCCGCTGCGAGGTTGTGAATCCCCCAGGTGTCGACTGGTCTCCCATAACGGAGAAGCTGCGCATTAATGCGCAAGAGCCTACACCAAGAGACCTTGCAGCGTCTGATGTTTGGTTTGCTTTAGAAGCAATCGAGTTGCTTCACTTTCGCTCTCGCTCTCTCGAGTGCTCGCTGTGGCTCGACTCAGCATCCGAGGACGAAGACGACGACGTATGTGTCTCGTCCCCGTGGTCCTTGGAGCCGTTGCCCGACAAGCTTCCAGGGGATCCAAGACCATTGTAACCGTCAATGGATCCATCCGCCTTCTTCTTGGGACCCATCTTGGCCTTACGGACGGCTCTCGCAGCCTTCAGCTGGGCTTCACGGGCGACATTCAGAGCTCGCTCTGCTCTGATCTGCTTCTCCCACATTGAAGCATAACGGCCCTTGGCCAGAAGAAGTTCGTCATGAGTGCCACGCTCGACAATGGCCCCAGAGTTCAAGACGATGATCTGGTCCGCATGCGTAATGGTCGACAGTCGGTGCCTGCAGAAAGGTTAGCAAAGAGCCCACTTCACCATATCAGTCGTGTAACATACGCAATGATGAGCAAGGTGCGACCCTGCCCAATATTCCACACATTATCCTGAATCTCCTGCTCGGTGTGAGAATCCAGCGCCGACGTGGCCTCGTCCAACATGATGATGCGAGGGTTCTTGAGAATGGTCCGCGCGATGGCAACCCGCTGCTTCTCGCCGCCGCTCAAGCGGAGGCCCCGCTCGCCAACCTGCGTGTCGTATTGGTCGGGGAAGGACATGATGCGGTCATGGATGCTGGCGGCGCGGCAAGCGGCATACACTTCTTCCTTGGTAGCCGAGGGCCTGGCGTACTTGAGGTTGTACATCAAAGTCTCGTTGAAGAGAGTCGTGTCCTGGGGGACAACGCCAATCTTCTCTCTGACCGAGTCGATTGTCAGATCCTTGACGTTCTTGCCATCCAGCTCAATGGAGCCCTCGTCGCAGTCGTAATAGCGGAACATGTGGCGAAACAGGGTCGACTTGCCACCGCCCGACTCGCCCACAAAGGCGGTCGTGGTGCCCGGCGGACATTCGAACGAGATATTGCGTAGCGCCGGCTTCCGTCGGTCGTACGAGAAGCTGACGTTGTTCCACCGAACGTGTCCCTGAAAGTCATTGCCCAGTGGGACTGCATGGGGCGTGTCCACCACAGTCGGTTGGATCTTGAAAAGTTCCAGAAGTCTCTCGCCCGAGATCATTGCTTGCTGCACCGTCCGATAGAAGGTGCCGAAGAAGTTGAGGGGCCCTTGAAGCTGAGCCAGGTATGAGACGACCATGAACCAGTCACCCGTCGTACGGAGACCCATCGCAACCTGCCAGCCGCAGACTAATGCAACGATGATCCTACCCAAGTTGAAGACCACGGTCTGGCAGATGTTCATCAACATCATCCCCATCTGCACCTTGGCTTCGGCTCTCTGGAAAACGCCAACCTTGTCCTGGTATCGTCTGGACTCGAAGTCTTCGGCGTTGAAGTATTTGACCGTTTCGTAGCTAGAGATTGAGTCATTCTTCACTGCTTCCTCCTCGCGGTCAGCATTCGTCATTTCGCGACGCTGGTCCGCTCGGGTCGAGGCCATCTTGATGGTCATGTAGAGATACCAGCAAGTATCAACTAGGTTGATCTCGGCGTACAGTGGCCCGTACCAGATGTAGAACACGGAGATGGCGAGGAAAAGGTCGACAAGCATCGGGAACACCTGGAATGTCACCTGCTCCAGAAACTGGTTGATCGAAGCGCCCTTGTTAAGCGCAGACAGCACCTCTCCAGTACGCTTGGAAAGGTGGAAATCGAGACTGAGAGAGTGAACGTGGTTAAAGGCCGCTGTCGTCAGTCCTCGGTAAGAGTATTGCGAAACGGGGATCCAAAGAATGGATCGCGCCGATCCCAAGAGTCCAGACTGGCCTTGCAGGATCCACAGCAGCCCGAGAATTACAAAGTCCTTGAGCGGGAAGTTATCCATGCTAAGTCGTTCGCCGTCTGCGACCAACTTGATTACCTCCTCAAGAGAATTGACCACTTGCTTCACTTGCATTGGCACTGCCACGTTGACCAAGCGTTGTAGCATGACCAGGATGAAGCAGATGAGAACGTTGATCTGAAGCTTGGCTGAATCCTTGGGCCAGAGATAGGGGAAGAAGAGGGAGTACCCCTTAAGATACTCCCA